TCCTGCCCACCCCTTCCTCAGAAGTGGAAGCAGCGACTTTGTAATTTAGAAGTTTCCCCTCGTGTCCTCCTTCCCACAGACATCTGGTTGGCCACTGGGGAAACAAGTTGCTGGACTAGATGGGCCACTGGCCTGATTCAGCAGGCTCTTCTTATTTTCTGAAGGTATTTCAAATAATCTTGGCAATAAATCTCAGGCTATGCAGCTGCTTCTTTTTATGAAAGCTAATCCCCCCCTTGTGCTATTTTCAATATACGACTCACCCCCTTGTAACTGCTGTTTGACACATTAGGGAGAACTAGGGATGGAGGCCCCTTCATGGATCACTGCCTTGCCGTGGCGAAGGGGCTTGAATAACTCAGAGAAGCTATGAACTATGCCGTGCAGGGCCACCCAAGATGGACAGGTCATAGTGGAGAGTTTTGACCAAACGTGATCCACCTGGAGCAGGAATAGGTAAGCCACTCCAGTATCCCTGCCAAGAAAGCTCCATGGACAAAGACAACAGGCATATAAAAGATATGACATTGGAAGATGAGCCCCTCAGGTTGGTTGGTGTCCAACATGCTACTGAGGAAGAGCGGAGGACAAGTCCAAGTAGATTCAGAGCTGATGAAGCGGCTGGGCCAAAGCCGAAAGGTCGCTTAGTTGCGGATATGCCTGGAAGCAAAAGGAAAGTCCAATGCTGTAAAGAACAATATTGCATAGGAACCTGGAATGTAAGAACCATGAACCTGGGTAAGTTGGATGTGGTCAAAAATGAGATGGCAAGAATAAATATTGACATCCTTGGCATCAGTGAACTAAAATGGAGAGGAATGGGTGAATTCAGTTTGGATGACCATCATATCTACTGCTGTGGGCAAGAATCCCATAAAAGAAATGAAGTGGCCCTCATAGTCAACAAAAGAGTGGCGAAAGCTGTACTGGGATGCAATCTCAAAAATGATAGAATGATCTCGATACGAATCCAAGGCAGACCTTTTAACATCACAGTAATCCAAGTTTATGTACCAACTACTGGTGCTGAAGAAACTGAAATTGACCAGTTCTGTGAAGACTTACAACACCTTCTAGAAATGACACCAAAGAAGGATGTTCTTCTCATTATAGGGGATTGGAATGCTAAAGTAGGGAATCAAGACATAAAAGGAACAACTGGCAAGTTTGGCCTTGGAGATCAAAACGAAGCAGGTCAAAGGCTAATAGAATTCTGTCAAGAGAACAAGCTGGTCATCACAAACACGCTTTTCCAACAACACAAGAGACGTCTCTACACATGGACATCACCAGATGGGCAGCATCGAAATCAGATTGATTATATTCTTTGCAGCCAAAGATGAGAAGCAAAAACAAGACCTGGAGCTGACTGTGGCTCAGATCACCAGCTTCTTATAGCAAAATTCAAGCTTAAACTGAAGAAAGTAGGAAAAACCACTGGGCCGGTAAGATACAATCTAAATCAAATCCCGTACGAATACACAGTGGAAGTGAGGAACAGGTTTAAGGATTTAGATTTGGTGGACAGAGTGCCTGAAGAACTATGGATGGAGGCTTGCAACATTATACAGGAGGCAGCAACGAAAACCATCCCAATGAAAAGGAAATGCAAGAAAGCAAAGTGGCTGTCCAACGAGGCCTTACAAATAGCGGAGGAGAGAAGGCAAGCAAAATGCGAGGGAGATAGTGAAAGATACAGGAAATTGAATGCAGATTTCCAAAAAATAGCAAGGAGAGACAAGAAGGCCTTCTTAAACGAGCAGTGCAAAGAAATAGAGAAAAACAACAGAATGGGAAGAACCAGAGATCTGTTCAATAAAATTGGAGATATGAAAGGAACATTTTGTACAAAGATTACCATAATAAAGGACAAAAGTGGTAAGGACCTAACAGAAGCAGAAGACATCAAGAAGAGGTGGCAAGAATACACAGAGGAATTATACCAGAAAGATATGGATGGCTCGTACACCCCAGGTAGTGTGGTTGCTGACCTTGAGCCAGACATCCTGAAGAGTGAAGTCAAATGCGCCTTAGAAAGCACTGCTAATAACAAGGCCAGTGGAAGTGATGGGGCCACTAGGGGGCGCATTGGAAGATGGCCGACAATACCATCTCTCTGACCCACACGGGGTAATTAAGAGGCTGTTATGGGAGTAGGCAGCCTCCCTTGTTGCCCCAAGGAAATGGGGAACACTGCCCTTGCCTGCTGTGCCCATAAATCACCCCTAATTCAAAAGAAGGGGGTGAGGGCCCTAGGCAGAATGCCCCGTGTGGACCTCGGCTCTCCTGGACGCTGTCTCTGATCGCGCACTAGCTGCAGCAATTTGGAATAATTAATTACAAAAGAAGCAAATGCACATATTTCAAGTGAAGAAGGGGAGTGAAGTCTGCTAATTTAAGTGACCTCTGCGAAAGAAGACGACGGGTTGGAGAAACAGGAATATTTTACGATGAAGATACACCAAAGGCTGGGTATGTTGACAACGGGACTGAATGGGGGGGGGAACCTTTTTTACTTTCCTTCTATGTGATTTACAAGAACCCCTCCTCATTAGAATCGTCAGTTGAACTGACCCAAGCAGGATGATTAAGGTCTGTGTGGAGATAAACTTTAACCAAAAGTATGCTTTATGGAGAAGCAATAAGAGCTTTTGGAATGGCGTAGTAATTGATTCGGAGTCTCCATCTTGCCAAAGGATTTATAGCCGGGAGGAAGAACAGACTTGTTTTCAGACTGCATTCCTGGTGAATCTCCTCAGAGGTTTTGAGAAAGGAGGCAGATTGGTGAAGATTAATGACGCTAAGACTGTTTTGATGTATGGAAGTGATATTATATGGAAAACGTCTGGATATGGCTACTGGATAAAAAAAATAAATCCATGCAGGATTACAAAATGTTCTAACCAGCTTGTGGAGACTATCAGAGGTCACAAAGAGAAAGGAAAAATATATGAAAATAACAACAAGAGATGTGGAAAAACAATAAGAAAGGACTGGATAGTACTGTGAACATCATAAGGTTAGATTTGTGGACATTAAAACAGCAGTAAGAAGCAAGAAGTTGATTGGATCCCCTTCGGAACTTGAAATATGGGTACCCCCAACAAAAATTTAAAATTCGGGTGTGTAATTTGGAATTTATGTAATTTGGTTTGATTTGATGTGATTGGTCGGTTAATAAAAAATTATTCTTGAAAAAGGAAGTGATGGTATTCCAGCCGAACTATTTAAAATTTTAAAAGATGATGCTGTTACACTCAATATGCTACACTCAATATGCCAGCAAGTTTGGAAAACAGCATTTGCAACAATTGCACTCATTTCACACGCTACCAAGCTTATGCTTAAAATTCTGCAAGGAAGGCTCAAGCAGTATGTGGACCGAGAACTCCCAGAAGTGCAAGCTGGATTTAGAAGAGGCACAGGAACCAGAGACCAAACTGCAAACATGCGCTGGATTATGGAGAAAGCTAGAGAGTTCCAGAAAGACATCTACTTCTGCTTCATTGACTATGCAAAAGCCTTTGACTGTGTCGACCACAGCAAACTATGGCAAGTTCTTAAAGAAATGGGAGTGCCTGATCACCTCATCTGTCTCCTGAGAAATCTCTATGTGGGATAAGAAGCTACAGTTAGAACTGGATATGGAAAAACTCATTGGTTCAAAATTGGGAAAGGAGTACGGCAAGGCTGTATATTGTCTCCCTGCTTATTTAACTTATATGCAGAATTCATCATACGAAAGGCTGGGCTGGATGAATCCCTAGCCAGAATTAAGATTGCCGGAAGAAATATCAACAACCTTAGATATGCAGATGACACAACCTTGATGGCAGAAAGTGAGGAGGAATTAAAGAACCTTTTAATGAGGGTGAAAGAGGAGAGTGCAAAATATGGTCTGAAACTCAACATCAAAAAAACGAAGATCATGGCCACTGGTCCCATCACCTCCTGGCAAATAGAAGGGGAAGAAATGGAGGCCGTGAGAGATTTTACTTTCTTGGGCTCCATGATCACTGCAGATGGTGACAGCAGCCACAAAATTAAAAGATGCCTGCTTCTTGGGAGAAAAGCAATGACAAACCTAGACAGCATCTTAAAAAGCAGAGACATCACCTTGCCAAAAAAGGTCCGTATAGTCAAAGCTATGTTTTTTCCAGTAGTGATGAATGGAAGTGAGAGCTGGACCATAAAGAAGGCTGATCGCTGAAGAAATGATGCTTTTGAATTATGGTGCTGGAGGAGACTCTTGAGAGTCCCATGGACTGCAAGAAGATCAAACCTCTCCATTCTTAAGGAAATCAGCCCTGAGTGCTCACTGGAAGGACAGATCCTGAAGCTGAGACTCCAATACTTTGGCCACCTCATGAGAAGAGAAGACTCCCTGGAAAAGACCCTGATGTTGGGAAAGATGGAGGGCACAAGGATAGTGTTCTCGAAGCTACAAACATGAGTCTGACCAAACTGCGGGAGGCAGTGGAAGACAGGAGTGCCTGGCGTGCTCTGGTCCATGGGGTCATGAAGAGTTGGACACTACTAAACAACAACAAGGGGTGGAGGAGGAGTTAAATTTTGTTCACATTTTAATGAGAAACCACACAGCTCACACTTCTTGAACCAATATGCAAATCAAAATGCAGTTATCCTGAGAAAGTGGCAATTCTCTGAATTTTGTGATGCAGTTGTTCTGGTACAGAACCATTACAAAAATGCATACAGTGGGGTAAAGCATGCATTAAAGAGCACATATTAGTAACACGATGCAAAAATGCTTTATTTTAGCCAAAAGTGCAAAGAAAAATGAGTATGGTAGGAGAAATCTGCAATGATGAATTTTCAAGAGATTTTCTTTTCATCCTAAACTGATATGGAGATTTCAGGAACTGAAGAGTGGAAAATGAGATGCTGGGAGGAACTGATATTGACAGATTTGCCCATTGTTTTCCATGGAAAAGGACCCAGGTTCAGAAGGAGATAAATTGGAAATGGGAGACGAGTCCTTATTCCACATCTGGTGGGTAATACTGTGGGTGACCAGCGTATCTGAAACAAAACAAAAGAGAGTCAACACTCAAGGGTTGGAATATGCACAAGCAACAAAAATTGATCTGTTGCTAGCCATTGCCTCATGAGACTATTTCACACAGTGCATTGTAAGCTCCCCGAGTTTGCCATCAAATGCCTACCCTGCTGAATATCTGGGAGGCTGAAAGTAAAAATGGTCCACCATTTGCAATATCGGGATGATCATATGTCCGTCTTCTCACTAGAGAAAATAACCCCTAGAAGATGAATACAGCCCTGGTTGCTGATCAAAGTGGAAGTAATGCATGAGGCAGCCATCTTCCCCCCCCCAAAAAAATATTGCTCCTGGGAATGTCTGCACATCATTGTATGGCATTGGTCTCAAGGGTATTTGGAAGCCTGGTTTCAAAGCACAGAGCAACTGTCGGGGGATGTCAGGGAACTGCCATCAGCTCAGAGGCGAGAGGTGGAAGGGCAGTTGTGTTATAGGGAACCTCCGAAAATCTGGCGAAGCAGTTCCTCCTCCGGCGAGGAGGAAACCCCCACCTCCAGTGGAGAAGAAGTGCTGCTAGAGAGAGCCTCAACACCGAGCCTGAGCAAACAGGAGAGGAGGGAAGTACCCCTTTGCCAGCGCCCACTCTGCGCAGAAGGATTTGGTGCAGGGAGGGGCGGAGAAGGTTGGGGGTCACGTGACTGTTATGCTGGGGGAGGTACAAGGACCGACCACTCCCAGATTCTGCTAGTGATTGAGCCAGGCATGAATTTGCGATGCTCTTCACTGTAAATAGCTTGCTTTTTATAGTGGAAAAAGATCCTGAATTGCCATGGGGTAAATTATGGGGAGTTTAGAAGTCCACCCCAAAAGTTAAATTTTGTCAGAAACTGGACTTTTTCAAGACTGTCTAGGGCCAAAAACTACTGGAATAGCACGATTGGTAAAGGATGGAACTCTTAATCTCCGGGCCATGGGTTTGAGCCCCGTGCTGGGCAAAAGATTCCTGCATTGCAGGGGGCTGGACTAGATGACCCCCGTGGTCACTTCCAACTCTACAATTCTATGACAGGGACACTTGTCCATACGCTTTGGTACAAAGTATCCACAGTAATTGCTTCTATAATTTCACCTTATTCTCTATGAAGAGAAGAGATGGATGCTAAATCTCTTCTTCCTTTTGCTCTCGCAGTATGAATTCTTGTGTGAAGCACTTTTATGTATTCATATGCATACTATTTAAATATGACTTACACTTCCTCTTTTAAATAGCTCAGGTTTTTGTGAAGGCCATCAATGGATTTCATATCCTCCTCAGACAGCTGGAAAGTAAATGCCTGTCAGGAGGAGAAAAAAATAATGCTGAGGTGGTATTTAATCTTGTCTTCTTTTTGCACCTCAGAGCTGTGCACCTTTTTCCAGCCACAGAGAAACCAAAGCGAACTTTGCTACCACCTTCCAAAGTTGAATTCCTTCATTTAACAGCTTCAGTCCAGATGTCCTCCCACTGAGGGAATTTTATATGCATAGTAATGTTGGTTTGCAATAGAACAGGAGTGGAAACTGTGGCCCCCCAGATGTGGATGGACTCCACGTCCAATGATCAGGGATGAGGGAGGTCATACTCCAGTGAATGTAGTTCACTACTTCTTCATGCAGTTCATAGCTAAACCTCTGAACTTGCTCCATGCAAGACAGTGACAGCCACCAACTTGGATGGCTTTAAACATTAGACAAATTCATGGTGGATAAGAATACCAATGGAAGCTAGTCATGATGGTTGCACTCTGACTCAGTGGTGTAGCGTGGGGGGTGCGGGGGGGCCCGTCTGCACCGGGCGCAACATCTGGGGGGGCACTCGCACTCACAGCTCTCTGCCCCTGCCTGCCCCTACCTGGGTTAGGGGGCGCAAATTACGTGCCTTGCCCCACGCTACGCCACTGCTCTGACTTCACGGCCTGAGGCAGTGATTCTTCTGAATACCCACTGCTGGAAACTCCTCCAACTTCTTGAGTCCCCAAACCAAGATGTGCATCTTCCCTCCCGCATGTGTCATGTGACCTGTGAGATCACAGTGTCCAAATGATGTGCTTTTTCAGTATTGTTTTTTAATGGATTAATATATACTGCTTTACCTGGATGTCTTCCTCAATTTGCTCTCTGGTGTCGGCCTTCACTAGGACCACCAGGCCGCGCTGCAGTTGGTAGCGAATAGCCACGAGAGCTGGGCTTTTGTTGTACTTCTTGGCGATCGCAACCAACAAAGAGTCTTCAAGCAGGGGAGGAGCGTCTGGATTTAACCTGTTGGAGAGCAATAAGGAGAGAAGGTGTGTTTCTGGTGTCAACATGCACAAATATACATGCACAAATATAGGATGAGGGGCACTTGGCTTGACAGCAGTATATATGAAAAGGATCTAGGGGTCTTTGTAGACCACAAGCTTAACATGAGTCACAGTGTGATGCAGCAAGAAGAGAAGCTAACGCTATTCTAGGCTGCTTCAGCAGAAGTATAGTGTTCCGATCGAGGGAATAGGGACGCGGGTGCCGCTGTGGGTTAAACCACAGAGCCTAGGACTTGCCGATCAGAAGGTCGGCGGTTCGAATCCCCCCGATGGGGTGAGCTCCTGTTGCTCTGTCCCTGCTCCTGCCAACCTAGCAGTTCGAAAGCACATCAAAGTGCAAGTAGATAAATAGGTACCGCTCCGGTGGGAAGGTATACGGCGTTTCCTTGCACTGCTCTGGTTTGCAAGAAGCGGTTTTAGTCATGCTGGCCACATGACCCAGAAGCTGTACGCCGGCTCTCTCAGCCAATAAAGTGAGATGAGTGCCGCAACCCCAGAGTCGGTCACGACTGGACTTAATGCTCAGGGGTCCCTTTTCCTTTTTTATTATGCATTGGTCAGACTTCACCTGGAATACTGTGTCAAGTTCTGTACCCCACAGTTTAAGAAGGATATTGACAAGTTTTTAGTACAGTGCTCTTCTCCCAATAAATCACAAACTCATACTTTGCATGTGGATCATTCTGTAGCCAAAATGGTAGCATCCATGCACAAAAGAGAGGTCTTTTTCTTTGCTGAAGTACAATCAGTATTTGCGGGGTGTGTGTGTGTGCGCCGGCGCAACGGCACTTTTTCCCCTGGAGCCGTTGGGCCCGCCCTCACTTATATATAGTGCACCCACCTCACAGATCACCAATTCCATGAATTCCTACAAACTACCCCAGATTATATTGTGGGGGTTTTCCCTTGTGTGAGGGAAAACTTAATAATTTGGAGTCTCAGGCAGGATTTTGTAAAACAAAGGACGTTTATGACACAAGTGGGTGAAACATAGGATACTTCAGATTATAATTCTCTTTCACTTCAGTTCTTTCTCAGTTGTTGCACGGCTGTTGCCCCTTAATACCGTATTTTTTGCTCTATAAGACGCACCAGACTACAAGATGCACCTAGTTTTTGGAGGAGGAAAACAAGAAAAAAAAATTTCTGAATCTCAGAAGCCAGAACAGCAAGAGGGATCGCTGCGCAGTGAAAGCAGCAATCCCTCTTGCTGTTCTGGCTTCTGGGATAGTTGCGCAGCCTGCATTCGCTCCATAAGACGCACACACATTTCCCCTTACTTTTTAGGAGGGGAAAAGTGAGTCTTATAGAGCAAAAAATACGGTACTTTGGTTCTTTAAAAAGGTGGTACTTCCTGTCAGTTAAACACCCCTTTGATAACCCTACTCCTGAGGTACTCCAAGTAACAGACCCAAGGGATCTCCATAGCCCTCTTAACTGGTTTGGGAGTCTTCTCTTTTTGTAGAAGAATCTCTTCCCTCCTAACTGGAATGAATCCAAAGTGGGCTGTCTTTTCCCAGCTTCTACTTCTCCTGGCTCAGCTTCAGCCTCCCAGTTAATTCCTGGCCTATTACTCTTACAGGACACCACACACTGTCCTTCACACTAAGCTCAGAAGCTCCTTTCTTTAGCTTGTGATATATTCCTCAGAGTGGATGTTTCCACCCAGAAGCAACTCTCTCTCTCTCTCTCCCTCCCTCCCTATTCTCCCAACCTACCAAACTGTCTCTCCAAATCCTCTCCTTTTCAACTCCCCCTCCTGGAACCCCAGCCAAAAAGAAAAAGAAAACACTTGGGGACCCAACCTGGCCAGCAAAACAAACTTTTCCGTCACAGGGGTACCTAAGGAGGGAAAGGAACGCCCAAAGAATCCTGTGTGACTGTTGGAGAGTTGAGATGGAAAAGAGGGAGGGAGTTCAAATGAAATGGAGGATCCTGGAAGAATGCACAGCTCATTGTCTTGAAGGAGAACTCAATATTTGTCGCTGGTCCCACTTGTTAAAAATAAGCATTTAAGTGGCTTCCAAGATAGATAAAAACAACACAATTCAAAATTCTGAGACACACGAAACAAGCTATGTAAAAAGAGAAATGCTATAATTATTTAAATGCAAGGCTGGGTGGAGGGCCCTTTCATTCCTGACATTCTACTGTTTAAAGCAACATTAAACATAATATAAATGTGATTTGAAAACAGCACAAAATTTCAGAAGCAGAAATTATTAAATAGCCCCCTGCCTGTAACATTTAAAAACATATGTTTGGGAGAAGTCAATCAGCTATATATAAAAAACACTTCAGCAATGGGAAGTGTAATGGTCTCTAAGGGGTTGCTCGTGCGTAAGCAGGCACCTATTTCCCTGGCTGGGTGCAAACACCTGGCTGGGCTGCCAAAGTGAACCTTATCTGTCCGGACCGCCACTCACCCGTGGCTGACTCAGTCGCTGGCAGAATCCGTGAGTGGGCGTTTCTTAAACTTCTTCCAGCAAAGAAGCTCTTTGACGCCTAGTCTCCGCCTACCCTCTCTGCGCAAAAGCCTTCTCTGCAGGGAGGGTGTGGGCAACGGAGGACCCCTACTCTCCCCGCTGGTCCCCGGCAAGGAGTCATGGGACCGCCTCGCCACTTCCCCCACCTGCCCCCCTTCTCCACTGGTGCTACACTGATTCTCTTCCCCAGAAGATGGGCTGCTTCTCCCGATCCCTGGACGCTCTCTGGAATCCCTCTGGCTTTTGCGCTCTCCCTCCAATACTGATGGCAGTTCCCTGACAGGAAGGTTTCTGAGAATGTCTAAAATGGGAGGGGAAGAGCTTTGTAAATCTCTCTCTGGAATGAGTTCCCCTATTGTGGGGCCACTACAGAAAAGGCCCTGGTGCTGGTATCCAACATGAGGATAATTATTAATTGTGAGGCCAAGAATAAAACCTTCAGAGCTGATGTAGATGCTGGGGAATAGCGGGCCTAGGTGGTTGCCTGAGGTGGTCCCCAAACGTTTTGGCTTCATCTCTTACCATCTTGGGTCCCTTTGGGATCCTAGGACACTATATCCTTCCAGGAGGATATTGTTTGACTTGCAGAAGGCCAGCAGCTTGCTTTGGTTCCGATAAGGATGGCATTCAACCTGCAGATTCAAAATCCCCAATGCAATCCAAAAGTGAGAATTCAGATGAAACAAAAACTACATGTACTGTGAAATCAAGGAAAGACAGAAAAGCAGATCAATGCTATTATTTCTTGAAATATCCAGCTGTTACCATTCTTAAAGTGTGTTGTGTTTTCTGATGCATCAGAATCTTTAGAGGACCATTCTTGCATTTGTGGTTTCCATTGCCATGCTCCTCATCCATGAAATGTGTGTTAGCTGAAAACGGGGGACAGGGCTTATTCCCCCTCAATCTCCTCTCACTCCAGCCCTGTTGAGTCATTATACCCAAAGAAGAAATATTCTGGGCACACTGTCCTGCCTGCAGTGCCTCTGTTTCTGCCCACTCAGTCTCTGAATTGTCTACGTTGAGCAAAAAGGCCTGATGGGGGATATGCCTGCCTTTCCATCAAGCTGAGCAGATGATCTGGGACTCTGCTTTATCAGGGTCTCAATAAACTGAAATTTCCAATCAAATTGAGCAGTGGAGACATCAGAAAATAAAATTAGGGGAAGAAGGGCACAAGACTTTTCAAAGAGGGCAGTTGTTGTTATTGTTATTTTTATTAAAGATTTCTTAGTTTACGAAAATATGTGCATTGTCTCTTTTTTCAAGTTGCATTTTCTACAGATCAGTTTCATTTGTTGTGAGACATTAATGTTACATACAGTGTGAGGTTGGGAAGAAAAGACAGGGGAAGAGGGGAGTGGGGAGTGGGATGGGGTTGGGTGGCAATGATTCTATTTAAGGGAGCAGTTTTTTCTCATATGTAAGGAAGTAATGGTATAGTTTTCAGTAATCCTCCCTGTGTAAATGGATTTTGTATGTGAAAAGTGTCTTTTCTTCAAGTCACCACTGTGGCTCAGCAATAGTGGAAAGTATGGGGGAGGGAACGTAAGAACTAATTGTCTGGAGTGTGTGTATTCCCACCCTCTACTGCCATATATGAATTGGATAGTGCATCAAGGTTGGGCAGAGGGTACAAAGAAGCCATGATTGAAGTGGGACTATCTGGACCACTGTCTCTGTGGTACCGGGAGATCACGGCTGCACACATCTCATTGTCAGTCCATCACTCCTGCTTAGCTAGCAGGTTGCATGCCTTGGACTAGCCTGCCTTCGTCTCACTGGTTACATGATATACACCAGTGCCCAAGTGAATCAGGGCTGCTTGGGTGCAACAGCTTTGCCCAGATGCCTAACTACAAGGCCCTTTACCCCCCACATGAGAACTTCCAGAGTCCCCACAAGAGGCTGTGTGGGCCCTGACTTGCCCCGTGCTTGCAGTCATGGGATTGGTTTTATCACATGACGGTATATGTTTCCAATCCACAGTGTGGGAAGTGACGGAGATGGGATGTTTCGTATTACATGTACTGTGTTCCGTGATGTAGGACTATTGTCCTTTGTTCTCTCTCTTTGCTGTTTGGTGCTGATGAGGGAGGAGTTGAGTCAGAAAGCTCCGAGTGTATGATATGTTAATAAAGTAGTTTAGCCAAAATGCTGCGCTGCTGAGTCTGTCACGCGAAATGCTAACACTCTGCTGTTCCTAAGCATGCTGATGCCTCTTGGTATCAGTCGCTGTGATGTTCGGGCTGGAGAAAGCTTTTGAAGCTCCCGAACAACTGACCAGGAGGGAGAGAACATGCCAGTCAGGCATGTGTCTCTATCGGAGTCCTACTTGCGTGTAGGATGATCCTGACACTGACTGCTCGCAGGCCTCCTTCTACCTGAGATGCTTGTTTCAAACATTATGCACTTCTCCACACTTCTTTTGTCTGAGGATTCAGAAGTCTTGATTACTGGTTCGAGGAATTTAGGGGAGTCTACCCCACAACTGTGACTTGGTCTGCAACCTTATAACCTTAAGCAAGTTTTTTCAGGGAATTGCTGTGTTCATGCAAACAAACGTCCTCTCACAAAAGAGCTTAAATAAAGAAGCTTTCAACAGCGTTTGGAACAAACTACTACAAAAGGCAAACACGCTTGACCTGGTTTATCACTGGCTTGTATTTCAACCCTGGCTTGTTGAGGATCAATTCCAGCTGCTTACGGGTGAAGTTGGACACTCCGATGGACCTCACCAAGCCGGCATCTTTGCACGCCTCCATTGCCTGGCAAAGAAAGCACAACATGTTTGTTGAGTGGTGTTTGTTGACTAGCTGAGACCACACTTCCCCCCCCAGGTTAAGATTGGAGGCTAACTCATATACTCCCAAGAGTGTGCAATAATTCACCAGCTCTCATAGGAGCCATTGTGTGAGTCATTGTTCTGGACATGCCTCCTCTGGTGGAAGGCTACTGTGCTCTGTATCTGAATGACTCAAGGGCTGGATTTGCTAATCCCAGGCACCTACCTCCCATGTCTGACGAAGATCTACGTTGTCAACAATAAATTTTTTGTCTTCTCCCATGGGAAATAAATCTGGTCCAGGCTAGAAAAGAAGGAGGCGGAGGGAATGAGTGCATTTCAGGCCTAGAAGTTCACAAGCACCACATTTCACATTCTTGTTTTTCAAGAGGGATAAAGCTTACTTTATCCAGGAAAAAATACTTATGGGGAAATATTAAGTAAAGGTAAAGGTTAAGGACCCCTAGACAGTTAAGTCCAGTCAAAGGTGACTATGGGGTTGTGGCGCTCAACTTGCTTCCAGACCAAGATAGCCGGCATTTGTCCTCAGACAGCTTTCCGGGTTATGTGGCCAGCATGACTAAACCTCTTCTGGCACAATGGAATACCATGACGGAAACCAGAGCATACTTTCCCGCCACAACGGTACTCATTTATCTACTTGCACTGGCGTGATTTTGAACTGCTAGGTTGGCAGAAGCTGGGACAGAGCAATGGGAGCTCACCCCATTGCAGAGATTTGAACTGCCGACCTTCTGATCGGCAAGCCCAAGAACCTCAGTGGTTTAGTCTACATCTCCACCAGCATCCCCCCATTGCAATATTAACTCAGTATTGTCTCTTTTAATGCAGAGGTGGGGAATCAGTGGATCTCCAGGCTTTGCTGGCCTCCAAGTCCCATCAGCTGCAGCCAGCAAGGACAATGATCAGGGATGATAGGAGTTGCAATTGAGCAACAGCTGGAAGGCCACAGGTTCCCCAAACATGCTTTAATTTTTTCTGTGCCCCATAGAACAAACCTCTTCTCTTTCTGCACAGGTCTGTCTCTCCAACCCCTTTTTTCTTCCCTTGCCCCCTCACCAAGTCCTGCTCTGCACATGATTTCTTTCTTATGATGCCCATGTAGTTAATGCCATCAGTATATGCAGATGTTTTCTTTAACTGGCATGGTTTCTCCCCCCAAATCTGGGAGCGATCATTCCTTGATTGAGATATAGTATAGCAGAGAACTGTCAGCATCTCTAGGAAATGACAATTCCTTCAGGGAATAAAATATTTTTAGTAGGTTCTTTCCCCCCCTTCAAATATTGTACTCAATACTTGCATTAGGACATCAATAATCATTTACCTTCATAGAATACGGAGAGTGCATTAAGAACAGATCCATGTAGTCAAACTGGAGTTTCTTCAGGGATTCTTCTAAGCATTTCCGAACCAGCTCAGGGCGGTGGAAGGTATTCCAAAGCTGTCAAAAATATAAAGAGATTTATATTTTCACACAGCCATAGAGTTTTTGGGTCTCGGGACAGTTTCGCTGTGTCAGATGACTATTCTTGTGTGCACATCACAGTATTTTTACCATTTATATTTACCATTTATTTATGAAATTTATATATTGCCCTTCATCAAAAGATCTTGGAGCAGTTCACAAGATAAAAGCACAAGATAAAAGCACAAATAAATAGTCAAAACAGAAGCAACAACATAGGAATCCCTCCTTCCAATAACCAGCGGCGTAGGAAGCCGCCCGGAGAGGTGTGTGGCTCAGGCACGCTGTAGGCCCCGCTGCACCTCCCTTCCTCCTCCCCTGGCAAAAACATATTCAAAAAGGCTATAGAATATTAATAAGCCCAAGGCCTGGTTGAAGAAGAACATATTCACCTGGCGCCTAGAGGTGTATAATGAGCTTTCCTGCAGAGAGCACTCCCCAAATGGGGAGCCATGCAGAAAAGGCCCCGTTCTCGTTTTGCCGCACTCCGAGCCTCACATGGAGGAGGCATACAAAGAAGAGCCTCACAGGATGAACGCAGAATCTGGGTAGGTTTATATACGGAGAGGCGTTTTGCTCTGATTTCTCAGGATGAGAACAAAAATCGCGCACCAGTGGCACGTTGGCAGTGGGAGGCCCCATTCGCTAAATTGGTACCTCAGGTTAAGAACGGTTTCAGGTTGGACCTCCGGAACGAATTAAGAACGTAACCAGAGGTACCACTGTACTCTTTTTTTTAAAAAAATGCCAAACTCACTCACTTTTCCAGTGTAGAAAATGTCTTCCCTTTTTATTGTTCCGTCTGCAATCTTCGCACGAACGGCCCGCCCAACGTGCTCCTCTGTCTGGTATACATATGCACTATCAATAAGACGGAAGCCGAATTCTATTGCTATCTTTGTAGCCTCCTCACACTTACTTTTTGGAACCTGCCGGTTGAAAAGGTGAAAAGGTTAGTCAAGGTCTCTGCTTCAGTGGGGAAATTAATATCAGAGGGTACCTGTAAGTAACACTGAGTATCAGTGGATATTTTCAAACTAGACCTGAGTCTCAGGGACTCAGCTAGGCTGGCCTAAACACATTAAATGAAAAGAAAGAAAAAGCGTAAAGAAAAAGCAATTTACGTATACAGTAGGTGTTGCATGTGCGATATAACATTGTGCCACCAGAAGGCGAAATGGAGTCTTGTTTTTCTCTACCTGTTTTCCCTGTTTAAATTTACAGTACTTTAAACTGAAACACATCTTTGATGTGTCTAGATCCATCCCTGCTGATGCCTGGGTCCTCTTGTGGGATCTCTTTCATGTGGAAAGGTGGCACTGACCAGCAATGACAAAAGGGCTCCAATCAAAGTTGCAAGGTGATGAGTTGCCATTTTAATTTCCCACAAAGAAAAGGAGTTGCCATTTTAATTTCCCACAAAGAAGGAACCAATTACTCCATGTTTTGGTTTGACTTTTATGTTATATTGATGGTGTTACTGTTATAACACACACACACACACACACACACACACACACATTATTGTGAAAAAATGAAATATTTAATGGTGTGTGTGTAAAAATTTGATGTGAGTGGGGTTTTGGCTCTATGCCTGAATTCCTCCTAACTCCTGGATCCAACCAGGATCCAATTACTGGAATAGGTATGCAAGTCTCTTGGCAATGGCCCCTTAAGTATGGAATGTTAAGGAAATAAATGAAGCAGCTCTGTGCCAGAGGGCAAATGGGTGGGTAGTTAGGAAGACAAAAACTAGGGTGTGTGTGAGAGAGAGATCCAGGAGTTGGAAGCAGAAAGCAGGCTGGGCAGCTGAGAGATGGAGCCAAGCCTGATTTCTGCTGGAATCCAAGGCTATGGCTTTGGGAGAAGCAAGTCAATGAGGTGAACCCCTCTATCCTTCTTGTTGGCATCTGTCTGTCTCTAGAGACAATGGAGTGTGCCTCCGGGGGAAAGTAAAAATTGCTGTGTTAGCAGCACCAAAGTGTGCTAACATATACCACTGTGTCTCTCATTTATTTGACTGACAAATAAATTATTATTTTAATTTCTCTATTGCTGCGTTGAATATTTTATTCCAGCTAAGCGTTAACCACAAGCAGGGTGCTACAGTGTTAGCAGCACCAAAGTGACTTCCCTGGGGTGCAAGCCTGGGCAGTGGGTATAGAGATCCTGGGCTGCCCAGATGAAAAGGCCTCTCTCTCATCCTCGCTGATGTGATCCAAAGGAACACAGACTAATACATTTGGCACCAGCTTGGCTGCAGGTGTTGCCAGAAGGAGGCATGCAATGTACCACCCAACCGTCTTAGGAACTCCAGCCCAGATTTGTGTAGGGTTTACTCCTTTTCTTCTCCTGAAGATATCCCACAAGGCAGCACAGGTTCAAGAGCAGAGTTTTCCTTCTCCTAGATAGGCTACCTCCCTAGCTGGATGAGCCCCATCTGCCCCTCATTTCCCTCTACGGCCCACACAGAAACCGCCTTCTTGACCGTTGGATCCACTAGTAATCGCATCTGTTCAATCTGCCAGAGCCTCTCTTCACATGCAGGATTGAAAATGAACAATCAATTAATTCATCAGTTATTTTGGTTCAAACTGTGGAACACTGTTGAGACATAAAGTTTGCAGAATGCTTTTTAAAAATTGGTTAAAATGTTTGTGAAATTGGAGAGATATCCAAGAAAGGATTGAGAAAGTCTCTTCTTCAGCATGTACCTCTTTGTATAAAATAGATTCTACCCCACGCTTTATATGTGAATGGAGCAGATATATGAATTGGAAAAATTGAAAAAGGAAAATTGATTTGAGAAACTGAGTGGTTGCTTTTATTTGGTAAATTCATGATATTCCTAGAAATTAATTTTATTACAAAACAAGAACGTACATTGATCCCTTCATTTACATTGCTGGTGATATGGACCAAATGAAGATGGTTTGGGTAAAGAATTGATTCTATATTTATTGTTAGTGTCCAGGATAGTTAGCTAATGGCTGGTAATTTTGGATAATATTGTTACTCCCAACAAAAGTAATAGTGGGCACTTATGGTTCTATAGAAATATTTTTAAAAATATCACTAGAAAATTTGCACTGGGTACTTTGAACCCTGCAGAAATTCACACTGGAAACTGTTTCTCAGCAACAAACCAGCCAAGTCTTGCACAAAACATTATTTGCTCCTGAATCTGCTGGCTCAGGACCCTTGTTGAATGAGAAGCAGCGCTTTATGTGCTGCAAGGCATCTGTTGCATTCTTGGCTGCTGTGACCCAAGAAGTTCTCATGCACAATTGGCTTCTCAGATCAGGTCAGGTATTGCATGCGATGCTTTGCAATGTATGAAGCACCCAGCAGCTGGCAGGCATTTTGCTCTTTAGAAACAAGTTACAACAATCTGAGAGTTAAATGTGTTACTTACAGTGTCCGGGGTATAGGTTCCAAACCCCAATGCGGGGATTTTGTTCCCATCATTCATTGTAATGCCACGGTCTTTGCTAAGTGCCATTTTCTGCTTCTGTGCTTGTTCAGTTCTGATCAACACTCTTGTGGCGAAAGGAAAAACTCGAGTGAGAAAAATGAAGTTCGTGTTTCCAATAAAATGTCTTTTTTTGGCACGATAGGAGGGGAGTGCTTAAATACTCCGAACAAATGAGAGAGAAGGGCGGGGAAACCTATGGCCAACTTTTTATCAGTAATTTTCAGCGGAATGTCCTTTGATGCCCCACAATTTTCATTGTTGACTTAGCGCATTGCTTTCACAGGATAAATAACCTATGACCAACTTTTTATCAGTAACTTTCAGCAGAATGCCCCTTGCTACACCAGCAGTTTCATTGTGGACTAAGCAGCATTGTTTTCACAGGATAAAAAATAGCTGTCTTCTTCTTGTTCTTCTTCTTCTTCTTCTTCTTCTTCTTCTTCTTCCCGTTCCAATAAAGCAATGCAGAGGCCGATTGCAATCTTTGATCAAGAAGCTTCACCTCTTTGTTAGATCAGTAAATGTTAGACATACAAAAAGCAAGCCTAAGAGGTATGCAAACCTTTTCTTCAGGCTGTAGTATTGAAATGAAAAGCTTTTCCTCAATGTCCCTCACAGGTTCCCCAAGCACTAAAGGGGGGAGAGTCAAGGGTGGCCTAGGCATTTTAATATCTACAAGGTTGAGGGCGTCCTTAGTAAAGCTAGAGACACTGAAACACCTGGCTATGGCCTTACTAGTGAAAAGTAGATTCTTCACCCTGCTACTGATTAATGTATATCTTCCCCCCCAAAGAGGCAAGCAGCTGATTAAAAACACCTGGCATGGGCTGGAAACATACATTGATGGTTTGATGACTCAAACCCCTGCAGCTTCAGTGCTAGTGGCTGGTGATCTTAATGCCAGAATTGGCCAGTCTGACGAAGCACTATATGCACACTTCCACGACTCGCCACCCATCGTGGAAGAAAACCACCTTATACCCACCAGACTCTCAAAAGACAAGGGATGTAATTATGCAGGTCTGTGCCTATTGCGTCTTTCTAACAAGCTGGACCTGGTCGTACTAAATGGGCGCAAGAATGGGGAGACCTGTGGGGAATTTACTTTTATATCAAATGCAGGAGCTTCCACTATCGACTATGTTATGGTATCATTTAATCTCCTAAATAGAGCCCTTGAGTGCAAAGTGGAGGAGAGGGTTGATAGTGATCATTTACCGCTCTGCCTCCTCCTGGATGCAAGAAAAGACTTATTTTGCAACGATAAACTTGAAGCCCCCAGGTCCTCCAACATGGAGTTGAGATACTCACGTATTAGGTGGTCCGAAAAGCTGAATGCCGAAACATCTGAAAGGCTATACTCGGACACATTCCTCATGAGAAGAGATAATCTCTTAAACCCACCATGTTCTGAATCTAGAATAATCTTGTTCCAGGATCTGATCTCACTTCTGCAACCCCACCTGATTCAAAAAAAGACATCGCGCCAACCTATATTCCCCAACAAATCCAAACCCTGGTTTGATCAGGAATGTATTGCTACAAAGCGTTCTTTGCTGGATAAGTACAGGAATTACAAATCAGCGAACTTACCCTTGCTTCCCGCGGAATGGTTCGAAGCCAAACGTAAATATAAAGATCTGATTAAAAGAAAAAGCTTCAGGCCCAAAGGGGGAGTGGCAACGTTTATTAGAGGCCTCTCGAAGGAAAGACTCAGCCACCTTTTGGAAAATAGTCGCGAAAAGTTGGCAAGACTCCCGATTGAAATTGATTATACTATACCAGTTGGGATTTGGGAGGCTTACTTTCTATCTTTATATACATCAAATCAACATCTGCAGGCCCTGCCCCCAGCTCCGAGTGATATTGGCACCGAATGGCCCCCAGTAGCAACTGAAGAGATCTATAGGCTCATCCAATCCCTTAAACCTGGAAAAGCACCCGGCGTAGACAACATTACACCGGAACTCCTTAAGGCTAATGTTGAATGGTGGGCCCCTGTGCTAGCTGCCCTATTTACCAGCATAGACCAATCGGCCACTATCCCTGAGGACTGGGGATTAGCAATCATCATCCCTTTATTCAAGAAAGGGAGCCAATCAGATCCGGCTAATTACAGGCCAATTAGCCTAAGTATCATTAGCAAATTGTACGCTGCCCACCTATGCGGCAAATTAGTGGACTGGTTGGAACAAGACCACATTCTTTCAGAAGCACAGGCTGGTTTTAGGGCAAATCGGTCAACCTTAGACCAGGGCCTTGTTCTCCAACATCTTGCGGAGAAATATACATCAAGAAAAGGAGGTTCCCTATACGTGGCCTTTATAGATTTCAAATCTGCTTTTGATTTAATACCGAGGGACAGGCTTTGGGGAAAGCTAAGCGCCGCAAATATAAACAAACGCCTACTGTATCTCATCCACAGTCTATATGAAAATACACGGATCCGGGTAAGGTGTGACCGACAGGGCCACCTATCCAAGGAAATCCAAATCCATCAGGGGTTAGGCAAGGGTGTGTCCTTGCGCCTACTTTATTTAACTTCTATATCAACTCGCTAGTAGGAAATATGGAGAAAGAAAATGCCCATCCCCCCAAATTGGCTGGTACGCCCCTCCCGGTCCTTTTATATGCGGATGACACAGTTTTAATTTCTTTTTCTTGTGTTGGATTAAGAAAACTTTTGAGATCTTTCACCAAATACTGCAGCATCGAACAATTAACAATTAACTACAACAAATCCAAAGTCATGGTGTTCTCTAAAAAAAGGAGGAGGCACAAATGGAGAATAGACAATCGCTTAATAGAACAGGTAGCAACCTTTAAATACCTGGGTGTAACCTTCCAGGAAAGGGACTCCTGGCGCTTTCAGATTAATAATACTATTGCAAATGCAGAAAGATCTACCAAAGCGTTAATAAGATTCTTCTATGGGAAAGGAGGCCAATACATACCGGCAGCCTCTCAGGTCTTTGCTGCCAAAATACTATCACAATTGTTATATGGATCCCAGATCTGCAGCTTTAAAAACCTTACTCTCTTAGAGGCATTCCAAACTAAGTTTTTCCGCTGCCTGCTGGGGATCCCCTCTTGCGTATCCAACATAGCGGTCCGTTTGGAGGTTGGGCAAATTCCTATCAGTACTCGGATATGGATATTGAAGATCCATTATTGGCTAAAGCTTATTTTCTTCCCGGTTGGGCTGGCACCTTTAACCTTATTGGATACCTACCAATCCAAATGGAAAGCTACACTGCTGGAAAAGCTTAAAGGCTTGGGGATCCCACAGCAGACCCTGATAGCGACAGGCTTCGAGAAAGCTAGGACTACAATTCGCCAGCGTATCTGGGACGTAGAATTACAATGCCACATGAGCGAAATGATCAAACATCCAGCAATAAGGGACCATGGGAGAGGTTTCTCTCCAGCTAACTATCTGTCAGGTCTTCAGGTACCCAAATACAGACGGTCTTTTACCCTCGCCAGATTCAACGTTCTCCCTTCTGCCTTACTTCAGGGCAGATTTGAGGGTAAACCATACACAGCACGGGTCTGCCCCTGTGGCTCGTTGGAAGTTGAAACTGCTTCACATGTACTATTACGTTGTCGTCTTTATGAGGATATACGTTTGACTTTTATTACACCTGTTTTGCAAAAGTCCAGGAAAGAATCGGAACACCATAGTTTAAAACTACTGCTAGAGGACAAGAATCCCAAGACTACATTAAATGTAGCCAAATTCTGTGCGTCTGCAATTAATCGCAGGAAGCAAGTGGTATCCCATAATGACCAAACCCCCAAATATTAATCACAGGGGGCACACTAATAATTAATTTTAATTTTTTATATTTAAATGCTTGATATACTCATATTGTCCTCTGTATTTTTGATATATATTTTTTTAATGATCTGTGATATTGTGTGTGTTGACGCTGGTCTGTGACCGTATTAATAAATTCATTCATTCATTCATTCATTCAAGCCTAAGAGGTATGCAAACCTTTTCTTCAGGCTGTAGTATTGAAATGAAAAGCTGTGAAACAAAATAATAAATGAAACATGTGGAGGCATCTGTTAACCCAATGAAGCTGGGTGTTCTGAGTGCATTGAACACACAAAGGATGTAAGGAAGGAAAGGAGCATACAAATAAGATCCCAAACTGCCTCTGGCTGTGTACACTTTGCCGGCACATGTAAAACACATTTGATGTGCACGACATTCCCGAAAGAATCCTGGGAACTGAGATTTGTTAAAGATGCTGGGAATGGGAGCTTTGTGAGGGGTAAACTACAGTTCCCAGAATTCTTTTCGAGGGGCCATGTGCTTTAAAAGTGCTCCAGATCATAGCATCACAGAAATGTGGACTTGGAAGGGACAGTGAGGATCATCTATTTCAACCCCTTGCAATGCAGGAATCTTTCGCCCAACGTGGGGCTCAAACCCACAACGCTGAGATTAGAGTCTCACGCTGTACCAACTGAGCTGTCCCTCAGGGTGTGTTTGTTGCACAATCATCTTCTGGTTTGGAGTAAACAGCATCAGAATGCAATGCATCATAAGAAATGTTAGGATGGATAAAGGATGTGGAACATGGCACCATGTGCACAATGCTCACCCTGAATTCAGATTAAAGGGAAAAGTGTCCACAACCTCCACCTTTACTGGAAGGTTAAGGTTACGCAAAGCAGGGGATGAGTGGGAGACAGCAAATAGCAACAAATGATTTCAGCAAGGACATTTTGAATATTGTTACAGATTCCAGAGGATAGAATGCATGCATATAACATGGTCAGAAGTCATTTGAGGTCATGGTGGCAGACAATCAAAACCCTCTTTACTCCTCGGAGCCAGCAATGGTCATTCCTGTCCATCCCTTCCTCAGAAGTGGAAGCAGCGACTTTGTAATTTAGAAGTTTCCCCTCATGTCCTGCTTCCCACAGACATCTGGTTGGCCACTGGGAGAACAGGTTGCTGGACTAGATGGGCCACTGGCCTGATTCAGCAGGCTCTTCTTATTTTCTGAAGGTATTTCAAATCATCTTGGCAATAAATCTCAGGCTATGCAGCTGCTTCTTTTTATGGAAGTTAATCCCCCCCCTTGTGCTATTTTCATTATACGACTCCCCCCCCTTGTAACTGCTATTTGACACATTAGGGAGAAACTACACAGCTCACACTTCTTGAACCAATATGCAAATCAAAATGCAGTTATCCTGAGAAAGTGGCAATTCTCTGAATTTTGTGATGCAGTTGTTCAGCTACAGAACCATTACAAAAATGCATACAGTGGTACCTCGGGTTAAGTACTTAATTCATTCCAGAGGTCTGTTCTTAAGCTGAAACTATTCTTAACCTTAAGCAACACTTTAGCTAATGGGGCCTCCTGCTGCTGCTGTGCCGCTGGAGCACGATTTCTGTTCTCATCCTGAAGCAAAGTTCTTAACCTGAAGCACTATTTCTGGGCTAGCGGAGTCTGTAACCTGAAGCGTATGTAACCTGAAGCGTATGTAACATGATGTACCACTGTATAGTGGGGTAAAGTATGCATTAAAGAGCATATATCAGTGAAAACACCGTGCAAACATGCTTTATTTTAGCCAAAAGTGCAAAGAAAAATGTGTATGGTAAGAGAAATCTGCAATGATGAATTTTCAAGGGATTTTGTTTTCATCCCAAACTGATATGGCAAAGTGAGGAACTGAAGAGTGGAAAATGAGATGCTGGGATGCTGGGAGGAACTGATATTCACAGATTTGCCCAGTTTTTTCCATGAAAAAGGACCCAGGTTCAGAAGGAGATGAATTAGAGATGAGAGATGAGTCCTCATTCCACATCTGGTGGGTAATACTGTGGGTGATCAGCGTATCTGAAACAAAACAAAAGAGAGTTCAGCGTATCTGAAACAAAACAAAACAAAAGATCAGCGTATCTGAAACAAAACAAAAGAGAGTACACTCAGGGGTAGGGAAGATGCACAAGCAACGAAAATTGATCTGTTGCTAGCCATTGCCTCATGAGACCATTTCACACAGTGCTCCCCGAGTTTGCCATCAAATGCCTGATCTGCTGAATATCTGGCTGAAAGTCAAAATGGTCCACCATATTACAGTCTAAAACTTGCAATATCGGGATGATCATATGTCCGTCTTCTCACTAGAGAAAATAACCCCTAGATGATGAACACAGCCCTGGTTGCTGATCAAAGTGGTACAAAAGGGTTGGGTCAAAGGTCTCCCCCCTCTTCCCCAGCGTCTTTTCGAGACTTTCAGGTAGGGGCAGAAGGACAAATGCTGTTTTGGGAGTCCCTTACTGGCAGTAATGCATGAGGCAGCCATCTCCCGCCCCCCATCAAATGTTCCTGGAAATGTCATCACATCATTGTATGGCATTGGTCTCAAGGGTATTTGGAAGCCTGGTTTCAAAGCACAGAGCAACTGTCGGGGGAGCAGCAAAGCTACAACTTGCTTTATACAGTGGAAAAAGATCCTGAATTGCCATGGGGTAAATTATGGGGAGATTAGAAGTCCACCCCAAACATTACATTTTGTCAGAAACTGGACTTTTTCAAGACTGTCTAGGGCCAAAAACTACTGGGAGAGCTCGGTCAGTAAGGATGGAACTCTTAATCTCAGGGCCATGGGTTTGAGCCCCATGCTGGGCAAAAGATTCCTGCATTGCAGGGGGCTGGACTAGATGACCCCCGTGTCCCTTCCAACTCTACAATTCTATGACAGGGACACTTGTCCATACACTTGCACCCCATTCCAACTATGCATGGGGCTTTGGTACAATGGATCCACAGTAATTCCTTCTATAGTTTCACCTAATTCTCTATGAAGAGAAGAGATGGATGCCAGATCTTTTCTTCCTTTTGCTCTCGCAGTATGAATTCTTGCATGAAGCACTTTTATGTATTCATATGTATACAATTTAAATATGACTTACACGTCCCATTTTAAAAAGCTCATGTTTTTGTGAAGGCCATCAATGGATTTCATATCCTCCTCAGACAGCTGGAAAGTAAATGCCTGTCAGGAGGAGAAAAAAATAATAATGCTGAGGTGGTTTTTAATCATGTCTTCTTTTTGCACCTCAGAGCTGTGCACTGTTTTCCAGCAACAGAGAAACCAAAGCGAACTTTGCTACCACCTTCCAAAGTTCAATTCCTTCCTTCAACAGCTTCAGTCCAGATGTCCTCCCACTGAGGGAATTTTATATGCATAGTAATGTTGGTTTGCAATAGAACAGGAGTGGGGAAACTGTGGCCCCCCAGATGTGGATGGACTCCAACTCCCCATCAGTCTTCGCCATCATGACCAATTAATTGTCAAGATGAGGGAAGTCACAACCCAGCAAATATAGTTTAGTACTTCAGTAGTCACAGCTGTCCATGAAGGCACAGGTCAATTCTGTGTCCAGGGCAGCTGACTACCAGCTCCATCTGGGATGCAGGCTGAAACGCTACCTGCCTGCAGACTGTCTCGCCAGAGTGGTGCATGCTCTAGTTATTTCCCACTTGGACTACTGCAAAAGGGCTACCTTTGAAGGTGACCCTGAAGCTAAAACAAATCCAGAATGCGGCAGCTAGACTGGTGACTGGGAGTGGCCGCCGAGACCATATAACACCGGTCCTGAAAGGGCCATATTAGCTCCCAGTACATTTCTGAGCAAATTCAAATTGTTGGTGCTGACCTTTAAAACCTTAAATGGCCTCGGCCCAGTATACCCAAAGGAGCGTCTCCATACCCGTCGTTCAGCCTGGACACTGAGGACCAGCACCAAGGGCCTTCTGGTGGTTCCCTCGCTGCGAGAAGCCAAGTTACAGGGAACCAGGCAGAGTGCCTTCTTGGTAGTGGCACTCACCCTGTGGAATGTCCTCCCATCAGATGTGAAGGAAATAAACAACTATCTGACTTTTAGAAGACATCTGAAGGCAGCCCTGTTTAGGGAAGTTTTTAATGTTTGATGTTTTATCATGCTTTTAACATTCTGTTGGGAGCTGCCTAGAGTAGCTGGGAAAACCCAGCCAGATGGATGGCGTATAAATAAATTATTATTATTATTATTATTATTATTATTATTATTATTAATGCAGTGTATAGCTAAACTGCCGAGTTATGTGACCCGTGAGTTCACAGTGTTCAAATGTTGGGTTTTTTCAGTATTGTTTTTTAATGGATTTATATATGCTCCTTTACCTGGACGTCTTCCTCAATTTGTTCTCTGGTGTCGGCCTTCACTATGACCACCAGGCCGCGCTGCAGTTGGTAGCGAATAGCCACGAGAGCTGGGCTTTTGTTGTACTTCTTGGCGATCGCAACCAACAGAGGGACTTCAAGCAGGGGAGGAGCTTCTGGATTTAACCTGTTGGAGAGCAACATGCAGAGAAGGTGTGTTTCTGGTGTCAAGATGCACAAATATACACGCACAAATATAGGATGGAGGACACTTGGCTTGACAGCAGTATATATGAAAAGGCTCTAGGGGTCTTTGTAGACCACAAGCTTAACATGATTCACAGTGTGATGCAGCAGGAAGAGAAGCTAATGCTATTCTAGGCTGCATCAGCAGAAGTATAGTGTTCCCATCAAGGGAAGTAATAGCAGCACTCTATTATCCATTGGTCAGACTTCACCTGGAATACTGTGTCCAGTTCTGGACTCCACAGTTTAGGAAGGATATTGACAAGCTGGAACATGTGCTGAGGAGGGTGAACAGAATGATAAAATATCTGGAACCTGAGCCGCATGAGGAATGGTTCAAGGAGCTAAGAATGTTTAGCATGGAGAAGGATAGATGAACAGGTGATGTGGTAACCATCTTTAAATATCAGAAGGGCTGCCTCATGGAAGATGGAGCTCGCTAGTTTTTTATTGCTACAGAGGGTAGGACCTGAATCAATGGATTCAAATTACAAGAAAGTTGATTTTGACTAAAAATTAGGAAGAACATTCTGGCAGTAAGAGCTGTTCAACAGTGGAATGGACTCCCTGAGAGGGTAGTGACGAGGGGTTGTATATAAATCTAAGTAAGTAAGCAAGCAAGTATTCTGTATTTAATGTTTGCTTGGTTGGTTGGTTGATGTGAGTTAATTTAATTTTTTAGTATCCCATTCTCCACCATAAATTGCAGCCAGAGTGGGAACCCTAAGCTTTGCATAAGTTCAAAAATGTACTTGGGGGGCAGGGGTAACTAAGAAAGAAAAGAAAAAAGCCCCAACAGTCCAATGGGGATGGTGTCTGCTCAGTGTATAAAGAATCCTGAGTACCTGTTGGAGAGAAAATATGGAGCATTGGGGCAGGAGGTCAAATGTAATGGAGTTTCCTGGAAGAAGGCATGGCTCACTGGACTGAAGCCAGAACAGGAGAACTCAGTATTGCAAAGTTTTGTTGCTGGTCCCACTTGTGAAAAATAATCATTAGAGTGGCTTCCAATATAGATGAAAACAATAGAAACATAGGGAACAGGCTATGTAAAAAGTGAAATGCTATAATAATTTCAATGCAAGGCTGGATGGAGGGCCCTTTCATCCCTGCCAGTCTTGGTGATTGCAACCAACAGGACAGCAGAGCAACATGGAAAGAGTGTGCATTTTTGGTGGCCAGAATATAGATATCAGCATTGGCCGGGCCATCCAATATATGCTATCTTTAAAGGTCGGTTAGTTGATTTGAATTAATTTAAGTTTTTAGTATAGTGCTTTCCCCCCAATAAATCACAAGCTCATACTTTGCATGTGGATCATTCTGTAGCCAGAATGGTAGCATCCATGCACAAAAGAGAGGTCTTTTTCTTTGCTGAGGTACAATCAGTATTTGGGGGGGGGGGATGCAACGGCACTTTTTCCCCTGGCGCCGTTGGACCCGCCCTCACTTAAATATAGTGCACCCTCCTCACAGAACACCAATTCCACGAATTCCTACAAACTACCCCAGATTATCTTGTGGGGGTTTTCCCTTGTGTGAGGGAAAACTTAATACTTTGGATTTGATCAAATAAACAACAAAGATTTTGTTAAACAAAGGAAGTTTATGACACAAGTGGGTGAAACATAGGATACTTCAGATTATAATGCTCTTTCACTTCAGTTCTTTCTCAGTTGTTGCACGGCTGTTGCCCCTTAATACTTTGGTTCTTAAACAAGGTGGTACTTCCTGTCAGTTACACACCGCTTTGACAACCCTACTCCTGAGGTACTCCAAGTAACAGACCCAAGGGATCTCCATAGCCCTCTTAACTGGTTTGGGCGTCTTCTCTTTTTGTAGAAGAATCGCTCCCCTCCTGACTGGAATGAGACCTAAGTGGGCTGTCATTTCCCAGCTTCCACTTCTCCTGGCTCAGCTTCAGCCTCCCAGTTAATTCCTGGCCTGTTACTTTTACAGGATGCCACACACTGTCCTTCACACTAAGCTCAGAGACTCCTTTCTCTAGCTTGTCATATTCCTCAGAGTGGATGTTTCCACCCAGAAGCAACTCTCTCTCTCTCTCTCTCTCCCTCCCTCCCTATTCTCCCAACCTACCAAACTGTCTCTCCAAATCCTCTCCTTTTCAACTCCCCCTCCTGGAACCCCAGCCAAAAAGAAAAAGAAAACACTTGGGGACCCAACCTGGCCAGCAAAACAAACTTTTCCTTCACAGGGGTACCTAAGGAGGGAAAGAAACGCCCAAAGAATCCTGTGGGACTGTTGGAGAGTTGAGATGGAAAAGAGGGAGGGAGTTCAAATGAAATGGAGGATCCTGGAGGAATGCACAGCTCATTGTCTTGAAGGAGAACTCAATATTTGTTGCTGGTCCCACTTGTTAAAAATAAGCATTTAAGTGGCTTCCAAGATAGATAAAAACAACACAATTCAAAATTCTGAGACACATGAAACAAGAGAAAAGAGAAATGCTATAATTATTTAAATGCAAGGCTGGGTGCAGGGCCCTTTCATTCCTGATATTCTACTGCTTAAAGCAACATTAAACATAATATAAATGTGATTTGAAAACAGCACAAAATTTCCGAAGCAGAAATCATTAAATAGCCCCCTGCCTGTAACATTTAAAAACATGTGTTTGGGAGAAGTCAAACAGTTATATTAAAAAAAATGTCTAAAATGGGAGGTGAAGAGCTTTGCAAATCTCTCTCTGGAATGAGTTCCCCAATTGTGGGGCCACTACAGAAAAGGCCCTGGTGCTGGTATCCAACATGAGGATCTTTATTAATTGTGGGGCCAAGAGTACAACCTTCAGAGCTGATCTGGATGCTGGGGAATAGTGGGCCTAGGTGGTGCCTGAGGTGGTCCTCAAACGTTTTGGCTTCATCTCTTACCATTTTGGGTCCCTTTGGGATCCCAGGACACAATATCCTTCTAGGATGATATCGTTTGACTTGCAGAAGGCCAGCAGCTTGCTTTGGTTCCGATAAGGATGGCATTCAACCTGTAGATTCAAAATCCCCCAACACAACCCAAAAGTGAGAATTCAGGTGAAACAAAGAATACCATGAAATAAAGGAAAGGCAGAAAAGCAGAACCATGCTATTATTTCTTGAAATATCCTGTTGTTACCATTCTTAAAGTGTGTTGTGTTTTCTGATGCATCAGAATCTTTAGAGGACCATTCTTGCATTTGTGGTTTCCATCCATACTCCTCATCCATGAAATATGTCTTAGCCCAAAGAAGAAATATCATGGGCACACTGTCCTGCCTACAGTGTCTCTATTTCTGGCCACTCAGTCTCTGAATTTTCTATTCTGAGCAGAAAGATCTGATGGGGGATTTGCGTGGCTTTCCAGCAAGCTGAGCAGATGATCTGGGACTCTGCTTTATCAGGGTCTCAATCAACTGAAATTTCCAATCAAATTGAGTGTATGATATGTTAATAAAGTAGATTAGCCAGAATGCTGCGCTGCTGAGTCTGTCACGCGAATTGATAACACTCTGCTGTTCCTAAGCGTGCTGATGCCTCTTGGTATCAGTCGCTGTGATGTTCGGACTGGAGAAAGCTTTTGAAGCTCCCGAACGACTGACCAGGAGGGAGAGAACATGCCAGTCGGGCATGTGTCTCTATCGGAGTCCTACTTGCTTGTAGAATGATCCTGACACTGACTGCTTGCAGGCCTCCTTCTACCTGAGATGCTTGTTTCAAACATTATGGACTTCTCCACACTTCCTTTGTCTGAGGATTCAAAAATCTTGATTAAATGAGAACCCATTACTGGTTCCAGGAATTTAGGGGAGTCCACCCCACAACTCATAACCATATCTTCTTGTGACTGGATCTGCAACCTTATAGCCTTAAGCAAGTTTTTTCAGAGAATGGCTGTGTTCATCAAAAGAAAGGTCCTCTCACAAAAGAGCTTAAATAAAGAAGCTTTCAACCATGCTTGGAACAAACCCCTACAAAAGGCAATCACACTTGACCTGGTTTATCACTGGCTTGTATTTCAACCCTGGCTTGTTGAGGATCAATTCCAGCTGCTTACGGGTGAAGTTGGACACTCCGATGGACCTCACCAAGCCGGCATCTTTGCACGCCTCCATTGCCTGGCAAAGAAAACACAACATGTTTGTTGAGTGGTGTTTGTTGAATAGCTGAGGCCACACCTTTTTCCAGACTAAGATTGGAGTCTTATAGTTCACCAGCTCTCATAGGAGCCATTGTGTGAGTCATTGTTCTGGACATGCCTCCTCTGGCGGAAGGCTACTGTGCTCTGTATCTGAATGACTCAAGGGATGGATTTCCTAATTTCCTACCTCCCATGTCTGACGAAGATCTACGTTGTCAATAATCAATTTTTTGTCTTCTGTCAAGGGATAAAAATCTGGTCCAGGCTGGAAAAGAAGGAGGGGGAGGGAATGAGTGCATTTCAGGCTTAGAGGTTCACAAGCACCACATTTCACATTCTTGTTTATTCAAGAGGGATAAAGTGTTACTTTATCCTGGAAAAAATACTTACGGTGAAATATTAGGTAAAGGTAAAGGTAAAGGACCCCTAGACAGTTAAGTCCAGTGAAAGGTGACTATGGAGTTACGGTGCTCATTTCGCTTCCATACCGAGATAGCTGGCATTTATCCTCAGACAGCTTTCCGGGTCATGTGGCCAGCATGACTAAACCTCTTCTGGCACAATGGAATACCATGACGGAAACCAGAGCACACGGAAACACCATTTACTTTCCTGCCACAATGGTACTAATTTATCTATTTACACTGGCGTGATTTCTAACTGGTAGGTTGGCAGAAGCTGGGACAGAGCAATGGGAGCTCACCCCATTGCAGGGATTTAAACCGCCGACCTTCTGATCGACAAGCCCAAGAACCTCAGTGGTTTAGTCTACATCTCCACCAGCATACCCCCATTGCAATATTAACTCAGTATTGTCTCTTTTAACCCAGGGGTGGGAATCAGTGGATCTCCAGGCTTTGCTGGCCTCCAAGTCCCATCAGCTGCAGCCAGCAAGGACAGTGATCAGGGATGATAGGAGTTGCAATTGAGCAACATCTGGAAGGCCACAGGTTACCCAAACATGCTTTAATCTCCCCCCCATAGAACAAACTGTCTTCTCTCTCTGCACAGGTCTGTCTCCCCATCTCTCCAACCCCTTTTTTCTTCCCTCGCTCCCTCGCCAAGTCCTGCTATGCAGATGATTTCTTACATATGATGCCCATGTAGTTAATGTAATAAGTATATGCAGCTGTTTTCTTTAACTGGCATGGTTTCTCCCCCCAAATCTGGGAGCGGTCATCCCTTGATTGAGATATAGTAAAGCAGAGAACTGTCAGCATCTCTAGGAAATAACAATTCCCAATGTTCCTTCAGGGAATCAAATATTTTTAGTAGGCTCTCCCCTCCCAATCAAATATTGTACTCAGTACTTGCATTATGACATCAATAATTATTTACCTTCATAGAATACGGATTGTGCATTAAGAACAGATCCATGTAGTCAAACTGGAGTTTCTTCAGGGATTCTTCCACGCTTTTCCGAACTAGCTCTGGGCGGTGGAAAGTACTCCAGAGCTGTCAAAAATATAAAGAGATTTATATTTTCACACAGCCATAGAGTTTTTGGGTCTCAGGACAGTTTAGCTCTGGCAGATGACTATTCCAGTGTGCACAGTGTTAAGGACACACTCAAATATTGTTCTGAAGAGTATTTTGAATTGCTGTGGTGAGGTAAAGCAAATTTAAAGTCATCATTGCTAATAAACAGTATTTTTACCATTTATTTATGAAATTTATATATTGCCCTTCATCAAAAGATTGCATCATGATGCAGGCACTATATTTTACAGTGGTACCTTGGGTTACAGACACTTCGGGTTACAGACACTGCTAACCCGGAAGTAGTACCTCAGGTTAAGAACTTTACCTCAGGATGAGAACAAAAATCCTGCACCAGTGGTGCGTTGGCAGCGGGAGGCCCCATTCGCTAAATTGGTACCTCAGGTTAAGAACGGTTCCAGGTTAAGAACGGACCTCCGGAACGAATTAAGTACGCAACCAGAGGTACCACTGTACTCTTTTTTTTTTTTTAATGCCAAACTCACTCACTTTTCCAGTGTAGAAAATGTCTTCCCTTTTTATTGTTCCGTCTGCAATCTTCGCACGAACGGCCCGCCCAACGTGCTCCTCTGTCTGGTATACATATGCACTATCAATAAGACGGAAGCCGTATTCTATTGCTATCTTTGCAGCCTCCTCACACTTACTTTTTGGAACCTGCCGGTTGAAAAGGTGAAAAGGTTAGTCAAGGTCTCTGCTTCAGTGGGGAAATTAATATCAGAGGGTACCTGTAAGTAACACTGAGTATCGGTGGACATTTTCAAACTAGACCTGAGTCTCAGGGACTCAGCTAGGCTGGCCCCAAACACATTAAATGAAAAGAAAGAAAAAGCGTAAAGAAAAAGCAATTTATGTATACAGTATGTGTTGCATGTGCGATATAACATTGTGCTACCAGATGGCATTTTGCTCTTCAAAAACAAGTTACAACAATCTGAGAGTTAAATGTGTTACTTACAGTGTCTGGGGTATAGGTTCCAAACCCCAATGCGGGGATTTTGTTCCCATCATTCATTGTAATGCCACGGTCTTTGCTAAGTGCCATTTCCTGCTTCTGTGCTTGTTCAGTTCTGATCAACACTCTTGTGGCGAAAGGAAAAACTCGAGTGAGAAAAATGAAGTTCGTGTTTCCAATAAAATGTCTTTTGTTGGCACAAAAGGAGGGAGTGCTTAAATACTCCGAACAAATGAGAGAGCAGGGCGGGGAAACCTATGGCCAACTTTATCAGTTATTTTCAGCGGAATGTCCTTTGATGCCCCACAATTTTCATTGTTGACTTAGCAGCATTGCTTTCACAGGATAAATAACCTATGACCAACTTTTTATCAGTAACTTTCAGCAGAATGTCCTTTGCTACACCAGCAGTTTCATTGTGGACTAAGCAGCATTGCTTTCACAGGATAAAAAATAGCTTTCTTCTTCTTCTTCTTCTTCTTCTTCTTCTTCTTCTTCTTCTTCTTCTTCTTCTTTTTCTTCTTCTTCACGTTTCAATAAAGCAATGCAGAGGCTTATTGCAATCTTCAATCAAGAAACTTCACCTCTTTGTTAGATCAGTAAATGTTAGACATACAAAAAGCAAGCCTAAGAGGTATGCAAACCTTTTCTTCAGTATTGTAATGAAAACAACACATGCTCAGAAACAAAATAAGAAATGAAATAAATGGAGGCATCTGTTAACCCAATGATGCTGGGTGTTCTGAGTGGAACATGGCGCCGTGTGCACAATGCTCAGCCTGAATGCAGATTAAAAGGAAGAGTGTCCACAGCCTCAGCCTTTATTGGAGGGTTCAGGTTACGCAAACCAGGGGCTGAGTGGGAGACAGCAAGTAGCAACAAATGATTTCAGCAAGGTCATTTTGAATATTGTTACAGATTCCAGAAGATAAAATGCATGCGTATAACATCATCTGCTGTGAAATAGAGTGACCAGAAAAACATAGAAGTTTTTTTAAATTGAATTATGTTGCCTACACAAACAATTAGAACAAAACTTACAGTCATCAAACAGATTAAGTAATTAAAAAAAGAATCAAAAATTAATAAGGAAAAGTAAAATTATAATATAGAAGAAGACAAAAGAAAGGTGAATCATGAAAGAGAAGAAAAGGAGAAAAAAAGAAAAAGAAGAAGGAATATATATGTGTGTGTGTCTATGTGTGTGTGTGTGTGTGTGTGTGTGTGTGTGTCCATCCATACTTTAGTGCTATCCAGAGACCCATAAAACAAAAACCATAAAACAATTTCAAAACTAGATTATCCACTCTTTGATCCAGGTCCAACATGCAGCTTGATAATATAATTGGAGGTCTGAGACTGTGAACCCTGGGACATAGACGTTATTTCAGGTTGAGCTGGAAGACAATCAAAACCCTGTGCCCTTAAATCCTCACAGCCAGCGGTAGTCATTCCTGCCCACCCTTCCTCAGAAGTGGAAGCTATGACTTTGTAATTTAGAAGTTTCCCCTCATGTGCTGCTTCCCACAGGCATCTGGTTGGCCAATGTGGGAACAGGATGCTGGACTAGATCGGCTACTGGCCGAATTCAGCAGGCTCTTCTTATTTTCTGAAGTTATTTCATCTTGACAATAAATCTCAGGCTATGCAGCTGCTTCTTTTTATGAAGGTTAATCCTTCCCCCCGACTTGTGCTATTTTCAATATACAAGTCACTCCCCTTGAAACTGCTATTTGACACATTAGGGAGAACTAGGGATGGAGGAGGAGTTCAGTTTTGTTCACATTTGAATGAGAAACTACACAGCTCACACTTCTTGAGCCAATATGTGAATCGAAATACAGTTATCCATAAGAAAGTGGCAATTCTCTGTATGTGTGATGCAGTTGTTCAGCTACAGAATAATTGCAAAAATGCACATACTGGGGTAAAGTACAGTAATACCTCTGCGAATGTCCGCCTTGTCTAGTGTCCATTCTGGCAAATGTCCGCGGCAAACTCAGAAGTACTAGAATGGGCTACTTCTGGGTTTGCCGCTTGCGCATGCGCAGAAGAGCTAAATTACACTTTGCACATGTGCAGAAGCGCAAACTGCTCCATGATTTGCCCTGCATCCTTTTCGGCTAGTGTCTGGGGCTCCGGAATGGATCCCGGCCACAAAACGAGGTACGACTGTATGCATTAAAGAACATATATTAGTGAAAACACCATGCAAAAATGCTTTATTTTAGGCAAAATTGCAAAGAAAAATGTGTATGGTAGATTCATCTGTTGAAGGTAGAGAACAGCATCGAGTATGGAATCAGTCAAAGGGTTTTATTCATCTCCAAATGTATAGTTAGGATGGGAAGCAAATCTGAAAAATAATAATCAATGGAGCTTCTAAATTACAAGGAGCAAGAATGGGTGAGATTCAGGTTTCAGAAGGAATATCCAACACATTTAAAGCACATGAAGCCTAGCCACTGGAGTTTACCCTTGGAGAACTACAATTCCCTTAATGTTTGCTGGTGGGTTTGCTATCTATCTCAGGATTGTCATCCTTGGGCCAGCCCACCACAATTTGCTTGCCTGAGGCAAATTGCAAGATGGTGCACATTTCATATACAGAAGCCAGCTGGAATGACAATCAAAACTTACACCTAGATTGGCAGCAACACAGTGCCCTTCACCAAACCTGAGTGTCCATCACCACAACTGAGGGCAGCAGGCTAGTTATATGGGTGCAGGACAGTCATGTGAAGCACACAGCTCTGCCCTCCAACAGAAGGAGACGGGCAGGGTGCTCAGAAGAATCAGCTGGGGAGGGGGCTGGCCGGGAGGGTGCTTCCACACTGGGCATTTGAATGTGGAATTTGCTCTCTTTTCCCTGTGGAAAGTGAGGAGAAAAGTGGTTGATGCACCAGCTGAAGCACACTTTGCCTAACAGTAGGGCCGGCCCTGGTTCTACTTGACTGTCTCAATAGGGAACACATACAGTTGTACCTCAGGTTAAGAACTTAATTTGTTCTGGAGGTCCGTTCTTAACCTGAAACTGTTCTTAACCTGAGGTGCCACTTTAGCTAATGGGGCCTCCTGCTGCCGCCACGCAATTTCTGTTCTCATCCTGAAGCAAAGTTCTTAACCCGAGGTACTATTTCTGGGTTAGCGGAGTCTGTAACCTGAAGCGTCTGTAACCTGAAGCATCTGTAACCCGAGGTACCACTGTACTTAGGCCCTTAGTCTTTAGTAGCAAAAAGGGGAAATAACGGTGTGCCATTACTGAGCTGTTTTAACTGGCATACCAGAGTAAGGGACATGAAGACCTTTTGGTTTGGAGGGCAATCGTTCTTGAAATGTGTTGGGTGTAATCAATTGCGTCTTTTGAGCACCAGTCTGACATCCTACCCCTTGTGTGCAGCTTGTATGTGTGTCCCCACCCCACTTCCCCATGACCCTTCACCCCCACCAAATTGTCAGGGGTGCTACCACACCCTCCCCAGGGCAACAAGGAACGGGTAGTGCTCTGGCTGCAACCACAAACACCTAATTCCCACCAGGAGCTGCCTCCACACGTGGGCTTCTCAAATGCCCACCTGTATCACTGTGTGACAATATGGATCAGGCTGAACTCTAACAACAGGTTCCCTTGCCTTGCCGCCTTCAACTCACCCTGTCAGTTTCATGTAGCGAACATTTCTTTTAATGCCATTGAGGGTTTTCATGTCCTCTTCAGGCAGCTGGAAATCAAACACCTAGCAGAGGAGACAGGGTTGCATATAATCAGCAAGGGCTCTATTATTATTATTATTATTATTATTATTATTATTATTTCAATTTATACACCGCCTTGTACCCGGAGGTCTCAGAGCGGTTCACAAACAAGACCACAACGTATAAAATCAAACCAAAAACAATAACCCAATAACGCCTCTCCCCCAAAAAGCCACATTCTAAAAGGGTGTTGGATGTCAATATGATCAACCAAAGGCCTAGTTAAAAAAGAACGTTTTTGCCTGGTGCCTAAAGGTGTATAATGAAGGCACCAGGGAAACTTCCCTGGGGAGAACATTCCATTGACGGGGAGTCACTGCAGAGAAGGCCCGTTCTCATGTTGCCACCCTCCGGACCTCTCAAGGAAGAGGCACACAAAGAAGGGCCTCAGAAGATGATCTCGGGGTCTGGGTAGGTTCATATGGAAAGAGGCTCTAGATTTTCTGAAGCTCAAGCGCTGAGGCAAAGTGGGCAGAAAGAGGAGACATTGGCTCCCCTATCCAGCAGAATCTCTCACTGATCTCACCTGCATTTTCATCGTGTTTTAGACATCAATGGTTCCCATTCAACTCTGCTTACGCAGTTGAGCTCCTGTGAGTAAGATGGACCCCATCTCCACTATTGCTTACCCCACAACTTAACTCTGTTACTGGTTTGTGTTCAGTATGTGGTAGGTTATTCTACTTAAAGTGCAGGTATGAACGAACACTCAGCTCCCAATGTCTCACCTAAACCAGTACACATTAGGCTTTGGTTCACTGCGTCTGCAAACTGCTGACTTACCTGCAGGTTTTCTTTAATGTGTTTTTGGGTGAAACTCTTGGCCAGAACCACAATGCCACGCTGCAATTGGTAGCGCAAAGCAATGAGCACTGGGCTTTGGTTGTGCTTCTTAGCAAGGTCAACCAGTACTGGTTCCTCACGCAGAACTGGCGTGCTTGTGTCCATCCTGCAAGAGGAAAGCAACCTCAGGTGTCATTAAATAACAATATTGTGACATATTCAAGTCAACATTTGAGCGTATCTAGACACTATAAGTATAAAGCTGTTTTAGACCAGATCATCTGGTATGGAGGAACCCAACCAATGAACCCTGCAAATAGGTGTTCTGTGCAGAGGGCAGGAACAGTGGAACAAAAGCACAATCCTATGCATATTGACACGTCAGTCTTACTGGCCATATTCATATACTGATAAACCATGGTTTGTTGAAATGGGACTGAGCCTAGCCTCCCTCTGAACTCATATGCTCCTTTCCTCCTTTGGTGCAGCTGCAAGGAGTTTAGAAGTGAATCCCAGAGGGATTTAGTGCACACTGCTTAAAATGGTTGGGTCTGGTAGACAGAATTGCAAACAGAAATGTGTGCATTAGCAGAAATGCACACCAAAATGCTGTCAAATTTTCATGAGAAATTTTTCTTAAAAAAAAAAAAGTTTGCAAACTTTAAATTTGATGCGGAATGATGCGGAAACCAGAACTTAAGAAAAAGGAGAAACCCAAACTGTCAGATTCATCTACCCCGTTAAGCACACATTCCTTTCTCCTAATTTCTGTATGGCTTTGACTAGGTGCTACCTTTGTGCCCCTTCCCCTGATCCCATATTTGCTATCTTGGATCAGATATTCTTTCTGGTTTTGATGGTGCACTTTTCTCCTTCCTAACTGATCTTTGATTGCTGCTCTAGAACAAGCATGGGGAAGCTTTGGCTGAGCTGCTACTGGCATAATCCTTGGCCGTTGGGCATGCTTGCTGCAGCTGACGGGAGTTGTAACTCAACCACATCTTCAGGGCCAAAGGTTCCCTACAGTTGTTGGTTAATTATTGGCTAATCATTGAAATACTGGAATAAATGAACAAAGTTAAGTGTTTTCTCCTACCAAGCCTCGTCTCTCTGTGATCCTAAAGCAGAGAAAGCTTCCAGGACAATATCCTTTGATTTGCAGAAAGACAGCAGCTGGGCTTGCTTGAGATAAGGGTGGCATTCGACCTGGTAGAGAATTTGTGCACAAGCCAAGAGTAAGAAGCACAGTCTGGAGGAGCAGTCTTTACAGTCTTGTTACAAAACAACAAAAATAAATTGGTTCTTGAAGACAGAGCATTATGAATGGACCTGAACATCTGTAACGGGGAAGTGGGTTTTTGCCTGCTGGATCCATTCTCAAGTTCCCTGCGCTTTGTACATTTAGCAGAATTTTTGAACAGAGCTCCATGTGGATACAACTGTGGCCAGGATTCCTGCACGATCAGGGCCCTCGGTTATTGTGAATTCAGAACCCACATCCACACTTTCCACTGATGCAATCTCACTCCCCGTGTTCAGTGATTTATTTAAGAATTATACCTGGTTGAGAACAGGCTTGTACTTGAGGCCAGGTTTGTTTAGGATCTTTTCCAGAAGCCTCTGGTTGAAGTTGGAGACGCCAATAGACTTCACCAAACCTGCATCTTTACATAATTCCATGGCCTGCAGAAGATGGTGAAAGTATATAAACAAAGCAGGCTGTATAAATTATGCTGCTGAAATAAGTGTACAGCTTTGATTTGGGGGACTGTCCTGCTGTTGCTACACAACTGTGATGATACACACCTCCCAGGTTTGACACAAGTCAACGTCATCGAAGACCAGCTTTCCACTTTCATCTTTTGGTAGCGGATCGGCTCCTGGCTTTAAAATAATAAAAATAAAAATAAAAATTTACTCAACATAGAAACAACAGCACCAAAAACCTATTTAAAGTATTTTACTTCCCATCTTTCCCCTATAAAGGTTGACTCTAAACATGACTAAGTTTGCTATCACATACACAGTTACCTGAGAGTGATACTTATTTCTGAGTAGACATCTGCTGGTTTGTGATGTCAGTCTGGAAGCAACCCATTTTCAAGAAACAATTGTAAAAGCAGATTAAACAAAATGAAAGTTTTGACTTTTTTTACATTTAGTGGATTATGATCATTACTGTACATTTGCAAACAAGGTTAAGATACGTTTCCAGATGTAGATTATTTTATATGTCCTCCCCCCCTTGTGGTCCAAATGGGGCTTTTCCTGGCTGCAATTTCTAATTGGTGAGGGAACGCAACTTATCACATATTTAAAGACACTCCTCTGTTATGACGGTTCCACTTTAGTGCACACTTATGACTTAATTGATCAGAGTTAGACGGAGAACCAAATTAACTCTATTGCAATTGTCGTTACTTTTACAGTTACTAGCTCTAACTCGAGTACTGTGAGGGGTAACCTTTTCCTCCTGCACAGCAGTCTCAATGAAAATCCTACTCTAGGTTGCTATTACTCAGAGTGGTCTTGCTCCCATTGGTACCAGTGGGAGTTCCCATCATCCCTCAAGTTCAATTCCCTTATATCCAGCTAAAAGGGTTTTGGTAACAGGACTTCAAGAAAGTTTTTTTTAAAATAATAATAAAAAGCCTCTGAGATTTTGGAGAACTCCTGCTCACCAGAGGAGACAACATTAGCCACTTGATAAATCAGTTGTCATATGAGCCAACGTCATCTCTACACTAAAACCTTTCCTTTTAAAGACAGCAGTCATGGGTAGGTAAATATCCTACTTATTTTTCCTTGATTTTGAGAACATCTAAAGTGTGAAGGATAGTTACATATGATTCAAAACTTTGCTCCCAGCATTTGAATATGTTTCTGATCAAAAGAATTAATGTGTACGCTTAACAGTAAATCCATCTTATTATATACCGATACTTCTTTTTAAGACAAGGATTTTACAAGCAAGCAAGGAAGAAAAGTTTGTTTTTGGGTCATCAACTAGTGAAGGGGGGGGGATTACCTTGAGAGGAAATGGCATGTGAATAAGAAAGAGATCCATATAATCAAGTTTAAGTTTCTTTAGAGATTCTTCCACACTTGTCCGGACAAGTTCTGGGCGATGAAAGGTGCCCCAAAGCTGTAAAGGGTTTCAAACAGCAGAACATGGATACAGTTCACCTTCAGAATGAATGGTTCTTACTGAAGCATATAGACACACTCCAATTAATTTCAATGGCCATTGTGTCAGATAAATTTCTGCCAGTCCGTATGCCCGTTATCATAGCGTCTTTTTCACAAAGGTTGTATCCTCCCAGGTAGAGTTAAAACTAAATGGGCATACATAATGTGCTATTGGTTTATTGCCTCAAATTAAAGGACCCTGGGCGTTTCGTTTTCCAGTTGTAAAATTATATGTGACTAAATTAAGAGAACGCACTGGGTTTTTTTCCATATGGGTAAGAGGCCAGTCAGTTGCAGTTTCCATAGTCTAACTTTCATATAAAGAGAGCATTCTTAAAACAATGGCTTTCAAACTGGGTTCTGAGACACCTTGGCTTCACTGGAAACTTAACAGATGCACTTCCAGACTGCCAATGTATTGTGGGTGGGAATCAAGCACATGCCAGAACTTTAATTAAAGCAGATTAAAGCACTCTATCACACTGGTGCAACAAATCTACAGTGGTAGCTCGAACTTAATCTGTTCTGGGAGTCCGTTTGACTCCTGAAACCGTTCAAAAGCCGAGGTGTGGCTTCTGATTGGCTGCAGGAGCTTCCTGCACTCAAGTGGAAGCCGCATCGGATGTTTGGCTTCCGAAAAACGTTCGCAAACCGGAACACTTACTTCTGGGTTTGCGGCGTTCAGGAACTGATTTGTTCGAAAACTAAGCCGTTTGAGAACCAAGGTACCACTGTACTTTTTTCTTTCTTTCAAAAGACTTTTTGTAGTTAGGAAAGCAATGAGAAAATGCACGGATGAACAAATACTTGACAGAAAGACTTGTAAATACCACATGAGCAAATCAGGATAAGTGCTCATTCCCTTTTAACAGGCACAGGCAAACTCAGCCCTCCAGATGTTTTAGGACTACAACTCCCATGATCCCTAGCTAACAGGACCAGTGGTCAGGGATGATGGGAGTTGTAGTCCCAAAACATCTGGAGGGCTGAGTTTGCCTATGCCTGCCTTATAACCTCACCAGAAAGACATCAGAATGAACGCTCAGTAAAGACCAGATAATAGTCTAACCTAAGTTTTTTGTACAGCAAAACAGGATGAATATTCATAAAATAGGTCAGGAGGAGCCCTAGGAGTTTAGCAAGAAGATAACCAGTGATGGACAACCTTCCCTAACAGGCTGCTTGCCCATCAAGAAGATTCCATTTCAATGGGTGGACACAGTGTAATGTTGGGTATATCTCTAAGGGCATCTTCAGAGTTTTGCAATTGGGATTCAGTGGCAAACTGCAAAATTCAGCTTGCACAATTCAAGTAGATCTGCTGCTCTGGTGCAAATCTGCTTCTAAGAAAAACAAAGAGAACTTTTTGCAGCAAGGAAAGTGCACTAGAAAGTGTGGGATATCAATTGCTTGCCCTTGATCTTGCATAACCTCCCTGCAAACAAATCCAAATGAAGGCTCAGTGAACAGGTTGTCTGGAAGTGAGCTGAGTTATGTTCTCAGAGTAATGTTGGGCGGCCAAGTAAAAACAAAACAAAGCAGGCTCTTGCAGCTTCGTTAGTTGTATAGAGAAGGGATTTCAGCAGTTGTTGCATGTATGACAAGCAACACATTCTGAAATTCCTCTGTTGCACAACTGCCAAAGGTGCAGGACCCTTGTCCTCTTTCCTGCCTGGCCATGGTGAGGATGTCTACAATACACAGGGATTCCTCAGGAGTCAAGTCGATTTGGAAAGGAAAGAAGTAAAATTTGGAAACCACTGAGTTGAATAAATGAACTTCCATGGCCTCAGCTGTTAGGAAAGGATGGTAGAAGCAAAGCCTGTCCACCAACCAACCAACTACTACAGGAATTAATATTTACTGACCTTTCCAGTGTAAAACAATTCATCCCTTTTCACAGTTCCATCTGCAATCTTCGCATTCATCACTCGTCCAATTTCCTCTTCATTCCCATAGATGAAGGCTCCATCGATAAGGCGGAAGCCAAGCTCGATGGCTACCTTTATAGCCTCCTCACATTTGCTTTTTTGAACCTGGTGGTTAAAACAACAAATAGTGTCAGCAAGTTTCACTGGCTTTGGCAGGAGGGTTACTTGATTGTGTTTCCTCATGTGCCACTTTTGCATTGGAAAACAGCTGCACATGGAACACCATGGGGTTGTACCCTAATATGGGGCTGTACCCTAACATGGGAAAAGTTCTGTTGCACAAGCACAAATCCTTGCATTAATAGAATGAGTGCACTGGATGCCAACCATGGTCATTTTAAGGCACTGTGGACAATAATCTACATACAAAGCATTTGAGAAAATTGGGTTCTCTCCCAGCGCATGTTCTCTAAGGGTGGTGATGCAGCAAGCTACCATCTTGCTTTGCTTCAACAAGTCAGAATCTTTTCGGTGTCTGCATGGGAAATATATTCATGCCACCTTGAGTTCCATGATGGAAGAAAGGTTCAGGATATAAATGTAAATCACTATTGCTGTGCAGCATTAAAAAATATTGGTTTTGGAATTCAAACAAAGTCTCTTTTCTCTGCTAGACCAGGATTTATTGCAGCCATATCAACAATATTTTCACATAATTGAAAAGCATTCTGGCCACAGAATGGTTAATATCAGCGTCAATAGGAAGGGAGTTCCAAAATGTGGGTGCTGCCACACTAAAATATTGGTTTTTTTACAAATGTAGAATGAGGCACCTGTAACAGTGCCCGTTCTGTAAAATATATGGCAAACCGATGTGAAATAAATATATCACTGCATTTAATGCAACTGGTTTTTCAAATACAAATATCTGTCAACTTCAGGTTATATTTTAGTAAGATATAATTTATATATTTTAATTGCTGCTGTATCTGTACTGTCCCTGTTATACCAAACTGCAAATTTAAATGTATCCCTATTGTGTTTCATGACTTCCCTGATTCTGTATGTGAACTGGAACTGGTCTGTGACCGAAATAATAAATTCATTCATACAAATACCTGCAGACTGGGACAATAGTGGACAGGCAGGAGAAATTCACACACACATACACCCTTGTCAGCCACAGACGTGACAAAAATAATTCCTCTCCACACACAATGAAATTGCTATTTGCATCAGGAGAGATGCAAATAGCAACTTGGGATGGGTAAGCTGCCAGGGTCCATGGAGTAGGGATAAGGGTTAAACTCTCATTTTCCGCCCAGCCCACTGTGGCTCTGATACTGATCAAGCTCTCTCCAACAGCAGCTATTTGTGTTGTAAAACTCAAACATCTTCATGGAATGACATGTAGGTTGACCCTTGGGAGAGGCCCTGCAAAACCATCACAAAGGGTGGCCTATTTAGACTGCAGTTGGCTTTCCGTTTGAGAAAGCAAATTTCCTATATACACATAAAGGCGACAGAAAAAGAAAACCTTAAGAAAGTTGACTTACTTCATCAGGGCAATAGGTACCAAGCCCAATCAAAGGGATTTTGTTTCCATCGCTCATCTTAAGGTAGGAATTTTTGTCCAGAGTCATCTTTTTACAGCTTTGATCTGATGTGCAAGCAAATGTACTCTGCCAGAGTTTTGGAGAAGAGAAGTGGAGTTGGCTACAACTCTCTTTTTCTCTTATAGAGTTACTTCCTCAGGGGCAAGGAGAAGTGATGCTGATGTAAGGTAGATGAAAAACAACCCTCAGAACCTCAACATAATAATAGATCCCTGAGGTGTCAAATACTTGGCATTGTCACACTATCAACTCAGAGGTCACATGCTGTTTTCATTCACTCTCCACCAGTTCGCTGGGCGACCAGTTAGAAGACAATGGAAAAATGCAGCTTACTTGACTACGAACCCCCAAACTTGGAACCCCCCTCCAAACTGGTGCAGTTGTTGACAGGGTTTTGCAGGACAAATCCCATATTTTGCAACACCACCATCCCAAACTGAGTAAATAATACATCAAATCAGGGTTCATAGTCAACACCCAAAAACCCATCTCAGCAGACAAATGACCAGATATTTATGCTGAAGTTTTTCACCCTGAGCCCTGAAGTAGGGGTGTTCCCAGATAGTTGCTATGTTCAGCTCTGATTCAGAGGTCTTGTGCAACAAACCTATTAACCCAAATGTTGCAGTATGGAAAGTGATGCAAAAACAGGCTGTAAAATGTCAGGAATACTTGCTTAATGCAGCAGTGCCACACTCATGTCTTACATTTATGCCACTTTAACAGTCATGTCTCACCCCAGAGAATCCTGGGAACTTCAGCTTGTTAAGGATGCTGGGGTTGTTAGGAGACCCCTATTCCCCTCAGAGAGCTACAATTCCCAGAGTTCCTTGGGAAGATGAATTGATGGTTAAACCACTTGGAACTGTAACTGTGAGGGGAATAGGGGTCTCCTAACGTCTCTCAGCACACTGAACAAACCACACTTCCGATAATTCTTCGTGGGGAAGTCATAACTGTAGGCCTGCCAGCTTGCATCAAATTAACAGTTCTTAGACAGCACTATTTTTCTAGAAAAAGAGGTGCCAGAACTCACTGTGACCACCTCCCTTGTTCTCTTATAGTGACAATGGTGCCCACCTGAGAGGTGCTGGAGCTGAAAACAAGTCCTGTTCTTTGGACAAAAGATAAATAAGGGTTAAAAATAAAAGTGTGGCATAAAATTCACTTGAAGAATCCTGCTGAATCATAACAGCTGTGCGAGGGCCAAGCCGGGCTGTTGAGAAGTTAAACTCCAGTTCAACTCCCACTGAAAAATGCACAGGCTGCTCTAATGATCCCGGAGACCAATTAGAATTGCCCCTGCATGTTCCAGTGCGAGAGAGTTGAAAAGGTCACTCCTGCTTATGGCTCCATACAGCAGCTGGGTGTCACAGCGAGGGCGAGGCAGAGAGCAGAGTGTGTATCTAGGTGAGAGTGGTGTCACGGCAAAGTTCCCGCAACGGCACACAGCTCCTGCTTAAGAACAACTTCTCACCCTGCTGGGCCAAGCTTTCCACTTGGACCCACCCATCTGCCAAAAATGTCGATGCAGATGTCCACATACTAACAGCTCGGCAGTTCTGCACACCTCCAAGTGCTTCAGAGACGAGAACGGGCTCCAGAAGGGTGTCTGTGTATTTACAGTGGTACCTCGGGTTAAGTACTTAATTTGTTCTGGAGGTCCGTTCTTAACCTGAAAATGTTCTTAACCTGAAGCACGACTTTAGCTAATGGGGCCTCCCACTGCCACCGCGCCGCCGGAGCATGATTTCTCTTCTCATCCTGAAGCAAAGTTCTTAACCCGAGGTACTGTTTCTGGGTTAGCGGAGTCTGTAACCTGAAGTGTATGTAACCTGAAGCGTATGTAACCCGAGGTGCCACTGTATTTACAGCATTTATTCCCCTGCCATTTAGCCAAAAAGATTCTCAGCATGGCTTACAAAAACCAGTTCTCAAGTTCACATTCTAAAAAGACATGACACATACACAAGGGAAAAGGAATAGGAGGGAGGAAGGAAAAGCAAGCTCAAACACAGATGCTTAAAGTCACAGTTTGTAAAGTCACTGTCAATGCCAGTGCTAGTTCTGACTGCCTTCCCTTCCCAGATCAGATCCAGGAGCACAGCTGGTGACAATAAGGGATGCAAGAAGGCAGCATTTTCCTTTCTGATCTGCATTCATCATAACCAGTGCTGTTTCCATTATGCTACAATGTCGTTTCCAGCAAATACTGTGTTAATCTTCCTGTCCGCTATTGAATGTAATCTATGCAAATTATATAACTTACATAAATAAGTTGTGCAAGTTATATAACTTGCGTAACTATTTATGTCTTTGTCCATGGAGTTTTCTTGGCAAGGATACTGGAGTGGCTTGCCGGTTCCTGCTCCAGGTGGATCACGTTTGGTCAAAACTCTCCACTATGACCTGTCCATCTTGGGTGGCCCTGCACAGCATAGCTCATAGCTTCTTTGAGTTATTCAAGCCCCTTCGCCATGGCAAGGCAGTGATCCATGAAGGGGAAGTGAGAGCTGGACCATAAAGAAGGCTGATCGCTGAAGAATTGATGCTTTTGAATTAAGGTGCTGGAGGAGACTCTTGAGAGTCCCATGGACTGCAAGAAGATCAAACCTATCCATTCTGAAGGAAATCAGCCCTGAGTGCTCACTGGAAGGGAAGATCGTGAAGCTGAGGCTCCAATACTTTGGCCACCTCATGAGAAGAGAAGACTCCCTGGAAAAGACCCTGATGTTGGGAAAAATTGAGGGCACAAGAAGGGGACGACAGAGGACGAGATGGTTGGACAGTGTTCTCAAAGCTACCAGCATGAGTTTGGCCAAACTGCGGGAGGCAGTGGAAGACAGGAGTGCCTCGCATGCTCTGGTCCATGGGGTCATGAAGAGTCGGACACGACTAAACGACGACAACAACAACAACTATTTATGTAAGTCATGCAACTCACATTCATTTCAATGTAAAGGAAACATCCAAACAATGGATTTTTAAAAAATTATGAATTATTTGTGGACTTAGGGTGGAATTCAACATAGTGTTAAAGAGAGCATTTCAATCTCTCCTCCCCTATCCCACTATTCTGGGGATTATTCCTGACCCTCCAGAGTGCTTTTTGGTTTTTTGGGGGGTGGGGTGCAGGGGACATGTGGAGGGGGTGGGGAAAGCCCCATTGTGCTATTGGGAGTCCTTGCTCTGGCTTCTGCTGACAGAGCAGAGATGGAATCCAACATCTGGAGGGCCACAGGATTCCTACCCCTGCTTTAAAGTGTCTGGATAAAATGGGAGAGATCTTTAATGTTATACCAAATGTTTTGGAGACTGATGGTGTGGTCTTTTGCTTCCAACAGGCAGGAGATGAGCTTTTTCCTCAAGCTGAGAATGGGATGGCACTGCCCAGTATCACAAATTTCCTGGGCACATGGGAGGTGAGGGGTGATATGGGAGAAGCCATCTTTGATGTCTACATTTGGATCCACATCTGTATTTTGAGGTATGAAACCATATGCCTCTCATAGGCCATAACTCTTGTGAACTTTCCAACACTGGCAAGTTGAGATTGATAAGCACATTTTGTCATCTGCAGCAGAGATGGGGAACCTGTGGCCCTTTGGATGCTGTTCAAATCCCATGAGTTCATCTCCCATGAGATCCTGCCAGCAAGATCACAGGTCAGGGATGATGTTGAGTTGATGTTGAGTTGTAATAAAACATCTGCAGGTCCACAGATTATCCATTCTTGCCTTACATGATCCATTGTAGTGGTAGGAATTTGAGCAAGTATGGATTTTAGCTGGATTTCTTCCAATGAGTTATATCTAAGCTTTGTTCTTAGAAAACTTCGCCTGATTGTTGTTTCACACTTGTGCATTATTTTGCAAAATGGGAACTGACTAGCTGTGACCCTAATTTATTTATTTATCTTTTGTTCACATTCCATCTTATAGGGTTTGCCTTCTGTTAGTTGATTGCATCTCTGGTCCCATTGAGGAACTAGAGGATGCAGGCCGGATAAAAGCCATAGGTACCTTTAATTGTAAAAAGATAAGAGGCTCTGGAATAAACCAGGATTAAAATACAACCCAGTGAATAACCAGGTAAATTCTTCTCACATATTGATGTTGGCCAAGTACCTAATTTTTGTGAGTGTCTGGATCTTCTCATGGTGCTTTGATATCCAGCTGAGAGATATTTATTTCTGTTTATTTAACAGACTTGGTTAAATAAACCACCCATAACCTCTAAGCAGTTTGCATAGAATATGTGCAATACTCCTAGCTACAGGGTAATCTTCAGGTGTGAGGGCTTCTTGGCAAAGTAGCCTCCATGTGTTTCCTCCTTCAATGCTACTCCCCAGCCACAGGGCCTACTTGACAGCAAAGGTGTTCAGCCACAAGTCGCCATTTTCAATTTCCCAGAACACTCAATAAAGGCATTGTGGGAAACTTGAATGGCACATGTGTGTGTGTGTGTGTGCGCGTGCACACGCACGCACGCGCGTGCGCACGCACACACACACACACACACACACACACACAGTGGAGGCTGCCATTTAAAATTGTATTATGTTGCCCATTTATGTATTATATTTGTTGCTTACTACGGAAAAAAAAATGGCTCATAATGATTGACAGTTGCCTAGAATGCTGTAGCAGGAGCTCTGGGATATTGTGGGAAATTTTAAATGGTTGCCAGGGCAGCTGTCAGCTTACCAGGATGCCAAGGCCCCAGCAGTTGCCAAGCGTACCAAGTGCTGGTGGCAAGCCTCCTCTACACATTGGCTATCCTGTACAATGGGCTTGCACTTCCCACCATTAAATGCAGCCCTAGGCACTCCTGAACAAGCGCAAACAAAGCAGCGGCGGTTTAAGTAATGTTCCAAAGTGTGACTCTGCCTCATGCCATGACTGGCCTACACATGTTCAGGAATGCCTACCTGTCCGTCAATTTTTGCTCTCCACCTGCAGTAGGGCACCCTGTTGGGGGGGGGAGGGGAGTATGGGAGGCTGTCTGTGGCTTGCAAGTCACAAGCTGGTTACCAATATTCTACAAAAGGCCATGCCGCTAATCTTTTAGAAGAGACCCCTCTCATTTGTTTTATTATGTCCCAGTTTGCTGAGCACCTTACACAGCAGCACCTGGCAAACAAATTTGGGCTTCGTTTTGTCCCCAGCAGCCAGAGAGACACTGTAGACTGGTGTTGGAATGCAGCAGTGTTTATTTGGCCTTCTTTAAACACTTTCCCCCAAAAGCAAGACAATTCACAGGATTGGACAACTACAAGTCATGCATTGTTCCATACCAGTTTTGACCATTATTTAATTACCACCACTTCAATATTAGCAGCTTTGCTCTACAACATTTTGAAATATTAAATAAATAAAGTGACTGTTTTGGATATTTACAATTCTGAGAGTTCAGCCAGCACAAAGATGCTCATCTTCTACACTGTACAGGACTCACCTGCCACGAAGTTATCAAAATACAGTGCTGACATCTAGAGCAAAAAGAGTGCATAGCAGGCTTGTTGCAAGAGGTCTTGCCTTAATCTGCTGGTTCTGAAACTTCAGCAGGCAGCTTGCCAGAGAGCACGAAAGGCCCCACCAGCCAGGAGAGAGGGGTGTTGTGAGTGACATATTCCAGCAGCTCATCCACGTATTCTTGCGCTTTCTGCACTGTCTGGCGGCTCTGGGCCAGGAGGGTGCTGGGGAGGTCCTGGAAGGATCTGACCATGGAAGCGGCAGCATGAAGTTCTTCAGTGCTTTGGCCGACTTTCTGCACCTTATCCTCCAGGCTAGAAGGGAATCCTTGGATGCTGGACACCAGGGTTTGGCTAACAGTCTGCAGACGATGGATCAGGTACTGAAACATTGTCAGGGTTTGGCTTTCTACCTGTTGAGACAAGCAAGCCATTACTGACAAGCCGTATTTCCTAACGGGGACAGGCAAAACCATTGCAAAGACATACCTCTAGCTGCACCATATCTTTGTTATCCTTTGCTTCTGGGTTTGCCTTGTTCCATTCGATCAACATCTGGCTAAGCTTCTTTTCACCCTCATGAAAGGTCTGTCCCACACCTTGTTTCATGTATTCAATCTGGAGGGGAACAAGACACACTAGTTTAACTTTCAACAGGAACGAAGGAGTCAACATGGCCAAATTCAAATAAGCTGGGTAAAGTGTGTCCCCCTGCCCCCCCCCGGACAAGTCCGTGTGTGTGTGGTGTCAGGAATGGCTTCCTTGGGCCTCTGATTCAAAAAGCTACATGGCACTTTTAAAAAGCAAATTATGTTACTATTGTTTTTTTTTTGTCCAAGCCAAAATAGGAAAAATAGAGCTCATGAGATTTGTGGGTTTTTTGCCCCCCCCCTTGCTTATAGAAACAAATCCCCAGGATAGGTTTACCCAAGTGTGTTGGAACAAGGTTGAAGCAATACCATCTATGGAACTCCCTCTATGATGGATGGGGAAACTGTGGCTCTCCAGGTGTTGCTGGAACACATCTCAACTTGCCCTTGACTGTTGGCCATGCTGGCTGGGGCTGAAGAGAGCTGAACATCTGGAGGGCCAGAGGTTCCCCATCCTTGTTCTGCCTTGCGATTTGTCACCCATCTTTTCTGGATAAGTTATCCAAGTCAGAAGAATATCAAAAGGAATCAGATGGAAACATCAGTGTAAGCTTCATTCCTTCAAGGGCCCTTAGAGATTTCTAAAGAGATGTGTGTGTGTGTGTGTGTGTGTGTGTGTGTGTGTGTGTGTGTGTGTGTGTGTGTGTGTGTGTGTGTGTGTGTGTGTGTGTGTGTGTGTGTGTGTGTGTGTGTACGTACACAAAGCTAATGGAGCATTCCTCAGCTCAGGGATGGGAAACCCATGAATTATGAGCTTAGCCTAGTCAGGAATGATGGGAGGTGTGGTCTAAGAAACCATTGGAGGGGCTACAGGTTTCCCACACCCACACCTTAAGCCCCATATAAGTGCTTGCCACAAATTTGCATCTGGGAAACTTCCAAAGGGTCCAGTATCACATAACCTGGACTATGCATCCCTTGCATATAAGTTCATATAGTGCAGGTGTGGAAAACCTCTAGCTTCCCAGATGCTTGTTGAACTACAATTCCCATCAGCCCCACCAAGTCATGGCCAATAGCCATGACAGGAGTTGTGCTTAAACAACGTCCAGAGGGCCAAATGTCCCCCTCCCCAAATACCATAAACTAAGCAAGGTTCCCCTTGGGAGTCAGATCATGGTTCCATTCCATTTAAAGAAAACGTGGACTCTGAACTTGCGGCTTTAAAATATTTGATTGCTCAGGTGCTTTTCTATAATTAAAAGGGTGATTTGCAGAGGCACAGGATAGCCTTAAAAGGGGGATCCCAAAAAGCGAGACCAAGCTCATACCATGTGAATTATCTGCTGGAGCTGGGAGAGAGACTTGTGGATCCTTTGCCTGGCTCGCCTGATCTTCGCCACAGCGTGCAAGTAGGCCCTTTGGCGGAGTCTGCTTGAAAGGGAGCCCAAGCGCACCAGATATTCCTGCTGCTCACACTGCTGCACAGGAACCACATTGCCTTCCTTTGCAGCTGCTGTAATCTCAGCTAAGGAAGAGAAGACCACAGTGGATTCAGCAGGGGGCAGCCTTGATGCCTTATGCTCCTTTAGTAGAATCATGTGTAGGGAAGGAAAGTTTCACCATGGCAGGGAATCTAGGTATTGCTTGCTAAATTCACATTGGAAGGCAAGGGCTGGTGCACAAAGTTTGCTTTCTAATCGCTCCAGCATACAATACCGTATTTCGGTGCCTAGTGGAAAGCTACATCTTTCATAGCACAGTTTCTATTGTTCAGTGCAAGGCATGCAGCTATAGATTCGGGGAGGGGAGAACATGGGCCCCAATGATGAGGATATGAACAACACAGTAATCCCCATATAATTTCACAATGTCTTGCGGGCTTTTACATTTGAGGTTTCCTGTCCAAACAGAAGTCAGATCAGGAGAGATTGAAAAGCAACCCTGCTGCTCTCCTTCCCAGCCGTTGCACCAATGCCCTGCTGCTTGAAAGAGTCAAGGGGATTTCATCCCATTACAATTACACACTGAAACAGATTTCCTACCAGTTTATAGAATCAAAAAATTGTAGAGTTGGAAGGGATCCCCCCCCAAGGGTCATGTAGTCCAACCCCCTGCAATGCAACAATCCTTCCTACGTGTGTCCCTGGGCGGGCTCGAACCACCAACCTTATGGCGAACAGCCAGACACACTGACCCATTGAACAGATATCCGAAAGACTGTTTCCTTCTGTATATACCTGCCTGCAGGTTGAGATCTTCAGAGGCCTTGTTAGATGCCCTACCAACTAAAGTAGTTTGGTTGATGGGAACATGAAACAGGGTCTTATCTGTGGTAACACCCCCCTTTGCAAAGGAGGCAAGACTAGTCCCTTCTCTAGCATTTTAGGCAGGTAATGAAAACATTTCTGTTTGGAATGGCTTTTTAAAACCTCTGGCAATATATTTACATAACTGGCATTGAACTCTGCTTCTCCTTGACTTTAAAAATATTTTGGGAAAGAGGTCATTGATTTTTAAGTTACATACCCAGTTCTTCATCTGTTATGGGGAGATATTCATCTATCAGGTCTTCAGATCTGCCAAGCATTGCCTCAGCACCACTGACAGCTATCTGGCCCATTCTGGATTCCATAACAGTGGTCAGACTCTGGCCAATAGCAGACTTGGTTGCTTCCATGCCATCCTGCACAGCTTCTTTCGTCATGCCTACAACTCCAGACAGCTTGCCGGCAATGGCGTCCTTAGCGCTTGCCACTTTGGACGACACCATCTCCTTGGTGTCAGAAGCAACCTGCGAGGCAGCAAGAAACCACACGCTGTTTCCATACAGATACTCGCCGGCAGTGTAACAGAACCATGCCATTATCTTGTACGGAAGGATAATATTTATTGAAAGTGAAAATAATAAGAGCAAGCACATGTAATCATGTGCATACTTGGGCTGACATGTTACTTGACTAGAAAATGTTCTTGAAATAAGAGAGGATGCCCAGGTGCTAATAAGGGCCATGGCAAACAGGCCTGACATTATCTCTGCCTCCCTGGACTTTGGCTCCTAAGGTCCCAACCTAGCTGCACCACAGCTTACCTTATCAGCTGACATCTGAAGAATTGGCAGCTTCTCCTCCAGGGCATCCAAGCCCCGGGAAGCATACTCATTTGCTGCTGCAACTACGAAGACAGAAAATTGTTATCTTATTGCTTTCTACTACGCCAATATGAAAAACCCAATGTATTTCCAAGTTTTCATTTTCACAAGCTTTAGCTTTCCCATCTACAAACACACCTTTTGCAGTTTTTAGAGGGTTGCAGCTTTAAGAGGCTGGTCTTCTTATTCTAGTACCTTTCTAGATTTGTAAGGGCAATTTGAAAGCCTTGCCCCAGGGATGGGGAACTGCATGAATGCAGCTGGGATAAGTAGAGAAGGCGGGCGCAGAAACCAGGGCAATGCCACCAGTTTTTAAGCACAGCTAAGAGCTCTCCATGATGCTACACATTCATACGTGTCCCACAGTGACAGAGTTACCAGTCCAGTAGCACAGAAGGATGTATCAAGGACACAGACTACCTGAATTTCACCATTACTCAGTTGCTAGAAATGGTAGCCCAGTTCTCAATTTTATTTTATTTTAAAGCATTTCCTTTTCTCCCATGGAAAAATTCCTGTGGACACCCATGCATGCAATATATCTCACGATATAATCTGAACATGCAAACCACCTCCACTTATTAAGCAGGAAGTTACTCCATGGACATTGCATCAATAGGTATTTTTGCCCCTAGTATTTCGCCTACTGTTGGACAAGCTTGCTTAGAAGTCTGCCCTTGACTTACTCTGGGGTTCAAGTTTAGTCAGGATAGGCTGAGCAGTGCTGACCGCCACTTCTTTCAGGGTCTTCATGCCCTTCTCGGCAGCATCACAGACGGACTTCACATAGGGGTGGCTGCCCTTGGTAGAGTTGTAGGCGTTTGCAGCCATGTCATAGGCAGAGCTAACCAATGGCATGCTGACTACTCTTCTCAAGACATTCTACACAGGGAGGAAATATTTAGTCAGAGTATGGTATGTACAACCTGTGTAGCCCTGCAAAACCAATTTGAGCTAGGACTAACCTACACCCGTCATTTAAAACACTTTGTACAAAACGTGCAATAATGCATTTTGGAGGCTGTTCATTGCATAGACTTGTTCACAGCCCATTTTTCCGAACTCACCTCCTCCTGTGCAGATGCCTCTTGCACCTTGTCATGGGAAGACATATTTCCTTGACTGTTGGAAGACATAACTTGGCACTGCAACTAGCAAGAGCTGGAAAAGGAGGTCAACAGTTAATTTGCCACAGAAGAGTTGCATTGGCCTAACAAGTACTGAACAAGACAAGTCACTCATTTGAATTAGGAAGGCTGTCCTGTTTTGGCTCTTGTCTCTTTAAGAACTTAAGTGAAACTCCTAAAACAGAAATGTTTATAGCTAGCAGCTCACTAAACCCATCACTACAATGCTGAAAAAGATGACAACCCAGTTCTCTCTTAAGTGGAGAGGATTATTCCCCAAATGGGAATAGGTTTGTGCAACTTGGAACACTGGTCCATCTCAATAGTGTCTACACCTGGAGTCACCAACCTTTTTGGGCCATTGGGCACAGCTGGAACTTTGAGAACGTGCCATGCTGCCCCCCCACCACAAAATGGCTACTATAGGGCATAGAACAAAATGGCTGCTGCAAAGTTGTGGCATAACACAAAATGGCTGCTGCATCTAAAACAGAAGAGACAGGATCACGAAATGATCTGTATCGGCCAATTCTAGCACCAAATGAAAAGTGGGCATGTTTATGAGGACGTATTTGATGTCAAAGAGACTAACCCAATGCAAAGAGGAACCACGTAGAAGTAACAAACAGCTTTATACTGATTATCTTTTGAGGGGATTTTTACTGACATCTTTCATTTGTGCCTTGCAGGAACAGGCACACTGATTCACACAGGTGGTGCATCGGGAGGCCCTGTGGTACACTGCTCTTCGTGCCTGGAACTTCTGGGTGCTAAGTGACCATACTAAGATATTATTACCAAGCTCCAATTAACTCAGCAAAATCTATTTTTAAATAAAGGACCACATTAGCACAAGGAAGTGTTGCAACATAACCACTTATTAATACATTTATAATTTCCTACATTTCTTTTTAAGTTCTCATTGCAAAAGACTGCCACTATACAGCAGTAGGAAAGAAGGCACGGCTCTCCTGCTTTGCATCTGCAGAGCGGAAGCTGCTGCTCTCAGCTTACTTGTATTTCCTTCCCTTCCCTTCCCCCAGAAATAAGCCAAAAAGATCAACAGCCATACAGAGCCTGGCAGCAAACACAGACAGAAAGCAAATGGGACACACTTCCAAAACAATGCACCATGCACACCTATCACAGTCCCCAACCCTTTTTACTAACCCTCTTACCTGTAGGGGAAAACCACCAAAAGAACACACTAGTCACCCATACAGTTCCCCTTTTAAATAACTGTGATGATGTCAGGGTAAGGTCAAGAGAACCAATGAAAATAGTAGCATTCTTTCCCCAATCAGTTAGGAATAGAAGACAGGTGGAATATGTCAAATAAGGATCCCTGATAGAGGGTGAGAATGACATTGCTTTTCACCTGTGCTCTGTTTTGCTACTGCTCTATTAGTAGCAAAGCTCTTACTCAGATTTAATTCTCTCACTCTCTTTCTTTTTAAAATAAGATTTTAAGACATTTCATAATACAGTATAATAAAAACAAGCTAACTACTCTAAACAAAACAAAGAAAGAAAGAAAGGAGAGAGAGAGTCCTTTTCACAGGTAGATTTAATTCTCCATAGTGGGTTATTAAGGTGCTAGTCCCTGCTGTTCCTAGTTTGTGTTATTGCTTTCCTAACCTATCCTGAGGAATCACTGAAAGTCACTGTATATATTTGGCCCAGTTTATGATCACAACAGCCTTCTTAGATGGAAAGGGAGCCATATGCCTTTTCAAAACAGAAATTATATAAAATGGGAATAAAGCTTTAATAACTAGGATTGCCTTTTAAAATATTTTTTGGACAGGACTCCTCTGCTTTTGACAGCTTCAGGACAAACAGCATTTCAATGAATGAAACTTTGAGCATGAAATGCAATGTTAGCTTTACCTGATGAATTCCCGCCTGCCATGCTTTAGTTAAAGAAATAAGCACCCTGCCAGAAGAAAATCAAAGCACAGCTACTGTGAAGTAAACGTCACTGACTTCAGTAGGGCTTACTTCTGAGTAAACATGTTTCGGATCACAGTGTGAGAGTACTTGCACATCTTGTCTGGATGGAAGATTTTCATATTGCCACACTACATTTTGTTTTTCTATTTAACATGTTTGTATGCAATATGTTTCGTATTTTCTTTTCTTTTCATATTTTCTGTCTATAGTTGACTTGCAACTCTGTGGCTTCCAATGCCACACGGTAGACGGTGAACTGTGTCTCATATGGTACTTTCAGCTACATGATGAGCCAACTTCCATACTGCTGAGAAACAGATGGAAATAGGGCCACAGGAATGCTCATCTTTTCACATGCTCAGAGACCACACATGACCAATTCTTCATGTGACGAGAGCTACCAAGCTGCTACCAAGCAGTCACAACGTGACCAGTGCTTGTTCAAAACCACTGCTTGTGGATGCTTCCCACTCACCAACTTTTGTGCTGAAATTATCTATGATGTCCAACAGGGCAGAGCCCCACTTGGGAGGCGATGTTCAGAATTCCTCTCCATCTAGGCTTCAGGTTGTATATATGCGTAAATAAACCATATATCCTAAAGGCACCACAGATCCCACTGTGCCTTATTGTCCCACAGGAAACACAAACGCTGGGATTTCACATAGCGCACAGATAGAGGTTAACAATATATTCGCATTTTAACTCTTTGCAGAACCCTCTGCTGTTAGCATTCTGAACTTCCCCAATTAGCATAGCTTCCACCCTTATTTGATGGGGATCCCAGAAGAATCAATAATAATAATTGTTACAGATTGCTCATCCCTTCCATACACTGACAAACTGGAACGTGTCCAGAGGAGGGCAACCAAAATGGTCAAAGGCCTGGAAACGATGCCTTATGAGGAACGGCTAAGAGAGCTGGGCATGTTTAGCCTGGAGAAGAGGAGGTTAAGGGGTGATATGATAGCCATGTTCAAATATATAAAAGGATGTCACATAGAGGAGGGAGAAAGGTTGTTTTCTGCTGCTCCAGAGAAGCGGACACGGAGCAATGGATCCAAACTACAAGAAAGAAGATTCCACCTAAACATTAGGAAGAACTTCCTGACAGTAAGAGCTGTTCGACAGTGGAATTTGCTGCCAAGGAGTGTGGTGGAGTCTCCTTCTTTGGAGGTCTTTAAGCAGAGGCTTGACAACCATATGTCAGGAGTGCTCTGATGGTGTTTCCTGCTTGGCAGGGGGTTGGACTTGATGGCCCTTGTGGTCTCTTCCAACTCTATGATTCTATGATTCTATGATCTTTGCACACTGAATAATTCCTCCCTAGAAGTGGACAGCACACCATCTCGCTGCAGAGTGGAAAATTTCAATTGCGAAGGGTAAACTTCCAGAAAGCTGAGGGCAAGCAAGGACAGCTGTTGAATAAAGAGCTGCTTACTGTACTGCTTTTGGCTGTACACGAGGCTGGCCTAACTTCTTGCTGAAGCAGAGACATCAAGTCAAGCAGAATACTTTTAAAATAGGTGAGAATTGAAAGGCTCTTTCTCTCTCCATTTTTGATACCTGTCTCTAGCAGGCTGTGTTTAGTCTGAGGCTCAGAGCATTTGTGGTTTGGGATTCCTTTTTTTTTTTTTTTTTAAACCCAACAACATACACAGCTCAACCTCAGTTTTGCTGCCCGTTGTAGCCATGTAATGAACTTTAAAAGGGGGGGGGGGGTGATATGAATTGAAGCAAGCAAGGGCTAAAGAACCAGCCACAGGATCTGCCCTTAATTCTCCCCTCCTCTCGCAGAGTTAGGACTAGAAAAATCTACCTCACAGGGATGTTGTGAGGAAGAAAAGCAGGAGAACCATGTACACCATTTTGAGCTTCTTTGAGGAAAGGAGAGATGGTAACTGTAACTAATAATTAGTATACAAGCAAATACCTAAATATTCTTAGTATGTACCTCAGCTAATCAATCATGGGTGTTCACATCACATGAACAACCGGTGTTTATTGATCTGTACACATGCACAGTTTTTCAGAATGTGCACAATCTATGTAAAGTGTACAGTTTAAGGCAGGTACCTTGGTTATACTATTTTCGATGCCTGGTAAAACATTTATTTTTGTTTACCCAAGCCTACATGTAATTTTATTGTATACATTTCTTTTCAAAACTGTATCTATATTTTGATCATTTCACTACATCTTCTGTTTCCTTTGACTTTAAAATTATTTTACACCATTTCGTGTAAAGACTTTATTTCTTATTAAGGGGTATATCCATTTGGCTAATGCAAACAACCCTTCAGATGTTACAAGTGGAGTCTCCCCTCCCCTCCACCCCGCCCCACACCCGGTCATTCTAAAACACCCTCAGTGTCTAGGAACACAATCTGAGGCTGTCATGAACAAGTGTGGCAGGTCACCCTCATGGAGAAATTGACATGGCAATTAAGCGACAGGAGGACGCAGCACACACCTGCAATATGGAAATAAGGAACATTTGGATCTGAAGAAAATGGCACTAAATAAAAATTCGTGGAATTGCTCATAAAGCTGTTACAGCAGCTTACAGCGAAATGATTCCCTCCAGTGCTCACCAACCTGATGCCCTCCAGAGTTTTTGAACTTCTGATGTATTCCAAAACATCAGGAGGGCAAGCTGTCAGCTTTCAGATTTGAAAATAAGGGATCAGCAGCCTCACCTGTCCCGGAGACAGTCTACGGGATATCTAACAATCCGGGATAGCAGCGGGAATAGGGGAATTTCCCGCAAAAAAAGGGAAGGTTGACAGCTATGAGGACAAGAGGTTGGTGAAAGCTGACCTAGAGTGTAATCTTGTCCCTGGGAGAGCAAGTGGACTGCGGGTGGAGATCTGACCTTACAGACCTGGAGCTGAGGTACTTATTTTTTCTCCCACTGTGAGAAAAAGACTGAAAAACTGATAAACACTTTTCAAAATGAGGAACAATGAAATGAAATGTACAAATGAACCCCAGATGCACGAAGGAAAGGAAGTTTCAGACAGGGCCCCACAGCTGTTTACATTGCTGAGAACTGTGAATAAGAAAGCCGCTGGGGTGACAGAAGTCCTCTTTGAAGATCCTCAGTTTGTGAGGTCAAAAACTTATTGCCTCACCCCCATTCAGATAAAATACTGGAGACTAAAACTAAATATGTCTTAAATTCCCAATTGAACAATCAGATATTAACTTTGCAACCCAAGAAAAGTTGCCTTTCAGTTAGGTCGGAAATAGGAAGATGGTCAACGCTAGAAGGAGCTAAAGACTGCTTAAGCAAACTTTTAAAAATTAAGAAATATCAGATTGACCTATATGCTGTAATGCCCCTTCCCGGCAGACCAACTTCTTGAAGGTGATACTTGCGTTCCACTCTGAAAAGATACCATCTATTATTGTTAGGAGGAAAACGCTTTTGTCCATGGCCGACATTGTAGCAACGAGGGTTTTTACAGACAGCAAGATCAAACCCCTTCTAAATAGGTGCCCTGGCGGTGAGGACATTAGGACAAGAGACTCTGCCTTACTTCAAAATACTGTCAGGCCCAATCGCGATGACTCTGCAGCGTGCCATCCGCGACCAAACTCGACACCCTCTCAAACTGCTATATATGAGGATGATAATCTGCAGACTGCCCTCGACGAAAGGGAACTTATTGATTCATTCAGAGCCCTTCCTCCGAAAGAACAGTCGGTGATGATGCAAAGATTTGACACGCTTAAATCTCAGCTTTTGCAAGTCCAACATAGAGGGGAAGATACTAACGATGTCTCAAATAATCCCACTGGGGCCCACCGGACAGAAGTGGTTGACCTTCTTCAGCTCAGCCCCACTCTGAATTCAAAAACCATCCGACAAGACTCAAATCTTCAAGTTGCTTCTGCAGCGTGCGCTACATCACGAGACGACCAGGCTCTGCCATCCTCACTGAACCTTCATCCATATTCAACAACCAACATACCTAAGGACGAAATTCTGATTTCTCTGCTTGACTCAAATCCCTCTTTAACTCACTCATCTATGCCAGAGCTAGAATCTTCTCCAGTTTCGTCCAGATATAGAAGTAGTCCACAAGTGATGCCCCTGAGAGAGTCTTCCGCAATTTCCACCTCCGTGATGCCCCTCAATTACCTCCTTCAAAGGAAACTGCGAATGTTACACCTCGGGACCCGCCGTCAGAAATGATTGAAGACCCGATGGGACGCATCAATAAAATAATCCGAATGTCGGATGACAAATCTGCGAGAGGGTTTACCCGACGGACTCAATTTCCCCTACCTGGGTATTTCTCTGTCAAGTTGTACCAAGAATTTCGAAATGAAGAGACTTCCTGTTCAGAGATCTACTTTCAGTGGATCATCCACGGTGTGCCAACAGTCGAACCAAATTGTTAAAAACTTTAATTTGCAGGGCGCCTCACAGTTACCATCTTCCCAAAGTAAAATAACTGACTTTTTTGTTACATCTTCTGTCTTTAACAGAGAGTCTGCCCCCTCCATTTTGACTGTTAAAAGAACAACATAGAAGTCCCCAGCTAGCAGTCCTAAGTTGGAACATTGCTGGCTGGAAAAGGAAAAGATTAGATCCCGAATTTCTGTCCTATATAAACTCTTTCCAGATAATCCTTTTGCAAGAAACATGGGAAGAAGATAAAATAGATATAAATGGCTTTGAACTGATATCACTTCCAGCTATCCCCTCCCAGAAAGGTGGCCGGCCCAGAGGCGGTCTTGCAATCGCCATATCGCTTAAAATGAGAGCTAAACTCTCGCTAGTTCATACCTTTCCTCCATTTGCTTTTACTGGTCTGATTTCAAGTGAAAAATTCTCACTATTAAGCACCAATGTTTATCTTCCTCCAGGTGGTCTGATATCAGACCTTCATTATAGATGGGATTCTCTGGAAGATCATTTATTGGCATGCTATGTTAAGTACCCTAATATTCCATCGATAATGGGTGGTGACTTCAATGCACGCACAGCTGCCAACTGGAATGGGATAATTAAGGCCAAGTGGTGGGTATCTCCCCCCTACCCAAAATCTGATTTAATCTCTTTCACATCAAGAAGATCTAAGGACAACAGAGTGAATGAGGCGGGAGTCCTTCTTTATCAATTGGCCATTCGTATGAATTTGAACATTCTAAATGGCAACTGCCCTCCGGACGTGCCAGGTGAATTCACTCATTTGGGCACAACATCAAATAGTGTCCTAGATTATCTTCTAGTCTCAGAAGACCTATTTTCAAACTTCTTTTATCTCAAAGTTGATAATGTACAATCCAGTGATCACCTACCTCTAGCGGCCAAGCTTACGCTTGACTGGCACCCGGTTAGCGGAACACACCCAATTCATGTAGGTTTAAATGCCACAGCTCAAGTAAGAGGCATTAAATGGTCCATGAAACAGGCCCAAAAATATGCAGAATTCTTCCAGAGGAATAGCTCCGAATCCCTTATTGTTTCATTGGCGGAGCTGTCTGAACCAAATAGGATACTGGAGTGGTTCTTCCACTTCACGGCAGATTTAACTAGCTTCTTTACGATGCCGGCTCACCTCGCTAACCGAGATCAACCCAGGTTCGGTGCACCTTGGTTTGATGCCAAATGTAAGCAAGCTAGACTCTCTCTCTGTTGTATCTACAACAGATATAAAGCCTCTGGAGCTGAAACTCTCCCCCCAGAGTACTTGCAGGCCAAAATTGCTTACAAACAGGCACAGAAGTCAGCCAAGCACGAGTGGCAGCTAAGACGTTGGCAAGCGCTGATTGCTGCCTCTAAGCTTCGCAGCTCTCGCGGTTTTTGGAATTTAATCAACAAAAGATCGAGGAAATACCCATTGACGGTTATCCCAGCCCCGACATGGGAACAATTTCTAAGAAAATATTTCTCCCAGACAGACATCTCTAACATCCAGTCTGATACTCTCTCAAGTCACTTGCCCATATGGCCAGATACTGACCCGGAGGAAATAGTAGATTTAATTGCTAAACTGAAAACTGATAAAGCCCCAGGGCCCGATCTGATCCCGGCGGAAGCTATTAAACAACACCCAATATGGTGGGCTAAAATTCTTGCAAAAATCTTTGATGCAATCAATGCCACGGGCCAGATACCTACATCATGGAAGGAGTCCATCATAATTCCTATATATAAAAAGGACCACCAGAGGACCCAGGAAACTATCGTAATATCAGTTTATTATCAATCATCGGAAAAATCTACACTCGCTTCTTGCTAACCAGACTAACCCAATGGGCCGAAGATTCCAATCTGATAGGCCATGAACAGGTCGGGTTTAGACCAAAGCGCGCTTCTATTGACCATGCTATAATTCTATATCATTTGGCGCGGAAGTATTCTTCCCCTACTCATGGTCTTCTATGTGCCGCTTTTATAGACCTGAAGGCGGCTTTTGACAGTATCTCTAGAGAGCTGTTATGGGAAAAACTGGCAAAGTGGGGCATAGAAAAAAGGCTGTTGTGGCTATTGATTAAATTACATGAAGGGACGGCTGCTAGGGTGAGGTTAACACCTGAGGGCGATCTCACAAACTCAGTTCCAATAAACAAGGGGGTACGACAAGGGTGTATCCTTGCCCCCTATCTTTTTAACCTTTATATTAGTGACATGAGGACGCCCCTAGCTGAGGCCCAAACCTCCATTCATGCACCCAGGCTTGCAGACTATCGCTGCCCCTTATTATTGTACGCTGACGATGCGGTGATCCTCTCTTATTCTCGAATCGGTTTGAGGAGGGCCCTTAAGATTTTTGCATCATATTGCCAAACAAACTTACTTACTATTAACCATTCCAAATCTAAAGTCCTAATTTTTTCCAAGAGTCGTAAACTGTATAGATGGGAACTTGAGGGGAAGCTAATTGAACAAGTTTACAAATTTCAATATCTAGGAATTTACTTCCAGTATAATATGGGATGGAAAGCGCATATCACATATTTACAAAACAAGGTGAAAGCCCTTATATACGCTATACTACGCTTCTTCTTTACTGAGGGGGCTATGCATGTTCCATCTGCCTTAAAAGTTTATAGTGCAAAAGTGGTTGCAACTATGGCCTATGCGGTCCCTTTATGGGGCGCCTTTGTAAACCTCTTGCCTCTGGTGACATTACAAAATCTTTCTCTAAGACGCCTTTTGAAACTACCCTCCTGTGTAAGCAACTCTGCCATTCGCTTAGATCTTAAGCACCCCTCCCTTGAGATTCTGATGTGGAGACATGCCTTTAATTATTGGCTGTCCCTTTGGCATAAATTGCCAAACTACCATCTTATTCAGTGCCTTTGGAGAGATGAATTCACCAGCCCATGGGCAACAAAAATCCATTCCAAACTGTTGTCTTATGGAATCTCTCCCTCCGATATACTTAATTTAGATCTAATTACAGCTAAAAAGGTCATCAAACAAAGACTGGAGGAGGTAGATTTACAACAAAATCTTACCACAGGTGGAGGTACATGTTCCCCGATATATCAGGGCATTACATCTATGTCCCAGATACCTCGATATCTGTCTACTTTATCGGCTGCGTCGCATAGATTCGCATTTGTTAGAGCCAGATTTAATGTGTTCCCCTCAAATGTGCTGAGCAATAGATTTTCTAACGGTAAAATCTCTGTTTTGTGCGCATGTGACAACAAATCGATAGAATCCCTTTATCATATCTTGTTTAATTGCCCCTTATACAATGTTCCCCGATCAAGGATCCTGAGTTCAATCATTCTGGAAATTGCTGCTAAACCACCTGAATTACATCTAGCTTATCTACTCCAGGACATTGACTCTTATAGAACTTTACAGGTTGCTAGATTCCTGATCTCAGTTCTGTCATATAAAAGACTTCAGGGAATGCTGCATGACTATTAAAAATTCAGTAAACTCTATGCACCATCTTTATCTTCAAGGCCATAACACGGTACATTTAGAGATTATGCGTTGAAATATTTTAGTTGATATTTTAGATTGTAAAATGCTATTGATTTTATCTATTGATTTTTATCTATTGATTTGTTTTACCTTGTGGGCTTATAGCCGAATAAAGTATTATCTATCTATCTATCTATCCTCTTTGAAGGGCTGTGTGCCTTAAATATAAAGAATCATGATATGGGAGATCAGGCAGCACCTTGGAGTTGCCCATCAACACTTAGCCCCTAGAGAGCAGACTGATCGCGAGTCTTCTCCACAGCGAAAAGGTATTTATATTTACATTTTAGTAACTATTTCTAAATTTGCTCCTGTATATATACTTTGTACAAATCAATATCCTCTTTTGTGATTTGTTAATTGGCTGCCCTTGAAATTAGAGCCAGTTGCAGGCTAGGTGGCAATACATTTCTGTTGTCCATGTTAAGTGGCTATATGGCCCAGGGCTGTGTATGTTCTCTCATTTACTCTGCATCATCTAGTGCACTCTCACTTCTAATTTAGGGAGCAGTGTGCACATGATGGTAGACACCATCCATACCTATCCTGTTGTTTCTTATGAAATGCTACATTTTGATGAGTTTTCCCCCTAAACCAGCTGCAATCCAAACCGAGAAAAGGAAAGACCTAGCTGCGTGTTAAGCTAGTAACGTCTACTTCCAGATGCAAACACAGATTCCCCAAAAGCGATCAACTTTAATGCAAGTCACGTGCACAGAGTCACTTCAGATTAAGCCCATGTTTGTCTTTTGCCTCCTTGTAGATAAAGAAAACAACAAAACTTTGGATACTTGGACGGAACCTAAACCTGGATTTAAAAATAATAATAATAACCTGAATGCCTGTATTCCTTTGTTCTCATTTTCTTAGCTGAGTAGGTTTGGCAGGTTCAAGTTATTCAGCAAGGGGAAGATGGTTATCACCAATTAATTTCGCTATGAATGAATGGGCACTCTAGTGCTTATCTTGTATTCACTAGAGCTTCGCATAGAACCGTCACAAATTGTCCCATGGCCATTTGGCCCTACTATGTACAAAGGTAGGTTTCCCCTCCATCCAATACCCAAGTGTGTATGCCTATTGGCCAAGTGATACACAGTTGGGGATAAGACTTCACATGCTTGATGAAGTGGATTCTAGTCCATTACAGCCGGCAATATATCTGTTAGCTGCCAAGATGCAGCAAGACTCTCTGTGTGTGTGTGTGTGTGTGTGTGTGTGTGTGTGTGTAACATGTAGTGACAGAAAGGCATTCTGATAGAGATCAAGAAAGTATTTTGATGGCGGAAGGGTGAGGTCCAATATTAAATTAAAAATTGAATCCAAAAGTGATCCAAATTGTACTGAAAATAATTAGAAGCTTAGTGCTCAGGGCTCACCGTCTCTTGTGGCTAACACAATACAGTTACTGCATATCTAAAGCACATGAACAGCCCCCCCCCCCACCGCAAGAATCCTGGGAACTCTAGTTTGTTAAGTGTACTGAGAATCACCCTTTGGATTCTACTTGCCTCAGTCTGCCTCATGGATGTGCTGGCCCTGGTAGGCTCTATGGTGAACTCGCTTGATGGGTCTTTCATCCAGGAGGGAAACACTTATCAGCTGGAATGCTGATAGAAAGGAAACTTGTTGAGTTATAGTTTCCACAGCAATGTAACTCTCACTCCTTTACAATAAGTCCTTTCAAGATACCATCAAAGCACTGGGGAATGTGACCTCCCTGCTTGATAAGCAGAGGCTAATGGAAAGCAAACAGGCTTGGTACGACTGCCCTTTTCTGATGCTTTGTTCAAAGGCATATCGTGAATTGTTATGGGTTTCTTGTTGTCCTTAGTGGGGTTAGAAATCCATCAAGACTGATCCGTGGCCTTAGACAATCCACTCCTTTTTCAGCCTGAAGCAATATCTATAGTATGGTTATAGCTATAATGGGAGTGCTGTAACAATTGCTAAATTAAATATATATATACACACACACACACATACACACACACACACACACACACACACACGGTATATATAAGGGAATTTCCCTTTAAAAAAGGGAAACCTTGACAGCTATAGATATATACCATAGCTGTCAAGGTTTCCCTTTTTTAAAGGGAAATTCCCTTATTCTGAATAGGATTCCTCGCAAGAAAGGGAAAAGTTGACAGCTATGATATATACATGAATGAAGCAATGCATATTTGGGTATATATGATTCCTTCTAACAGCAAACTCAATTGGAGGGTGATAACAGGCCTGTTACCCAAAATGGGCCACTGAGAACAAAAGGGAAATATCATGCTTGGGTGAACCCCAAGGTTTGCAGAGTTACATTTTTATGATTTGTTTCACAAGATTTATCTACTGCTTGATCAAGCCTCAAAGCAGTTTACAAAAAGAATAAGACAAATATTTAAAACATCCAAAAATAAATAAAACACTAAGCTAAAACCCAGATTAAAGCACATGTTGACATTCTGTATGTCTGGGTAGGCTTCCCTAAACAAAAATGTTTTCAGCGGACAACAAAAACAGTACAGTGAAAGCACTTGTCTGATGGCAATAGGCAGGAAGTTCCAAAGTTTGAGTGCTATCACACTAAAAAAAATGATTTCTTACAAATGCAGAATGTACATTATGTGGCACCTATTACAGAGGCAGCTCTGCAAATTGAAGTGTTTGAGGTATTTGAAAAACCCACACCAAAGAACACCCAGGACTCAGAATTTTTGAGTGACGATTTTGAGTGACAATTAAAAAGGAAAAACAGAGCAAGAATTTCTTTAGCTCCTTGCAACTTTTACTGCCATAAGGACCCTTCTTTCCTTTTGAGAGAGCTTAGACTCAAAGGCTCTTAATGCAGCAGAAAAGCTTTCGTTGGCTGGTGACAAGGTTACATCAACTGATAATTATGTAGAGAAATGTTGTGTATATGACTCCCTATTTATCTTTCGTCCTTGGGGAGCTTTTTCTGTGACCTCTTTTTGATGAAGCCAGAGTGTGACTCTCAAGGTTTTGAGACCTTGGCAGTTGCTACTATGTTTTGAGCCCGTTGAGCAGTTGCTTCATAAAGCGTGTTCTCCATAATAGAGAGCACGTGTTGCGGTGGGGGCCGAAAAGGCCACCCCACTGTTGTTGGGAAAATTGGCCACATGCTGTGATTGGGCAAGGAGTGTTGCTGGGGAGAATGTTATGTTGCTAAAGTGTGGGAGGGGTCTGAGGTCTTAAATACAGGGCTCGCAGCCTGGGGCTTTCTCTTGGGCTGTGTGCACCGGATCACCCGCCCACCCTCCCTGAAAAGGGGGGGGCGTTCGTTGTCCTCTGACCTTGCTATGCCTGTCATGGGGTTGTCTGCCTTGGAGCAGGGGCCTGGTAGGAATTTTGTCCATTTGGCTGTTGCCATTTGGTTTTTGCCTACTGCATAGCAAATCGTCACAACTTGTAAGGTTGGCGGTTAGGCATTGGTTAAAATCACTAAACCCTGTTACCTCTTCAGCTTCCAAACACTTCCTCCTCCCAGGCTTCTCCCTCTGACCACTCATTGCCATCCCACCACCAATCCCCAGCCTCTGAGCCTTTTGTCCTGTGGGGGTTCCCCAGCTAGTGCCTCCCCACCATTCTTCTGGGTCCATTCCAGATGACTTGGCCACAAGAAGAGACAGTGGTGGTGCATGGGAACCGTCTAACAAGAAGTATAAAGGCATCTTATACGCCAGCTGGACCTGTTAACTCAAGGAAATAGCAAGAACCTTCCTGGATCAGACCAAAAGCCTATCTAGTCCAATATTCTGTTGCCACAGAAGCAAAGCAGATGCTTATAGGAAGCCCACAAGAAGATGAGAGCAATGCTTGTGTTCTGCAGCAGCTGATATTCAGAGTCCTATTGATACAGGGAAGTAGTAAAACAATCATGATTAGTAGCCATTTCTAGTCTTAACTTCTATACGGATGTTTCTATATAGATGTTTCAGGGAAGTGAGAATCAGTAGCAATGGGGGGGCGCATTGGAAGATGGCCGACAATACCATCTCTCCGACCCACACGGGGTAATTAAGAGGCTGTTATGGGAGTAGGCAGCCTCCCTTGTTGCCCCAAGGAAATGAGGAACACTGCCCTTGCCTGCTGTGCCCATAAATCACCCCTAATTCGAAAGAAGGGGTGAGGGCCCTAGGCAGAATGCCCCCGTGTGGACCTCGGCTCTCCTGGACGCTGTCTCTGATCGCGCACTAGTTGCAGCAATTTGGAATAATTAATTACAAAAGAAGCAAATGCACATATTTCAAGTGAAGAAGGGGAGTGAAGTCTGCTAATTTAAGTGACCTCTGCGAAAGAAGACGACGGGCTGGAGAAACAGGAATATTTTACGATGAAGATACACCAAAGGCTGGGTATGTTGACAACGGGGCTGAATGGGGGGACAGGGACCTTTTTTACTTTCCTTCTATGTGATTTACAAAAACCCCTCCTCATTAGAACCGTCAGTTGAACTGACCCAAGCAGGATGATTAAGGTCTGTGTGGAGATAAACTTTAACCAAAAAGTATGCTTTATGGAGACCGAGAAGCAATAAGAGCTTTTGGGAATGGCGCAGCAATTAATTCGAGTCGCCATCTTGCCAAAGGATTTATAGCCGGGAGGAAGAACGGATTTGTTTTCAGACTGCATTCCTAGTGAATCTCCTCAGAGGTTTTGAGAAAGGAGGCAGATTGGTGAAGATTAATGACGCTAAGACTGTTTTGATGTATGGAAGTGATGTTATATGGAAAACGTCTGGATATGGCTACTGGATAAAAAAATAATATCCACGCAGGATTACAAACTGTTCTAACCAGCTTGCGGAGACTATCAGAGGTCACAAAGAGAAAGGAAAAATATATGAAAATAACAACAAGAGATGTGGAAAAATAATAAGAAAGGACTGGATAGTACTGTGAACATCATAAGGTTAGATTTGTGGACATTAAAACAGCAGTAAGAAGCAAGAAGTTGATTGGATCCCTTCGGAACTTGAAATATGGGTACCCCCAACAAAAATTTAAAATTCGGCTGTGTAATTTGGAATTTATGTAATTTGGTTTGATTTGATGTGATTGGTTGGTTAATAAAAAATTATTCTTAAAAAAAAAAGAATCAGTAGCAATGGGAAACTACAACTGCCCTGAGAAGCGATAAAATTCAAAACGACATTGATTGAATGGGAAACAAGAGCCAAAACTAACATAATGAAATTTGCAAGATGCAGATGTCATAATTTGCCTTTATGGTTATAAGACGGAAGATCCGGAACTTGGCTGCAGTACATGAGAGAAGCATCTTGGAAATCTAGCTGATCACAAGCTGAACATGAGACAAGAGTGTGATGCAGCTGAATTAATGTGATTTTAGGCTGTTCTAATAAAACCATCATTGACAAGTCATGGGAATTAACAGTTCCATTTTATGTTTGCCCTGTTGCAAACCTAAGGCCTTTTGTGTCCAATTATGGGCGCCACACTTTAAGAAAGAGGAGGGTAATATAAAGATGGTCAGTGGTGTGGAAAACAAGTCTGATGAGGAAAGGTTGGAGAAACTTTGTGGATTTAACCTGGAGACAACAAATCAAGACCACAGAAAGGGCGTAACACTGGCTAGTACTTGTCAAATACCTGAAAGTCTGTCATGGATAAGAAGGCAGATTTGTTATTTGCTGCCTCAGTGGGCCAGACTAGATATAATGGTCTTGAGGGCAGATTTTGGTTGAACACTAATAGAAATTTCTTGACAGTAAGGGAGTTTGACAGTGGAACCATCTGCCGGGAGTGGTAGTTGCTGGAAGTTTTCCAAGAGGCTCAAGTAATATAGCTCTATAGTTCCTGCATTGAGGAGCGTTCAACTAGATGACCTACCAGGCTCCCTCCAACAGGGGCAGAATTTGGTAATCATTTGTAATATGGCACATTTTTGTGCGAGGCAAAAAATGTGGCACCCCCTGAATGGATATTCTCAATTTAGTGCTCACTTTGCGGGGAAACTGCCTGCACCACTCTGAATCTAGTGCTGCCCTCCCAACTCTGTGTTTCTATTAAAATAATTTGCATTTTCAGCAGAAAATTTGTTGTGTTTATTGGATGCCCATAGCGGCTCCAGCACAAATTCTCTTTTTCAAAGGTGTTGTTGGTGTGTGGCAAAAATCAGGACCCTTACCACACAAAGTGGAACTGCACAGTTGTAAGCTCCTTTTGGGGTGAAACCTCATTACATTTCAAAGATATGCCTTGCTTTGATGAATTATATCCCTACTTGAAAGTTATAATGGAGCTATGGGGTCGTGTGTACCAGTTGAATACGTGGTGCTTCAACATTACACATTGTCAGCCTCCATACAAAGATGGATTTAAACTCCCTCCACTTATCTGATGTGTGACCGCAAAGATGATAAATATGAGAACAAGTCCCGAGAGCTATGATTTGTGGTTGGCAATTTAGCATACTTGTCTTTCCCATTTATAGCAAAAAACCCTTAATCTTAATGCTTCTGAGAAACCACAAAGTAAGACCTGTTGCTCCCGAGAAATAGGCATTCAGTGACTTCTGCCTCAGCACATAGAGGGTCTGATACAGACATAATAGCTAACCGATTTTGATTTTATTTAATAGCATTTGTATGCCTCCTCATAACTAAGTTCTCTGGGCAGACTGCTTTAGTTAGCAAAGGTTTTGCAACTGCAGATCAAGCAAGCATATTGGTCTGGTCTCTCTCTTCTAGGACAGCAGTGATTTCTGCATTTGAATATATTCTGAAAGTGATATATCTTCGGGAGAGGTCTAAGTTTTTGAACTATTGTACTGATGCATTTTATTAACAGGAAATGACGACTCACACCATTATAGTAACCAGGCAATTTTATTAGAAGCAATTCTGTAAGAAGAAAACACTTCCAAACTTTAGGGAGAGCTACCCACGTAGCAACAAACAGATTGCACACACACCTATAACTTAGAAGCTCCCAATGTGGTGCCAAGGCAAAGGTGTGTCCAGAAAAAAAAACAGTTTTAAACCACAAAATGCATTAGAACTTGTGTCTCCCATAAAAAGTGTCAACATATTCTGTCTTTTCAGATGAGGGGAGAAACCAGGGGAGAAGCGGTGGTACCTCTCTATAATTCCAACAGCTCATATCGGAAAGGATGATTCTGACAAATAAAGATGACACACCACTTTGTTCTTAAAAATACCTCTGCTCAGAACATATTGCATCTAGGCTGGAAAAGGTTTATAGAAGATGTGTGGAGAGGACAGCTTTTTTTAATTTTTTTTTTTTTATGCCAGGAAGTCTACACAAAAAGTCCACATTTTCTGTTTTGAAAAGTTTCAGGACCAGACTTAATATTCGGTTTTGAAAGGATAATCCTTGTGGTTTGCACACCTATGAAAAGAAAGAGTTAAATCAGAAGTTTGGTTTTACTTATGCCAATGTCTATTTTAGGGGAACCAGGGCAAACTGGAAGCGTGGAACACCCTAAACTCTCAAAAAGTGCAGTGGTACCTCGGGTTACATACGCTTCAGGTTACAGACTCCTCTAACCTATAAATAGTACCTCGGGTTAAGAACTTTGCTTCAGGATGAGAACAGAAATCGTGCTCCAGCGGCGTGGCAGCAGCAGGAGGCCCCATTAGCTAAAGTGGTGCTTCAGGTTAAGAACAGTTTCAGGTTGAGAACGGACCTCCGGAACGAATCAAGTACTTAACCCGAGGTACCACTGTATCTTTTTAGGCCAGTACACTTTGTGTACCAACAAGTAAAATGCTGCCTACTAGTCATACACCTAAGGAAAGATACCCCCCCCCCCGTTTTCCCTGCCCCCCTAAAAGTGCAAAAAAGGGGACTTATTGAGCATCTGGAAAAACACAAATTAGGTGGTGGGTCACAAGTTGTTAAGGCCTTATCCAGCATCACTCCCAGCAGACAGCATGAAAATACTTAGTGCTATAATGGATGTACTTGCTGTATGAGGAAGAATGTCCACAGTTGTTTTTTTAACATGATTTTACAGCAGTGTCCAGAAATTGAACTTGAAATTTGAGTGCAAAATGCTGAACCTTCAAAGTACGATAAGACAATTCCACAAAGTTTACCTTTGCTGGACATTTTTGAAATTTGCAGCAAGATCATCCATTTAAAAAACCTTAAGAAACCAGGACCATACTGTAGTCAGCAAACTAAACCTCAAATTTCAAAGCAGAATGCTGAATGTTCACAATTGTGGAAGAAGCCACATGAAGAAAAGTATGAAGAGAGAAACCATCTACACTTTAAATGAAGAAATATGGGGAAACAGCTGGCCAAACTTTTTCAACCCTTCTCTGCCTCTGGAACTGAGAAGCGATTCTTCAGCTACATTCTGATAAACCAGCTATCTCAAACAGCGGTGCTGCCATGGCAGGACTTTGGCACAAGACATCCAGGACTCCACTCAGCAGAATGAGAAGGAAGTCCCCCCAGAGGCTGCAGGGATGGCTTCCTTTAACTTCTAAGCGAAGTTAAACATTATCATCTAAAGCAGAAGATCCCCGAGAGACTAAGAGGTCCGGACTGCACCACTGATCTAGGAACTAAAGCAGGCCTCGAGATTGCCCTGAGGGAAAGCTAATCAATAATGCTCCCAAAAGCGGCAGATACGTCAACAGAAAGTGGTGGTGGGGATTCTGCGGTAAAGTTTACAGAAGGACATCTTAAAGAGAAAATTGCAAGAGCCTGTTTTAAAGGGGTGGTTAAACGCTCAGAGCTTTCAAACTATAGCAGAGTGTGACCAAGTCAGTAGTCATGCCTACCAATGGTAAGGATAACGAACCTGTTTCACAGGTCAGGCAATTTTTAACTTTATGCTAATCATAACTGCCAGTTGTCAGAAATGATTAAATGATAACCTAACCAGCTTTTTTAGCCACTGGGTGAAAACTGATTTAATGTCCTCTAACAAAGGGCCAGCATTAGCCATAAGCACTATTGGCAGATTTCTGGGTTATTTGTAGTAGATCAGCAAGAGATTGCAACTCCCAGTCCTCTATAGTGGTGGCTACAACTGAAAACATTCTGCCCCCACAGACTGCCCCACCTGCAAATTCAGATTCTGGAAAAGAACTCCGTGGGGGAGGAAACAGGAGCAGATTTTAGTGTCAAAGGGCCTGAAGACTTGGTTCTGATACTGATCACGAATTCATGGGCTGAGGAAATGTTTAGAATAATCTTGTACCAGCAATCTTAATGCATGTCTGCATTATATCATATCTCACAAGCTTGATGTCTGCCCACCCCAGATTAGAACAGGCTGGTCTTCATCCCTGACTGCCCCAAATGAACTGTGTAAAAGAAGGTTGGCACAAATGCCTTTAAAAAAATGTAATTACTTTTATCATTTCCCCCCAAGAAGGTTGTTTCCCCAATCACCTTTTAACGATTGTTATTAAAAGCTCTTTTGATCTATTTAACCAATTGTCTAACTAAGCACTGCAGAACTGTTCTACACTGATCCTGGACATGAGAGTCCGACAATGCTGTTTATCAACCCTTTTCGATTTTTCAGACCCTGCTACTTACTGGCTAAATGCACATGCTCTCCAGTTCCTGTTGAAACTGAGAATGGTTTCCAGCTCCTGCTTAGTCAAGTCAAAGTCGAACACCTGGCATGGAGAAAGAAAAAGCAGAATTTCCAATTCATGGCAGGTTCGCAAGAATTGTGGAGGTTAACATCACTTGTTTTATGCATTATTTGCATTTGTAGCCTGCCTCTTCTTCCCAAGTGTTCAATGGAGTAAATAAGCAAAAGCAAGAGTCTTCCCGTTTTACCTTCACTGAAATCTTAGCCAATGGCCCATCAAACCCAGCATCCTGTTCTCACAGTGGCCAATCAGATGCCTGTGGGAAACCTGCAAGCAGGAGAGCACTCTTCTCCTGAGTGGAATTCAGAAGCATTGCTGCCTCTGAAAGTGACGTTGGTCGGGTTGAGAGATGCCCAAAGCAGCCTAGTAGAGTTGGCCTCTTTTACTGGTTTTGGGGTTGGCTCCAATGAGTTGGGGAGGGCATTTGGGGCCATCTCTGAAATGGGGTGAAAGGAGGCAGTGAAGTGGTTTGTACCCTTTCTGGGGGAATGAGCTTACAGCGGTGGCAGCAAGGACTCAGACAGATAATAATAATAATAATAATAATAATAATAATAATAATAATAATAATTTATTTATACCCCGTCCATCTGGCTGGGTCTCCCCAGCCAACCTGGGCGGCTTCCAACGAAGTATTAAAATACAGTGGTCTGTTAAACATTAAAAGCTTCCCTAAACAGGGCTGCCTTCAGATGTCTTCTAAAAGTCTGGTAGTTGTTCTTCTCTTTGACATCTGGTGGGAGGGTGTTCCACAGGGCGGGTGCCGCTACCGAGAAGGCCCTCTGCCTGGTTCCCTGTAACTTGGCTTCTAGCAGTGAGGGAACTGCCAGAAGGCCCTCGGCGCTGGACTTCAGTGTCCGGGCAGAATAATGGGGGTGAAGATGCTCCTTCAGGTATGACATTCCCGGTGTGTGTGTGCGCACGCAGATTTCCCAAGCATAATTACCACCCCTCCCTCTCAGTTTCTAGACTCTCCTCAACCTGAAACAACAGTTTCAGAAGAAGGAAACAGAATGACAGCCTTTGAGCTGTTGGTCTTTATCGCTCATTGCTGTCTTCTTTTGGTCGGCACAGACTCTCTAGACTGTTTCTCAAACTTGGGCCTCCAGCTGTTGTTGAACTACAACTCCCATCATCCATTAGGACTGCTCCTGCTAGCTAGGAATGATGTGAGTTGTAGTCTTTTGCAGCTGTTTTGCCTGGATCTTAAAACTGGAGAAGTCAGGAACTGAACCTAAGCCCTAATGTGCTCTCCCGCTGAGCCATCCGCCGGCAGATATACAGAACAAAAATAGATTATTCCCTTAATGGTAGCTGTAATTCATATGTTTATTTGCACCAGCCTTCCCCAACATGATGCCCTCCAGATGTTGTTGGGCCTATGGCCATAGCTGTCAACTTTTCCCTTTTCTTGCAAGGAATCCTATTCGGAATAAAGGAATTTCCCTTAAAAAAAGGGAACTGTTGACAGCTATGCCTACGGCTTCCATAATCTCCGTTCACTAGGTAACTGGAGGGCACTGGTTTGGGGTGACATATGCCATGTAGGACCCAAACCAATCCTGGTGGGAGCTGATCTTACTTTCAATCTTACCTTGAAGTTTTCTTCAATACGTGCAGGAGTAACAGATTTGGGAATCACAATTGTATTTCTTTGGATATGAAAGCGGATCAGGACCTAATGATCAAGACAAAGCCAAACCAAGTAAGTCTTCCTGTCCCAAGTCACAAATACATTAAAAATTAGATTTGCCAGGGAAAACACACACCACATGTTCTTTAGCAAAATGGCACCCCTTTCTGCAAAGTCTGGCTTCAAGTCTCAAATTCCAGAATGGAGTTTAACTGCTGAGGGATCCAAGGGTTGTGGGTCTCCCTCAGTTTTCCTAGTACACATCTGTTGCCAGAAAGTTTGCATCCTTGAAATCCCCATGGCAAACGCTGGCTCCCTTGGCCTGAAAGTGAGATTAGCACCGCACCCCATATCACTTTTGACTGGACTTAACTGTCCAGGGGTCCTTTTTTATTTACCTAATGGCGAGGAGTGACCTCCCCCTTAGCCTAGTATCTACAACTGCTAACATTTTAAATCCCCATTTCAAGTAGGAGCACTGAAGAAATGAGTTTTTGATCACCACAATTTAACCTTGTTAAATACGAGGGGATCTAGACATTGCTGAACACAGGAAGCCATCATGATTTGTGCATCTGATCTAATCACGTCTTCCTGCCAAGTTATCAGGCAGGTATTTCTCAGGTCTGCTTTCTGCTCACTGCCTTCTGAAAACCTCCTCTTTTTGCCAGTCCACCAGGTTCTTTGCTTATGTACTCAATTCAACACATAAATCAAACACACCTGAGCTGCAGTTTTATTGTGCTTAGCAGCTATCTCTTTGATCTTGGGGTCGTCCAGGAGAGAGGGATCCTCTGGCTTGGCCCTAGGAAAAGCAACAAAAGCCAAAGGGTAATGAATGCTACTAAGATAACTCACGTTTAAAAAAACCAGAAAGGCTGATCAGATGGAGAGGAACAACAACAACAGCAACAATTTATTAATACCCCACTTATCTGGTTGGGTCCCCCCAAAGCTTCTGCACCTTTTAACAGGGAATTTCAATTATGACTTTTGTTCTCTACACTATTAAAAGTACCATCTGCAAAACAGGAATAAAGCTCACCCTACCGGGCTGTTGCAAGCACATAATGCATGTGAATAGCACCATCTTTGAGTAGATGAAGGTGCTAAGCAAATGCTAAGTATAATTATGAAGCACAATTATGCATGCAGTAGCCATACAAATAAATTAATTGGCAGATTTGCTGTATTTACTTCCATCAGTGGTTCTGGTGGCCAAGAAGGCAGTTTCTGCACATGATATAAAGGGAAGTGAGGGACAGATGGCGCTCATCAACCTGGGAAGGTAGCCCATCTAAGAGAAGGAAAACTCTGGTCCTAAACCTCCACTGCCTTGTGGGATATCTTCAAGAGAAGAAAAGGCTAAGGAGTAAACCCTAAACAAATCCAGAGGGGGGAGGGGTGTCCCTAAAACAGTTGGATGGCACCTTGTACGCCTCCTTCTGGCAACTTCTGCAGCCAAGCTGGTCCCAAAAATATTGCTCTGCTTTCCTTTGGACCACATCAGCGAGGCTGAGAGGGGGGTATTGTCGTCTGGGCATCCCAGGACCTCCATACCCACTGCCCAGACTTGCACCCCAGGGAGGTCACTTCGGTGCTGCTAACACAGCAGTTTGGCTTTACCCCAGAGGCACACTCCATTGTCTCTCGAGATGGACAGATGCCAACAACACAACTTTCATCATAGTGGATAGCTTCAAATACAAATGCTTAATATATTTGGGGCTGTTGGAACCGGCTTAGTTATCCCTTAGCCCACTTTCATTACTCATTTACTCACTAAGATGTGGAGCTCCAAGCTCATGGCACATTTAGCTAAGCACTAAAAGACAACCAAACATTCTCACCATGGTCTGTCAGGAGAGCCGAGGGGGCTATACGCTGTGACAGCGATCCCTTTGGACTGACAGTAACTGATCAGTTTTTCCTGGGTAAGATACGGGTGGCACTCAATCTGTAAACATAGAAGAAAACAATTTGTATTATTTGCATTCATCATTTATTTATTTATTTCATTAAAAAAAAAAATTCACTGCTTGTTTGTAAAAAAAGAAAAGGGCAGGCTGCAATAAAAACAAAACAATAGAGAATTTTAAGATTTGCATTCAGAGATCAACTATGCATATAATAGGAAGTTTCCTGGCAGGTTTCCTGAACAGCTACTGGCAGTTGAACAGGCAAGCCATAATTCATCTGCAAACATAGTTTGGCCTCTTTAGAAAACCACAAAATAGGTTTTACTTTTTCCCCCAACGCCACAATCTCTGGTCGCTGCACTCCTGATTCTCCCCATATAGGCTTTTCTTGGACTGCAGCACTTATTTCATAGTTGGTGGGATTTTCACAGGGCACTCATAATGTTCCCGTTTAATAGAAGACTACCAGCTTTCCCCAATGATTTCCTCCTTATCCAGCAGCACTTTTAAAGGCCCAATTCAATTTCTCAACCACCCGAGCAAGACAGTTATGCTGGTCAAGGTTGAAGTAGAAGAACGAATTGTACAAAAACAAGGAATAAGAAATGGAATTACGAAGGAGAAATGCAATTTCAAATAAACAAAGTAATCAAGCAAGCACCAAGCACGCACACATTATTTTCTCCCATTGCTATCTCAGGTCAAGCTGGTTTTCAAGGTTTTTGCAATGGCACAAAACCCTGGAGAAACCATTTATCAAAGGCAGTGGCGGGATGTGCATATATACGAGGAACAACCGAGTTTTTCTTGCATCTTGTTCAACATTCTGTGGGGTGTGGAGAATTGTGATCACTCCAGTCTTTACTTATTGGGGCTTAGTCTTCCTGACCAGCCAAGAAGGGTGCTGAACTATACTGGATAGAGCTGCAAACTTGTGCGAGTTTTATTTCTGGATTCAACTGCTTTATTAAGGAGGCATAATGGCAACTTCCCAAAAAACTCATGCATGAGTTTTGCATGTATATTTTTTAATCAGTTCACAGCCAGGCCCCTGTAGGAGTACCATGTTCCGGCAGTATCCAGAAATTCAGCTTCTTGTTTGAAGGAAGAAGCACACTGGTGACGCTTCTGTGCAGACTTATGAATCTAGCAGAACACACAGACTATATTTAGGATGCAACAGGATCCCTGTGCATCCTTGTCTCTGTCACACGATACCTTGGACTCAGTATGCACTGCTCTCTGGGGCTTAATTTCATGCTCACTTAGCATAAATAACATACCCACTCACTCCATTCCAACCATCCTTTTGTCCGCCCACCACAAAGCTAAGAGTCCACCACAAAGCTAAGAGTCCACCACAAAGCTAAGAGTTCAGATGCAAAATCTGAAAAGTTACCATTAAAAAAAACAAAAATGACTCCACAGGGGGAAGTTCAGACAAGTATTTTGACTGAGCAATTTCCAACTGAGAGGAGGACACCATAGCAGGTGTTGATTAATTCAGGTAATTAATTCAGGCAGATAAGTTTCAGTGCCAGCTGAAAACCTCCTGCCTCCAAGCCTTTGAGGCTGATAAGAGCGTAAAGCAAGGGACAAGCTCTTGCATACTTTAAGTCTCCATGATTTCTGATGGGGGAAAGTTTTGTGTGTTCTTAACTCTTTCCTCAACGTCTTCATCTTTTTTGAAAAGCGTTGTGAGGCGCTTTTATTTTGTTACAATCAGGTGGTGTATAATTTTCATGAAATAAGTAAATAACTATAATCAACATGCTTCCCCAATCCCGGGTGTGGACGCTGCAGGGAAACAGACTCAAATCTAAGTTCAGCTATGAAAAGATACCTCATAGACATCGGCCAATTTCACAGGGCTGCTGTGAGATCAAAGATTCCAGCACTGGAAATGACTATGGACAAGATATGATGTGGAATAAGAAAAGCAAAATAGCCATAAATTCAGAATTTCCTTACAAGCACTGAAATCTGCCCATCTTCTTTTTTTAATTCCCGTGTCTTCTTGCTGCTGTGAAATGATCAACCCTTCATAATCCCCTAAAAAGCTTCTGTTTACATTGCTGGGCATCCTACCTGATTATTTGCAGGCTTGTACTTCAACCCCGGCTTGTTCAAGAGTCTCTCAAGCTGATCGTGGTTGAAATTGGAAACTCCAATAGATTTCACCAATCCAGCATCTACCAGCTCTTCCATTGCCTGGTGGGGGGGGGGGACACAAATGAAGACCAAATATTACATAAACATGTTGCAAACATAAATCTCCCCACTGTCCTTAGGAATTCCCCCTGGCCTGACTTTGGAAAGCTGTCACCCTTTTGAGCCTGCTAAGCTCTCGTCTAATGAGATAACACCTTCAAAACTATCATATGCACCTCTCTGTGAACAGAAAGGGAATTTGGAAATGGGAACTCCAGACCAAAAAACCAGTACAGTTATACCTTGGGTTAAAGTTCCTTCAGGTTGAGCGTTTTCGGGTCGCGCTCCGTGGCAACCCAGAAGTAATGGAACGCGTTACTTCCGGGTTTCGCCGCTCACGCATGCTCTCAAAATGACACCACGCGCATGTGCAGAAGCGGCAAATTGTGACCTGTGCGTGCGCAGACACGGGTTGCTTTCTCTTCAGGATCCGGAACAGATCCCGTTCACATCCAGAGGTACCACTGTACCACACAGAAATAACTATTTGGTCAGGGGGGTGGGAGCACATGTGTGTGGTGGTGTTTGGGGATGACTACTCCCCACTGATTGTGGCGGAGGGAGGGGGTCCGGTGGGGGCGGTTTACCCGGGGTGTCATCCCGGGGGGGTGTGACATTTGGTGTGCCACCCGCCCACGACTCCCAAGCCTACCCTGAGCTGTTGGGGGAAGGCAGGGAGCTGCGCCGCTTTGCCGGCGGCCTTCCCCTTTTGTTTTGACAGCTTGGGAGTTGGGGGAGTCTTGGGAGTCACAGGCGAGCGGTGCACCATTGCCCCGCGCTCCCGGCTGGAGGAGGCAGGCAGGCAGAGGAGAGGACGGGAAGGAGGCAGGCAAGCAAACAATGGAGGGGGTGGGAAGGGGAGAGGATGGAAGCGGGATCGGTGGGAACACCTTTCATTCTGCCTGGAAGATGAGTGCTTACAGCTGGACTATCAAGTGGATTTAAAGGGTCACTTTGGGGTTGGTGCTGCAAACGCCGAAGGGATCTTGCATTACGTTTATACATACCTACTGGATTCAATAATGCTCCTAAGTGAAGGCGTGCCTATACAGTGGTGCCCCGCAAGACGAATGCCTCGCAAGACGGAAAAACCGCTAGACGAAAGGGTTTTCCGTTTTGAAGTTGCTTCGCAGGACGAATTCCCCTATGGGCTTGCTTCGCAAGACGAAAATATCTTGCGAGTCTTGAGATTTTTTTTTTGCTTTCCCCCCCCTTTATCTAATCTGCTAAGCCTTTAATAGCCTTTAATAGCCTTTTAGCAGCTAATCCCCTAAGCCTTTAAGCCTTTAATAGCCGCTAAACCGCTAATAGCGCTAATAGCGCTAATCCGTCAATGGGCTTGCTTCGCAAGACGAAAAAACCGCTAGACGAAGACTCTCGCGGAACGGATTAATTTCGTCTTGCGAGGCACCACTGTATCTGACTGAAGCCGCCCAAAGGTTAATATTTTCTATATTCAAGGCAGATTAATTCCCTAAGCACAAGGGACGCGTACTGAAAAGGGGAATTTCATACTCCCTTGTAAGAAATTGCGGCACTGCATTACCACGGCTGGCTGCGCCATTGTAACATGTGATCTCTCTCTCTCTCTCTCTCTCACACACACACACACACACACAGAAAGAGAGAGAGAGAGAGAGAGAGAGACAAGAACGCAGTTTATGGGGCAAGTTTAGACATGTGTTGGGGACCTGGAAGGAGAGAAACAAAAGCTCCCTCAACTCAGGACCCAAACCCTGGAATGCATAGGAGGAGAGATGGGGTGTGAGGGAAGTGATGGATGCAGCCGGCACTTAAAAAGGGAATAAAATGCTTGCTGTCTTTCTCTCTATCTGGGCTGGCTCCCTGCCTGTTACATTACATGTGGGGAAACCCACGTGGGGTTCCTCTCTGTGTAAAGTCTTCAAGCTGTGTAGGGCGGCTGAGTGGAACGAAGCATGCAGACTCCGGAGGCCCCGTGGTGCGCCCCACTCTAGCCCCTATGGGCGGCTCACCCCACCCCTGGCCACGCTGCCCCAGGCGCCTGAGCAGCTTCCTCTGGTGATGCCCACTGGTTCTGTTGCACATGGCATCTAGTCTGGCATGGCCACAACGGTGAAGGAGAACTCAGTACATATTTTTAAGTAAATTTGCTTTCACACATAAATCTGCAAATATCCTACCAAAGTCAAGAGCAGGGCTGGGGAACCTTTTTCAGCCCAAGATCCACGCTCCTTTTTAAGGAACCTTCCAGGATGCAGGACCAGAAGCAAAAGTGGCCAGAGCACTGAATGAATATTAGCTTTGTACAGTAGGCTTGTTTCTACAAACTCCTCTCTCCATCTTCCATCCAGAGATGCAAAGAGGCACCATCAGCGTTCAACACATTCAAGTCAGGCAAAACCACTCAAGGAGAGTGAAGGCAATGAGATAAGATGTGTGCCTGGCATAAGAAGAGTCCCGGGGGGGGGGGGAGAGAAAAAGGGGCTTAGAGGGCCACATCTGGCTCCCTGGTCCGAGGTTTGCAAACCCTAGTCAAGAGGGACCTTTCTATGGTATTTGCAACTATGCAAGGAACTGATATATAGCATAACTTAAGCCAACAGAAACTGCCATAAATAGCTGCAATCTATGCAAAAGGTGAATGCAAGAAATTGCACACAGAACAAAGAGAAACCTTTAACTGCAGCGGAACATACTTCCCAGGTGTCCTCAATCTTCGTGTTATCGGGTATTATCATGCCTGTTTCATCAGATGGGAATAGGTCATCGCCAGCCTGCCAAATGCAAAGCAAGAACATGAGGGGTTTGCTTTTGAGTAGATGAGGCTGTCCTGTGCAGAGTCAGACAACTGGCTTTTCCCAGTCCCCAATATACTTTAACAGGATGTGCCTGAAATTTAACCTGGGACCTTGTGAACAAAGGAATATGCTTTGTGCCAAGCCAGACCATATTCCTGCTCTACCTGGAGATGCCAGGGACTGACCTTTGCACATTCTGCACACAAACCACATGCTCTGCTACTGAAATACAGCACCAGTGTAAAAGGGACGGTGTGGCATTTTCTTTGTACAACGGGGCAAGAAAAACCAGGCTCTCAAGCGACACCACTGCTCAGCCAGGCAACCAGATCAGCGAACCGCTTCAGTTATTTTTCTGAAAAACCATAATTCTAGAAGGTAACTGGAGCAGACTGTTCCTCTGTCGTAAGCATGCCTGGAGGTGAGAAGTATTCTGCACTAAAATACTCCTGGCAGAATCATCACAGCTCCCTGCTCCAGGATCTCAGAAGCTTGAGTGTCAAGCTCACGGCTTTTTCAGACACAAGCGCAATGAAAGAATACCAACCATATGCTCTTTTTTATACCTTTAGCCAGTGGTGAAGTGGCCCAGGGTCTTGGGTAGGTGGGGGAGGTCAAAGACCCCTTACTATTTCTGTAGGGGGCCCCATCTCCAGCGTCCGAGAGTCACCCAATCAGCATGAAAGGGGAGCTCTTTTTTTGCCACCATATTTTCCAAAGCTAAGCATTTAGGAACACTGAAAACAGGAGGTGCTCCAGTTTCAAGACAAAGATGTGCAGGTTCTGTTACGTACAGTGGAACTTCGTGGAAAGCACACACTCCGAAAGGAGGGATTAGAGAACTCCAAACCATTTGCCCGTGTACATCCACAGAAAACAGTAGATCTAACTGAAACGCAACACATAGAGATCTGCACTGATTGTTGTAATGCATCTCTAATCATTGTTGTATAATTGTATAATATTAGAAGCGTTGTGGCTGTGACCCTGCATTTTTGGATTGGCCCCTATACTTCTGCCTTTAGCATTTCTACACACCTGCCTTTAGCAGAAGTGGCCAGTGGTTTCTAAATGTTGCTCTACCACTATAAAGACTTTGTGAGGGGCAGCCAGCAAAGGAAGGAAATGCAGTCTGCATGAGAGCTTCTCCCTTCAAGTTGCAAGGATACCAGATGCCTGACCCACCATAACTTGGAAGCAGGGCCTTTAGTGCAGCTGCCCCAGTTTGGGGGAGCAGCATCCTTGCAACTATACACCTGGTGTCCACTATCTGGAAACAACTGAAAATGGCTGCGTTCAGACCAGCTTTCTCAGCTCAATGAACAGGTCTCTGCCATGGGTCCCTACTTTTTATTCTTTTGATTTATATGATGTAATTTGCAGTGTTGTTTTCAGCCGTTTTGATTTATTTGTGTGTGTTGCCTAGAGGTAAGGATAGAAACTGAAAGACAGACAGACAGACAAACAAACAAACAAACAAGAATACCTTGAATCCCACAGGCCAGTGAATAAGGTAGAGGTCTAGGTACTCCAGCTTCAAGGCTTTAAGAGTTGCTTTACAGGCACCCTTCACCAAGGCTTTCTCGTGGAATGTGCACCACAGCTGGGAGGGGGGTGGGAAGAGGAAGGATAGCAAGAACACAGGTTAATTCACCAAATTACATCTATTCCACAATGTTTTTTTCTTTTTAAAATAATATTTTATGAAAGCTTTTTCATAATACAATAGGATAAAAGAAACTAATCTAAATAAAAACAAATGGGGGGGGGAACAAAGAGTTCTCTTTCAAAAACCCTTGTCTCAAACAGAAAGTGTGGCCCCTCCCAGCTCTCACCTGGGGACTTTCATAGAATCGTGCAATTGCAGAGTTGGAAAGGACCCTGAGGATCTTTTCTTTCTTCACCCAGTCTCTCATCCTTTGAGAAGTCTCTTCTTCCCTGCCTCTCACTCAGAGCTCCTTCCACCACAATGTTATCCCCCCCCCCCGAAGAAAATAGGTCTATCACATGAACTGATGGAAATGGCTCCATTAATCTGGCAATCTTGCAGGGATGGGGAAGCAGTGGCCCTCCAGAGGTGACTAGAATGCAACTCCTACCATCCCTTAGCACTGAGCACACAACGGTTCCTTCACAACACAAAATTCACTCCTGGTTTCCCCTAGTTCCTTTGTTTCAGCAACCTAGTCTTTTTTTTTATGGTGGTTGTGGAGTTGTTGCTATTGCTCAACAACTAAGAGTCAGAAATTCTTGGTAATGCCCTGCACATTGCTCAGAGATCGATCAACAGAACCTGATCCACCTTCTGTTCACCTCTGCTCTAAAGGATCGGACTTTCAGCTTGGGGTGGGGGGTTTTTAAAGGTAAAGGGACCCCTGACCATTAGGACCAGTAGTCATGGCCGACTCTGGGGTTGCGGCGCTCATCTCGCTTTATTGGTCGAGGGAGCCGGCGTACATGTGGCCAGCATGACTAAGCCGCTTCTGGCGAACCAGAGCAGCGCACTGAAACGCCGTTTACCTTCCCGCCGGAGTGGTACCTATTTATCTACTTGCACTTTGACGTGCTTTCAAACTGCTAGGTTGGCAGGAGCAGGGACCAAGCAACAGGAGCTCACTCCATTGCGGGGATTCGAACCGCCGACCTTCTGATTGGCAAGTCCTAGGCTCTGTGGTTTAACCCACAGCGCCACCCGTGTCCCTTGGGGGGTTATTAGACCTACCTTTCTCTTTGGAAGCCCAACCATCTTTCATCAGGTGGGGCTGGCATACTGGCTCTGGTCTCTCCTAGCCTGGCCACTTACTCACATCCATGAGAACGTCCCTCACTGCTGCACTTCGTTGGATGGCCATCTGTCACGGATGCTTTAGTTGAGATTACTGTACTGTGGGGAGATTGACCTAGATGACCCTTGGGGTCTCTTCCAACTCTACAGTCCTATGATTCTATGAAAACATAGGTTACAACCTGGACTGTGTGTATGGGATAGATCTCACCAGTCCTGAACAAACGGCACTGGTTCCTCATCTATTCCCAAACCAAATGCTAGGTGCTTGTCTTAACATCCAAAGCCCTAAATAGCTTATTGACCAGGATAACTCAGGAAGCACCTCCTCTCGCTGGAACCTGCCAAGGTAAGAAGCTCCCCTGTGGATGCGTCATATATGCATTGTCCATTAAATATCTGGAAAGTGGCACATTGGGCCCTTCTCTCTGGGGACAGTCAGCATCAAGCAAAAAAGAAAGTTTAGGAGTACATTACAAACCTTGTTGCAACCCACTTTTCAAAGCCCAGCAGGTGGGAAAGTGGGGTATAAATGTATGTACCTTACTGACAATGAAAAGGTTCTCACGCTTTACAACACCGGCCTTGATTTTCTCCTGGATTCCACTGCCAACCTCTTCTTCATTTTGGTACACATAGGCACAGTCTATGTGGCGATATCCCACGTCAATGGCTTTCTTCACAGCCTCTGCTACTTTCCCTGGTGGGGACTGAACAACAGAGAAATCCTGTTCAAGCATCCCATTAACTTGCTACACCTTCCTCTTTGCTCCACAATCCTTTATGTATCCATTGTCAATACTCTGGGCCTAGCACAGACATAATACAGTGGTGCCCCGCAAGACGAATGCCTCGCAAGACGGAAAACCCGCTAGACGAAAGGGTTTTCCGTTTTTCAATGTGCTTCGCAGGATGAATTTCCCTATGGGCTTGCTTCGCAAGACGAAAATGTCTTGCGAGTCTTGAGATTTTTTTCCGCTTCCCCCCCTTTTTCTAAGCCGCTAAGCCTTTAATAGCCGTTAAACCGCTAATAGCGCTAATCCGCTAAGCCGCTAATAGGGTTGCTTCGCAAGACGAAAAAACCGCTAGACGAAGATACTCGCAGAACGGATTAATTTCGTCTTGCGAGGCACCACTGTACTTAAAACATGAGCAGCAGCCACCATGGTTGGTCACCATAGACTTGGTAAAGATCCTAAACCAGAGGTGGGAAACCTTTTTATTTATTTTTTGCCATGGTGGGCCAGATCTGACTTAGTATAAAGACAGCTCCTTGCGTTCTACCTTTCTTCTGCAGGCAAATTAAAAAGCAGCCTTGTCATGCTCGCAGAATCTTATATTCGCATCAAAGGCTAATATTGGGAGCAAGAGGGATAGTTTGAGTGGGTGGCAGGCAAAAGCAAAGGAAGCAGGTAATGTGTATTGGGCAAAGACATCTCTGGCGTGTTCAGCAATGTAAAAAATTGAACTTGAAACACACATGCATGTGTGTGAGGGAGAAGAAATGACTTTGCTGCCCCTTTAAGCTGCTAACGTGTAAATAGTCATTATCACCATCGGTTTCTTTATATACAGTGGTACCTCGGGTGCCTGGCGTGCTCTGGTCCATGGGGTCACGAAGAGTCGGACACGACTAAACGACTAAACAACAACCTCGGGTTACATACGCTTCAGGTTACAGACTCTGCTAACCCAGAAATAGTACCTCGGGTTAAGAACTTTGCTTCAGGATGAGAACAGAAATCATGCAGCGGTGGTGCAGTGGAGGCGGGAGGCCCCATTAGCTAAAGTGGTGCTTCAGGTTAAGAACAGTTTCAGGTTAAGAACGGACCTCCGGAATGAATTAAGTACGTAACCAGAGGTACCACTGTAATACAATTTTCTACATATTCAGCTGTGCTCAAAGCGGCTCACATAAAAAGCAGTCTAAATAGTACAGTGGCTATATAATAAAAGGTATAATATCACTACAATATAACACTTAAAAAAACCTGTACCAATGGTTAACAGTTCATTTAACAAACATGAAAAGGCAAGCAAGCATATAGCTTATCAATTTTGTAGTCGCCTTAGTCATGTTCGACTCTCCGTGACCCCATGAACCAGAGCATGCCTTGGAAACTCTCGCTTTCTTCTCAAAGCTTCTCCTTTTTTATGTCCATGGAGTTTTCTTAGCAAAATACTGAGTGGTTTGCAGCTTATCAATAGGCACAACTAAAAATACTTAGCATCATAAAGTTGGAAGGGACCATGAGGGTCATCTAGTCCCAACTGCCTGCAATGCAGGAATCTTTTGCCCAATATGGGGCTCAAACCCACAACCCCGAGATTAAGAGTCTCATGCTCTACCAACTGAGCCATCTCAGTTACTAGTGTCATCAGTTTTGGGGCAGCTGTTGGATGTAACATTACTGGATATGCTTTTATCTGTGCCCCAGGCAATGAACGTAATCAAAATGGCATTTGGCTGCCCAAATTATATTTTCAGGCGTGTGCTTTTCTTTCCTCCCACAGATGCAAGGCACGTCACAGGAAGACTTGGGAGCCTGTGAGAAGTCCAGACCCTCAAGGGCTTGCTGGAACTAGTAGACCAGGAGATGGATCTGGCTATCCCTCAAAGCATCTAGCAAAATAGCAAATGGCAAATAAATTTGTAGGCCCGTTTCATTAAGGATGTCTAGACGCCACCAGTATTAAAGGCCAAAGGCTGCAGTGTTTATTAGATGGAAGAATTAGGAGAAGGGAATCTTGTTTGAGACAGATGGGTCCCTACAGCCAGAGATCCTGCTTGACTGACTCTGTGTCACTGCTCATCATCGGCAGAGTGAATTGCCCAACATTTATTGGATTGCACCGAGACCTCTAGCTTACTGAAATGAACAAACTGCCAACAAAAGGTTGTGTATTGGGGTGGTGGGGAATAATTTTCAGGCTGAAACATTGACATATTGTCTATGTGGTGAACATAGAAAACTGGCAGTCTTCCAGTGAGCTGCAAGGCCAGTCCAAGGTATTAGTACTAGTGTACAAGGTCCTGAACGACTGGTGATCAAAGTACCTAGAAGAGCACCTCTCTCAAAATAATCTCTGGCCCAATGATTGGCAGGAAAGTGCCAGTCCATGCCACCGAGTGCTGCCAGGCTGGGGCAGCCCTCTGACAGGGCCTTCCTGGTGGTGGTTCTCCGCTTGTGGAACAAAATTCCTGGCAAGGTGTGTCTGTCCCACTCTTTATTAACATTCAGGAGGAATTTAAATACATTCCTGTTCACCCATACGTTTGATGAATGAAAGATAGTTTCTGGCACCTTGAAATTATTAATTATGAGGGTATGTGGCTATTTTTGAACACTTTTAGATGTTCTTATCTTTAATGTTTTTACTACTTTGTTGGCTCCTTTTCGAAGGAATGGCAGGAAATATATTTTAATAATAATCATGCAGCCACAGGGTGGGTCGCACACGGAATTCACGTGTGGCAAGTGCACAGCCCCAGAACCTCTCTGGTTCTCATAAGCTTTCTTCTATTTATTTTTGTTGGCACTGGCTGTTCCACACTAAATACAAGTTATTGTATATATTATTAGCAAACTTTGTTCTGAGGGCTGCTCCTTCTGCAGTTGAAGTGGCATTATCTACACACAAGAGGAAGGCAGCAACAGGCTACAAAATCTGCTTAAGTACAAAAGAATCTTAAGAAATAAAGATCTACAGGCAATCCAAAAAACATTGTTCTTTCCACGGTTGTTTTTAATTAAAGTAACACATGCTTTTGAGAATTATCTGTAAGTTTTACTCATCTGCTCACTTAGGAAAGCATTTCTGGCTTTGCGTTTTCACACTATGCCCTCAGAATATTTAGAGGGATGATACAGGAAAATTTGGTAGTACCAAATTTTTGGTACCCAAGCAGCAGAAGATCTATACATTATGTACTATATTGCTCTCTGTATTCTGAACCAAGAACTAAGTTTATCCTTGATTTGCTAAGTAAGAGACGTGATACTGCTGATCAAGTGATCACCTATTTGTTGTCTGGTTTCGACAAATTTGTGGAGGACAAATTTGTGAGGTTCGCAGTTGCTGCCCCAAAATTGAGAATAATGTGGACTGTAAAGATTTAATTGGGAATGGAATATAAAAAAACTATTAGTATCATGTTTGTGTGAGTGTATGTGATTGTGTTTTAATGCTATATTTATGTATATACTGTAAAGGACGTATATTCTTTTTTCCAGTGGTTGATATGACCATGATGGTTGAAACAACAACAAACACACTTCAGAAACAAAAATCCTTTTGGGTGGGGTGGGGTGGAGCAAAAACAGGTTCAGTCTGAGGAAGAGGTGGAAGAGAGAAAGCTTGCACCAGCCTGTCCATCAAGTTCTTAATAGAGGGTGTGTGGCTTGCTGCAGAGTCAAATGGAAGCTTCATTTAAAGTCTCCAGCACCCTTGGGAATGAAATCGCTCTTTGTTACCTTTCTAAGCACACCTCCCGAAAGGTAATGCAGTAGGGCTTGCGGGGGCCAAGAAGCAAATGAGCAAGGCCTGACTGGCAGGAAGCTATAGCTCCTGATTGCTCAGAGCTCTCAGAAGAAGCTTGTGAGGAAAAAATGGTTCCTGGGGCCTAAAAGGTGGGGAACCTCCAAGCAGCTCAGATAATAAAAAGTACTCAGTAGAGGTGAGCTTGCCCAGTGCAAAGCTCATCCTCTTCGCCAGCTTCCTTCAACCTGGGTCCTTCCAGATGTTTTGTGCCCAGGGCTGATGGGAGCTGCCGTCCAAAATATCTGGAGGACACCAGGATGGAGAAGGCTGAACTGTGCTAAACCTCTGATTAGCCAAAACAGACTGAATTGCAAGGCTGGCTTCCAGAAATTCACCAGCACGTTATGTCTTTTTGTCCCATGAGAACATCATCCTTTTAAGTCGACCCTTAGGATTATCTTCAAACTACTGGAAAAGAAAAACAAGCAAACCAACAATGCCGTTTTCCACTTTTTCCTCATTAAAATAAAATGGCCCTCTACAAAACAGAAGTTGCTGCTGCTCCTTGTAAGAAAAGGAAGTTATTTCTCTACAACACAGATCTGGAATGAGATTAAAGACGCCCAAAGAGTACAACATGTAAGCACACACAGTTTCCTTGTTGCATTTTCTCTACAAACTTTGCCAGCTGCTTCTTCAGATCCCCCCACCGCCGTTTATCTTACTCGCTTCAATTTTAAGTGGAGCCTGCAGCTACACTTAGTAGTTGGGTCTTGCAGTTAAGAGTGTTGGACTAGGACCTGGGTTCAAATCCCCAATCTGCCATGAAACTCACTGGGTGACCTTGGTGGTCAATTCACATTCTCTCAGCCTAACCTTATGAGGATTAAATGGGGAGGAGAAGAAGAACCACATGTACTACCTTGAGCTCAGTGGAGAAGCAAAACGTGTATGTTATAATAAATAGATAGCTGCTTTTGTGAAGTGTTCCAATAGCCCATACCTTCCAGCATACTCCATTTCTACCCAGTTTTCTGTCCCCAACTCAGCATTTCATGGACATTGAGGACACTCTGTCCTCATTAAAAATCAATGATTACATTCGTCTTCCCAGGTGGTTCCCCATCCCTCTATCCCCTTAGGGATTTGTTCTTAAGCATTTTCTTTTTTAATTTCTGCAAATCTCTGGTTCTCCAATGTCTTTTGATACCTCCGGCCCCCTGAGCATGGGTAGGGCTGCTTTGGCTACATGAGCCAAGGCACTCGCCTCGGGACATCGAAATCCGAGGAAGCCATACTTGCAGCGTCTCTCTTTCAAGCTGCAAAAACGCCTTCCCCCTTTAAAAAACCCGATGTGTGTTTTCTTTTTCTTTTTTTAAGAAATAAAAATAAATGTTTTCTTACACAGCTTAAACCCTAAAAATGGCATTAGCAAAGCTTGGGAGACCAAAAGAAACTTCACTGTTTTTACAAATAGTCTCCTTCAGGCAGCCAATAAAATCTAGCAGGATGAGAACGTTCTCTGCCACTCCTTGAAAGAGACTCATTGAACTGAATAGAACTTCCAACTAAGCGTGCATAAAATAATTCTGCATTACTGCCAAAAATTTCCCCAGTGAAGCTTCTTTACCTTCAACTGCTACACAATCTGCAAAAATTTGGAAGGCAAATATTTTCCCCCAGCAGCCAGTGAAGACAAAAGCAATCTTCCTGCAGAATTTTTATGCCACATATAAAACACTTAAGGGCCCAACAGGGAAAAAAGAAGTTGGTAAATGTGCACTTCACCCCTATTAATTCCACAAAGTTTTTTTTTGGGGGGGGGGGCTTACTGCCAAATTATAGAGTTTAAGAGCAGCAGCCCTGGGCATGGAGGTACATCAGAATTATTGGCATTCGAATTTTTTAATATATTTTTTAATGTTACGGTGGTAATGGAGGAAAACTGTGTTAGAAAGCAGTCTTAAACAAAGTTGAAATCAATTATATAAAATAGACCAAACCATTTCCAGAAATCCATTTTATAAACCAGTTTCACCCTAACTCTGACCCACATTTTTTATTCCAGTAATGTCTCTGCCCCTCTCCCCACAAAAAATATCCAAGAAGCACAGCACAAGGAATTTTATTCATGCAATTTACTAATCTTAACAACGGGCTTTCAAGGAAAGAGGAAGGAATGTTATATAACAGCTGCTTGCATTTCACAGAATAAGGAATTGCTCCGCTCTCTATACCACCAAAAAGACAAATTAAGCAAAATCTGCAAAATATATTAAAGGGGATACGGAGACCAGAGTGTCCCGAGAGGCAGATCTGATCAAAGGCAAACCGGAAAAAGCAGAAATAAAGTAAAAACTGCAAAAGCAGCAAACGTGCACCCTATTTTTGGGCGTGCAAAACGAAGCGAAAGCGAAGCTTTTAATTCCTTTGGATGCTGCCAGACGCAGTGGAAAGCTTTGTCCGAGGGGAGGAAAAAGATCGCCCAGCAAGCATGAACTGGGAGGTGGTGGGCAGATGGAAGATGCCATCGGCCTCAAGAGACCCGCTTATCATCCCTCTTTCTTGACACGACAAACACCTACCTTCCAAGTGCCCAGGCCCAGAATGGGCATCTTCGCTTTGGTGCACAGCTCCACGTATTTGGCCATGATTTCCCGGGCGCCGAGGGGGGAGCGAAATGCCACGCTAGGCCGAGAAGCGAGCTGGAAGCGCAGCGCAGCCGCCTCCGAAGCAGGCGCATTTAATGGGCTCTAGCCACGCCCCGGCAGGCGCTCGTCGCCCAGAGGGGGCTGGAGGAAAAACGTCGAGACATTTCATGTTTGGGGGCTGCTCCCTCCTGCCAACGGGCCCGCGCCTCCTCCTTGTGCGCTGCGCAGCCCAGCGCCTTTTGATTCGGAAGGGAGCGCCGCTGATCCCCGTGAAAACAAGCGCGCATAAAATTGCAGAGGAAAAAGTTGGAGAGGGGTGGTGGTAAATGTGGCTTGCGGTTTATTAGACCCTCTTTGAGTGTTAGATCTGGACTTTTTCGCGGCGATCGCAGGGAGGAGCAGCTTTGCGCCTCCCCATCCAGCCGCAGCGCATCATCCTTGCCCCAGATAGACGGGCCGGCTGCCTATGAAAGGGACCCGACGCCCGCCGGCCCAAGAAAGCGCAGCTGCTTTGGGAAGAGGGAGAGAGTTGGGGGGGGGGCGCGGGAGCCAGGCTCGATCTGGGCGAAGGAGTCGCGGCCTCAGCAGCAGCAGCCGGTGGCAAAGGATAAGGCGGAGCAGGCGCTTGCCCCGGGGCGCGCAAAAAGGGAGGCTTAGGTGGCCGACAAAGGTCCGTATAGTTAAAGCTATGGTTTTCCCAGTAGTGATGTATGGAAGTGAGAGCTGGACCATCAAGAAGGCTGATCGCCGAAGAATTGATGCTTTTGAATTATGGTTCTGGAGGAGACTCTTGAGAGTACCATGGACTGCAAGAAGATCACACCTATCCATTCTTAAGGAAATCAGCCCTGAGTGCTCACTGGAAGGACAGATCCTGAAGCTGAGGCTCCAAGACTTTGGCCACCTCATGAGGAGAAGACTCCCTGGAAAAGACCCTGATGTTGGGAAAGATGGAGGGCACAAGGAGAAGGGGACGACAGAGGACGAGATGGTTGGACAGTGTTCTCGAAGCTACCAGCATGAGTTTGTGGGAGGCAGTGGAAGACAGGAGTGCCTGGCGTGCTCTGGTCCATAGGGTCACGAAGAGTCGGACACGACTAAATGACTAAACAACAACAACAACAGGTGGTGAGGAGGTGCTCCTTGCGAAGGGAGTCGAAACAGAGTCAGGCCCGCCCAGGACGTGGAGAACACGGCCCGGCTCTCGCTGGTCCCGAGGGAAGCGGCAGGCGAAGCAAGCCAGCTTCTTACAGCGGGACGGGTCCAGGAAGGAAAGCGGGGTCAGGGCCGCACCACGGCATTTTGGCACCCGAGGCGAAGTACAACCAGGGCACAATGTGGGAGGGAAGATCTGCATCAGGAACAAGGAGAGAATAAAGATCTACATCGGGAATGGGGCATGGGGGAGGCGAAATCAAATCAACCTTGCAGGATGGTTGGAGTGGGGATCAAGAGCCATGCAGGGAGGGAAGGAGCTTGTTTTGAATTACACTAGGCAGGTGCAGAGCCCAGGAGACCCCAGAGTGGTCCCTAGGGTTGAGAGGAGACAAACAGCAGAAATCCAAAGAGGCAATGCCTATCTGCAAGCCTCAACTATTTCCTATTTTTGTTTGTTACAGCCAGGATCTCTAGCCTTGGGGGTGAGTGGGGGTGTACACTCCATTCTCCGTACGTATTAATGTAGGGTTAGTCTGCTAGGTAGGGAAGTATCTTCACTCCAACTGCTATTTTCCTCTTTTCCATTCCAGGTTTTAAATATTTTTAGGCAATAAAGCTTTGAACCTTCATTTTTCGCCTGGTTATTTGTCCTTATGTTCCCTCTCAAAGGAAAACCCAAAGTGTGGGGTGGCCTTTCATCCTGGTACCCTTTCATTCCCTGTGCAAAGAAAGATCCTGAGCTAGGGGTCAGCACACTTTTTCAGCAGGGGGCCACTGCCCCTCAGACCTTGTGGGGGGCTGGGCTATATTTTTTGGGGGGAGATGAACGAATTTCTATGCCCCACAAATAACCCAGAGATGCATTTTAAATAAAAGCACACATTCTGCTCATGTAAAAACACCAGGCAACCCCCACAAATAACCGAGAGATGCATTTTAAATAAAAGGGCACATTCTGCTCATGTAAAAACACGCTGATTCCCGGATCGTCTGCAGGCCGGATTTAGAAGGCAATTGGGCCGGATCCGGCCCCTGAGCCTTAGTCTGCCTACCCATGTGAGCTGTTATGTCTGTGGCGCATCATCACCTTGACACACAGCAAGGCTGTTTTTTTTACAGTTCACTATCTAGTTCCACCCCAGATCTGTTGGCCGTGACAAACTGGCTTTGGAGGCCATGCATTTAAACTGCAAACCCCACCCCCCATTTTTAAACCATGAAGTGTATTCCTACTTGTTCATAAATAATCCCAAGGTCCTTCCATTATCTAGCCAAGGCAGTTAAAGAACAAGCTCAAAATTGATTTTAACCTCAAGGGGAAATTCTGCTCTGCTCAATGGCCTCATGGGAGATCACAAGCTTTCTTGTTTGATCTTCACCAGCTAAATCCAATGTACCAAATCTTATTCAGAATTTTATTCATGATACCTCATGATTTTTCCTGGCTCACACTGCAGCCAGGAAAATCATGAGGATGAATGGGTTCTTAGGGGAGGGGTAGTACCTCGGATGAGGGGACACATCGTGCTCCTTCTGGGGTTGTTTGTCCACCTTTGGTCCCCACCCTGCACTCCACTTTCACTTGTGGCTCCTAGAAGTTGTCAGCACAAAACAGCAGCCACACCCAGGGAACGGTTTTGGCGGGCTAAACCAGGTGAAGGTAGCTGATGGGTCTCAAACCCTTGGTGAGTTAGGGACTTTCCTTGCATGCAAAGACAGGCTCTGGCAGATTGAGCAGACAAGACCAATAGTGGGTCCAGTGGTCAAGAAGGTGGTTTTTGCACGTGCTGTAGAGGGAAGTGAGGGGCAGACGGGACTTGCAAACCTGGAAGGTAGCCTATCTAGGAGAAGGAAAGCTCTGATCCTAAACCCCCGCTTCCTTATGGGAGAAGATAAGGCTAAGGTGTAAACCCTGCACAAATCCCGAGTGCAGCTCCTAAGACAATTGGATGGTGCCTTTTATGATTCCTTCTGGCAACTCCTGCAACCAAGCTGGTGCCAAAACGTATTGCTTTGCTTTCCTTTGGACCACTTCAGCAAGGCTGAGAGGGGGGTCTTGTTGTCTAGGCAGCCCAGGACCTCCATACGCAGTGCCCAGGCTTTCACCCTGGGGAGGTCACTTCAGCACTGCTAATGCAGCAGTTTTACTTCACCCCAAGAGGAGACACCCCCATTGTCTCTCAAGATGGACGAATAATGACAACTGCAGCCCCATTTTGTTCATAACAAGCAGGAAACCTGAGGCATGAACTTACTATGGCTTAAAAGAAGCCATTATTTTCTCCTCAGCTCTCCATCTGCACTCTGGAAAAATAATACTAAGCTTGCAGGCCTGATTATTAATTTCTGTATAGCTCTCTGAACACTCAGAAGCACCAAACTTCTTTCTCTTCCCCAAGCACCATGGAGCAGAATACAAGCAGCTCCAGACAACGGTCAGTTCCTGGGAAGAAGAGACCAAATGGCAGTTTTGCAAGCAAACAAACTTTTCACAGTGCCCCAATATTGCCAGAGTGCCATTAAGGAAGCAAAAGGTAGAAGGAATTTCATCATATGCAGTTTTTCACCATCACAGGAGCATAGGAAGCTGCCAGCCAGACCAATGGTCCATCTAGCTCATTATTGGTTACACTGACTGGCAGCTGCTCTCTAGGATTTGACAGGAGACAGTCCCAGGCCTACTTGCAGAGGCCAGAGATAGAACATGAGACCTTCTGTATGCACTGAGCTATATAGCCCTGTCTCTCATGCAGGGTCAGGTTATGTTGACAAAAGTTTTCAGAACTCTCACTAAGTCTCTCCCCCGCCCCAGTATAGTTTAAATATGAATATACTTGCCATCATTTCGCAGGAACACATTTCTGCAGCATTCCTATTCTCTATCACAGATCATTGCTGGAGGTTATTATTTGCCTATGGCATTCATTTATCTTGGAATAGCCTATCCTGCTCTGGTTTAAAAGCAAGTGGGGATTTGTTTTTGTTTTCTAATGAAAGGTCTACATACACATATATAATTGATCCATATATAATTGACCCATAATATATTAACGTGCAGAAGATAATTTTTTTAAAAATGAAGTGGCATGCTCAAAATTGCATGCCATTGTGCCTGATATTAATATTCATGCCTATGCATTTACATACGTGTGTGCAAGAAAGCTGAACCCTCCCCAGCAATGTATTCAATAAATGTGTAAGGGGAGGTGGAGGTACTGCAGCCTAATTCTACAGGCACCCCACCCCGGCATCCACACATTTGCTATGAGTGAGAAGGGAGTTGCTCTATGCATGTCCTGATTTGGTCAGGTGGAGTGATGCGCATGTAACAGGTGGATGGTGTGTGTGTGGGGGGGTCATCAGGTGCATTGGTGCGGCCCTGCAACCTCCTCACCTTATCTGAATGTTATGTGTGTATGTAATCTAGACCTCATTAGATAAAATATCACCAGATGTAACTTCTGGAGATGTGAAGGATGGGCTGTGTCTCATAAGAATTAGTTTCACTAGCACACTTGTGAAAATAATGACAGAAATGTTAAAAGCCACATTCAGAATCTCTGCAAAAGGCAGAATAGGTAGAAGCAGGGCCCGTTATTCACACAAACTCCATGGTAAACAGAGATGATTACAGTAGATAGGGAAATCTTTTGCTTTTGTTTATTACTTCCTTAAATTAATGAAAAACTGACCTCTAGTGGCTGAAATGGGAAACAGTGCATTATATCCTGTGGCAGCATGTTCAGCAGATGTATTGGAGAACCACAACTTACCACAACCGACTTTTTCTTTACAGAGAATGAATAACGGTAATAAAATATAGAGGAAAAGTTGTGCACTGCCCCCCGACATGAAGTTGTTCGGGTTTAAACTGCCCCAGGAGTCATAGTTGTTTTTGCCAAAAAGTAGTTGAGACTGCTTCGACAGCCTTGAGCACGTGTACGTGCTTATGTACATAACGTGATCGCACAGCTTCGTATTTGAACTACTTTGAAAGAAAAGAATGACATTTGAAGTGGCAAAAATATTCATTTGTGATGGCTCTTTGTATTCACCTGAATTTGCAGTTATCAAATACAACCCGGCTGGGGCAACCCAGTCTGATGGGCGGGGTACACATAATAAAATTATTATTAGCATTGAGATCCAAAATTGTGAACTCTGGTTTCCGATTTCCATCCCGATGGCTCTGCTATGAGCAGGCATGACTACAGAAGAGCTGGAACACTGACCCCGCCCTCCATAGTGTCCATCCAAACGCTCAGTATCTTCTTTGCTTACGGGCCTCAATTATAAAGCCATTTAACAGAGAGAGAAAGTTCCAATGAACCCAGCAGGGTTTACAGTACGCATGCGCAGAGGCGCGCTTGCAAGTGCAGAACTGCAACAAAGGAACCTACACTAGCGTCCCAACTAGGCCACCAACGCAACGCTCCAAAGACGGCCCACAACCGGCGAACCAGCTGCTTATTGGCTTGGAACCACGTCGATCATCGCTCTGCCCAATCCAGCCCCTCTTTCCTCTCGTGGCGTCACCTGGGAGTTGATGCCGCGCGAGTCGTTCCCGGTCACGTAGTCCACGGCCTCCCTCTCCGCTGTCGTCATCGCGGAGCTCTTCCTGACAGGCGGCCGCTCCGCTTCCTATCTGTGAGCGGCAACCCAAAGCTCCAATCGGATGGAGAGGATCCGAGGGGGCTGGTGAAGTTCTCGCCCCGCCCACCAGCAGGACCCAGCCTGGAGCTGTTAGCAACTGTCTGCGGCCGCAGCTGCATCAGCAGCATTTGCACGGGGGCTGTCTTTGCTTTCGGCGGTCTGGCTTTCTCTTGTGCCGAGGTAACTGGTGGTCAGAGCAGTTTTCAATATTCGCATGGGGATTTCAACCAGCCCAAAGTAATATAATGGAGAATAAATTACTGGTGCATGGCGGCAGTTTAGGCTTGTTTTGCTATGCACCCTTTTAATTTTAGTCTTGGGCTTGGATGTTGCTATTCTTGTTGTTGTTAACTATTATTAACTATTATTATTATTAATTATTATTATTATTGTTGTTGTTAACTATTATTAACTATTGTTGTTAGCTGCCCTGAGCCCGGTCTTGGCTGGGGAGGGCAGGGTATAAATAAATTATTATTATTATTATTATTATTATTATTCTGTTCGCCTTGCCTCTTTCCCTGAGTATTTCTCAAACTTGCGCGGGCAGCTCTTGTTGGACTACAACTCCCATTATCCCTACCTAGCGGGACCAGTGGTTGTGTGTGTGATGGGAGTTGTAGTCCAGCAACAGCTGGGTACCCAAGTTGGAGAAACACAGTCTGAGGCTTAAAAAGGGATGGTGTTTGGAGCTAGATTTTGGAGATTTGGTCTTTAGTCCAGTGACCATTGTCATGGATGAGATTCTTGCATTGCGGGGGGTGGGGTGGGATGGGGTCCGCTAGATGACCCTCAAGGGTCCCTTCCAGGTCCATGGAGCTGCTTTGCACTGAGCCAGGCCATAGGTCTAATCTAGCTCAGGACTATCTGTGTACAGAATTGCACTGACTTGCAGCCGTACAAGGTGCTGGTGTCAGGGGGATTTATAGGTTGTTTCTGCTTGTGATCTGAGTCCGCGTTGGATCTCTGTATCCAGTGATGTATTTTTAAGTGCACATGTTGTGCCGTTTTTGGTTCAGCCGTAGAAACTGGTGTCAATATAGTTGGAAGTTATGAAGATCATTTTTGTGTGTGCAAAAGCACAAAAATTGGAGAAGGTATTTTAAAATAGATTTTTTTTAAAAGAAAATGTTCAAAGCTATGCTATCTGAGTAATATCAGCCAACACCTTGTAAATACTCCTTTACCAGGCTTTGCTTTTGTGCGTGTAACAGCAGCTGGATTCACAAACAATTAGAGTATTGCAATTAGGTGATCGTTCTGGGTTCTTCCTGCAGATTGCCTTTGATCAAACTGTTGTTTATGCTTTAAAGGCTCAAGAGTAGGACAGGCATTTGACCCCTTTTGGCTGGTAATCCCACCTGTTATGTAGGTCAATATGCAGCACGGGGGCTGGACTGAGTGTGGGGCTGCCAGATGGAAGAGGCCTGAACATTTTATAGCTCTGTAGGAGAGATAATTTTGTCATGCAGAGTGCTTAAATTCTCTTGCCTACACCATAAAAGGTGCAGGACCCCTGTCTAAGGCAGGGGCCAATGGTTAGAGTGTTAGACCAGGACTGGGAAGACCATTAAATTATTGGTCACTCATATTCCCTTTTTGCCTGGTTTACCACATGGGGTTATTGGAAGGATAAAATGAGGGATTCAGTGTCTGCTACCCTGAGCTATTTGGAGGAAGGGCAGGTTAACACAACTGTTAAAAGCACTGGAGCCCTGTTCTCCTTTGGACCTGGGTTGGGAGAAGGAATAGAGAGCAACATTTGGTTCAAAAATGTCAACAGCTGATGACTGCATGTGCATCATCTCCAAGCCCCTTCCAAACCATCCTGCCCATATATTTGTAATAGTGAAGAAGCCTGTCTTGTTTGTACACTGATGCAGTGGCGTAGCGTGGGTTGTCAGCACCCGGGGCAAGGCAAGTAATTTGCGCCCCCTAACCCGTGGATTTGCGCCCCCTAACCCCCAGATGTTGCGCCTGGTGCGGCCGGCCCCCCCTGCACCCCCCACGCTACGCCACTGCACTGATGTTCTTTGCAGAAACGGTTTATCCTGGATTGCCCCTGTGTTTTGTTCTCCAGGAGCCTCATGGGAACACTGGGATGTTCTCTTTTAACCTCTAGGACAGATCAGGTGACAGTGGTAACAAAAAGAACATTCTCGCCTGTGTGTGCTGCATTTTAACAGAACCAATTAGTTCTTGTTTTCTGTCCTCACTAGACAGTTAGATAACTACAGTAGTACTGGGTTGTTTCTGCAGCACTTTGAAAGCTTCTCTTTAGGATTTCCACCTTCTTTTCCCTTGAACAGCTGCAGAGAAAGTAGGAATTCAAGATCAGATTTTTGTTTTATCGATGTAGAGATGTAGTGATTCTTGAAACATCACTCGCTGTTTTTATTCTAAAGGCACAAGTTCCATGCCAGAAATATGGTGACAGACCTTATTCTGAGACTGAGCATGTGAGAGGTAGAGTTATCTGTCTGTAGCCCTAACCTTGTGCCCATTTTACAGCAGATAAAGCTTTACAGAAATATTTTTTTTTTTTGAGAAAAGCTCTTTATCTGCTCAATTTCTGCATAAAGGCACAGAAGCAGGACAACTGTAGCAGAATTAGGAGCCTAAATACAGTGCCTAAAGAGCTTCTCCAAAGAAATCTGTGTTTACTTGAACTTGAGAGGGGAAATGAAAATGGAAGCTATAGGGACCTGTCATGTTAAAGGTTAACCTTGTAGAGGAACTTGGCAGGTATGACTTCTGTTAATATCACTGTGAGGCACTTAGTCAGCTGAAGGCCTTTGGATCCCTCCTCTGGGAGTTCATGGCAGAAAGAGTGATAGCGTACAGGTGACCATTCTGTTGCTTTCTGTATCATTCATCTGAGTGTTTTTCAAACTTGGGTCTCCAGCTGTTGCTGGACTACAGGTCCCATAATCCCTGACCACTGGTCCTGCTAGCTAGGGATGATGGGAGTTGTAGTCCAACAGCAGCTGGCGACCCAAGTTTGAGAAACACTGACCATTTGACCAAGTTGATATCCAGTGACTGCAAGTAAGCAAGTGGTAGCTTGGCTCACAGAACATAAGCAGAAATCAACAGCAAGATGAGTGTTTGCGTGTTAACATTGCTGGATGCCTCCGCCCGGGGTCCACATTGCCATGTAGCTGTGTGTGTTTGTCATCTATTTCCCCTGCTCCATTTACCAGATTGCAAGTGCAATCCTATTCACGTCTACTAAGAAATAAGAATCACTAAGATCTATGGGGCTTGTTCCCAGATAAATGGGCATAGCATTGCAGCATAAATGCCCTCACCAAAAGCTGCTATTTGTCCTGCAAATATATGTAATATCATACAGGGACCCTATGGATACTGATAAATATTTTTTTGGAAGGCAAATACAGTGGTACCTCGGGTTACATACGTTTCAGGTTACATACGCTTCAGGTTACACACTCAGCTAACCCAGAAATAATGCTTCAGGTTAAGAACAGAAATCGGGCTTCGGCGGCGCTGCAGCAGCAGGAGGCCCCATTAGCTAAAGTGGTGCTTCAGTTTAAGAACAGTTTCAGGTTAAGAACAGACCTCCGGAATTAAGTACGAATTAAGTACTTAACCCGAGGTACCACTGTAGCAGGGAGGGGGGAGGTGATTTAAATTGTGGAAATAGTGTGTGTATGAGGAAGGTTTAAAAACTCTTTCCACTCCAATCCCACACCTGGCTGCCTTGATCTAAAGGGAAGAGTTGGAAGATCCTATTCTCAGATCTCCAAAATCCGTGTCTGAATGTGTAGCTACATCCCAGTTATTCCACCCACTCCCCATTGTGCAGATGGTGGTGGTGGATTAAGTCAGACCAGGAAGAAATACCCCATTTCTGGTTTATAGAAAATATTAGACTGCATGCCTCACCACTTCTGTTAAAACCAACCAGTAGTCTTCAGAGCCCAGAAGTGCTGCTTAATTTGGGAATAAATGGACTGAAACCTTAAGCCAATGACAATATACACGCAAATCCCATTTTGACGCAACTCAGATGTCTCTTAATGGGATGCCTGTTCAACAGTGGACAGACTTGGTTTGCTTTGCACTCTGGAGAAATTGTGGCCCTGCAGCTTGGCTTCACTGGGAACCGCATGTCACAGAGAGCGCTGTAATTTTTGCAGACAGCTGAAACCTAGCGTTGGCCCAGCAGGAGGAACTGATTATGTAACAGGCCTTTCTCCCATCTCCATGCTGTTTGGGTATGAAAACTGGAAATTGAACAGCAAACAGGACTTGGGCTTTAAGCAAAGTTTGAACTTCAGAGTTCAGTTGCCTGAAGTTTCTCAGAAAACAACACAGTTATCTATACTTATTATTTTTATGCAGTAGCAAGTAGATATTTTCTAGCCCCAGCTCTATGATTCTAGTATCATGTTGGGAAAGTTGTGGTTAGAATGCTTCTCCCTAACATGCCAGGTGCCAGAGTTCAAGGATTCCTGTAATTTTGGTTTTGTTGTGTATGGAGGAGTATTCACTCATCTGAACTCATAGCTCAGACACAGTTTTACCACCTCTGGGAATACTAATATTTGATTCTTCCCCCCTGACCCCGACCCTAACTTCAGTAGCTTTCATGGTGTTTTCTTTTTCTCTTTTAATATTGCAGCCTACCTATAAAGTCTTTTGCCTCATATTTGTGTAGGATGAATGCATTTGCAATGGATAAGGTGAGTTCAAATTGTTTTTATCTTTCTCTTGTTTTAAAGCAGATTGTTGCATGATTATTTTTTATGTGCTCTTGTCTCCTGCCTTTGTAGCTTGGCAGGTGTCTGGGATGGGTTGGCCGAGCAAGCCATGATAAAGCAATGTGGTTGGATTTGGGCATAATGTCATACCACACTTAAATAGAGTTATGGTTTGTAAGCCAACAATAAACATAGATTAGCATCATGGGTTATTGGCAGAAAATAAACTAGGGTCAGCCCATTGAACTGGGTTCACATATTCAAACGAACCTGTAGTTAGGCTGGACCAGTGATGGTGTAGCGTTATGTGCAAACCAGGTCAGTGTCTAGATCATGCACCAGCTCCATTTTGATTGCTAGCACCAGTGGATGTGGCACCCTGCTTCTTTTGGGTTTGAATTTCCATTAGGTTTGAGCAGTCCTGTTATTCGAATGCGTCTTCAGTGTTACAATTCCAGTGGTGCAGTCAGAAGGTCTATTATGAAGAAACTGTAATCAGTGAAAGCTGGAGCTGAAGAAGTGTGATTTATTAAAACCTGCACAAACCCAATGACTTATTGGTATATGAATTAAGCTGATTTATTGGGAATTAAGCTAGTTTATTTGGAAATGGTGGAGTCCTGCGGAGGTGCTAATGAGTCTCAAGGCAGCAGAAGAACAAGCACAAAAAAATGTCCTTGCTTAATAGCTGTATTTTTGAGATATGGAGAAAGAGGGTCACGCCCACTGACCCCTGGACCTTTCCCCAGCAATAGGTAAAGGTAAAGGGACCCCTGACCTTTAGGTCCAGTCGCGGACGACTCTGGGGTTGCTCATCTTGCTTTATTGGCTGAGGGAGCCGGCGTACAGCTTCCGGGTCATGTAGCCAGCATGGCGAACCAGAGCAGCGCACGGAAACACCATTTACCTTCCCGCCGGAGCGGTACCTATTTATCTACTTGCACTTTGATGTGCTTTCGAACTGCTAGGTTGGCAGGAGCAGGGACCGAGCAACAGGAGCTCACCCCGTTGCAGGGATTCGAACTGCCGACCTTCTGATCGGCAAGTCCTAGGCTCTGTGGTTTAACCCACAGCGCCACCTGCGTCCCACTTCCCCCAGCAATAAACCAGCTTTGTTAGAAATACCCACTGTATTAGGCATATCCTAATATGGGCATGTTCTAGTCAAGGTATTGAGCCCTCTCCAGGCATTTAAAAAGAACAGATGAGGTCTCAAACCTAGGAGGGAGATGGGAGCATGGACAGTCCAAACGCACCAGGAGAGGTTGCTCCATAGGGTTGCTTGTTGCAAGATCGCCACCTGTTAAGTTGTATGTGCTTCAGAGCTCCGTTCAGACCTTCCTGCTCAGTGTGGGAGCAGGTGTGCGCACACATACACCACACAAACCTCCTCCACAGGTTGAACCTCAGATGTTCTTTTTGAACACTTGAAAAATGGCTATTGTGAGATGAAAATATGGCACTGCCTCTACATTTTTGAATCTTGGAACTGGCTTTGTTTCCCCATATCACACAGACCTTGTATGTTATCTCACTGTTCCCAGACAACTAGGTGCCACTTCTGCTGTGCTGTTGTATCACGTGATAGCTTCTGTGCGCCATAATGGCAGAGGCCAGGTCCCTGCTATGTCTGAATTAAATCCAGACATGTCTGCTGCCTTGCGGGATATCTTTGGGAGAAGGAAAGGCTAAGGAGTAAACCCTACGCAAATCTGAAGTGGAGTCCCAAAGATGTTTGGATGGCACTTTGTACGCCTCCTTCCAGCAACTCCTGCAGCCCAGCTGGTGCCAAACATATTGCTCTGCTTTCCTTTGGACCTCACCAGCCCAGGCTGCCCTGGCTTGCCCCCCAGGCAGGTCACTTCGGTGCTGCAAACACAGTGGTTTGACTTCACCCCCGGAGGCACACTCCATTGCCTCTCAAGACAGATGGGTGCCATCAACAAATGATTAGGCATGTTTAATACTGTAGCCTTTGAGATTTATATAATGTCCTGAATTGAGCTAGAGGCACATGATGGATTTGAGGGCACGGAGGTAGGGATCTTATTCAAAAGCAATATAGATAGCTGTGTTTGCTTGAATACACTTTTTGTGTGTGTGTGGAATCTAGGTAAGTTGTATAAGGATATAGCAATGGATTACAAAATGTAATTGATATGTTCGTATTAGATTGTGGATTACCAGGGGTAAATAGAAATTACAGGGCGTGGGAGGATTGACTGGAAAGCAGATAAGGTGATCAGAATTTCATATGTGCAGGAGAAGGAATTTGATAGATCAGGAGATGCACATTGCTGGTTTCAATACGCAATCCTGCATTTGCCAATTTGAGGGCTGGGTTTCATTGGGTGTGTGTTGCAGGTATTGTTTGGCCGCAAGGAACTTTAATTGTGTCATCCTGGGTCGTCTTCTGCAACAGGCACATTGAGCATGTTGTCGCTGATTGGGTGGAACAGCCTTCCCCAACCTGGTGCCCTCGGTTTTGGGCTGAGGGGAGTTGTAGACCAAAACATCTGGACAGCACTAAAAAACCAATAAGCCCCTCCCCCAAACACAGCTGAAGTTTCTGAACCATCTTCAGAGGCAGCCCTACATATGTCGCATTGCAGTAATCAAACCTAGAGGTTACCAAAGCATAGACAACAGTGGTCAGGCTAACCCTGTCCACATAGGGGCACAACTGGGCCACCAGCTGAAGCTGGTGGGAGGCACTCTGTAGCAGCAAAGGACCCAGAAGTACCAACAACAACAACAATATATTATTTATACCCTGCCCATCTGGCTGGGTTTCCCTAGCCACCCTGGGCGGCTTCCAACAAAATATTAAAATACAGTAGTCCATCAAACATTAACGGTTCCTACCTGGTGGAATGCTCTGTCCCACGAGACTATGTCCCTGCAGGACTTGATCTCCTTCCGCAGGGCTTGTAAGACAGAGCTATTCCGCCTGGCCTTCAATTTGAATTAGCCTGATCCTCTGTTCCCTTTTCCCTTTCCTTTTCTATGAAGAAACCTGTCAGGGAACTGCCATCGGAAGGAAGGGAGGTGAAAGGGCTCACACAGGTTGGGAGAGACTCAGCAGCTGAAGAGGGAACCAGTAGGGGGAGAGGAGCTGAGCTGAGGGAAAGTGAGCTGGAGGGATGGCTCAGAGACACTTCCAGCGAAAACAGTGGGGAGGTTTCAGGACCTCCTGTAGGAACACCCACTCCTCGCCGGAAACTGTCACGCAGAGAGTCCAGAAGACGTGTTTCCGTTAAGGAGCTTTTATGTTGGAAGCGATTCCAAAGCAACCACTGTCGGAATCTGCTAGTGACTAGAGGAGCCATGTCTGAAGGGCTCCGTCACAGACAGAGGTTTGTGGACTTGAACAAACTCTGAGGGGATACTATTTTACGCACAAGCAGCTCATCATCCCATCACAAAACCCTTTCTGGGACCCCACATTTAAATTCTTCCCTGGTCTCCTTGCTGGCCCTAGTAGGACCAACTTGGCCAGTTAGCCTTGTTGGTCATTTGATGTTTACTGATTGGGGTTTTCCCCCCCAAAAAAATGACCCCTGATTTTTTGAATTTTATTGATATTGATGCTGCATTTATGTTGTATTTTATGCTGTTTTTAAGTTGCATCTTTAGTCAATGTTTTATATTTGCTGTTAGCTGCCCTGAGCCCGGTTTTTAAACCGGGAAGGGCGGGGTATAAATAAAAAAATTATTATTATTATTTGTTATTATTAAAAGCTTCCCTAAATAGGGCTGCCTTCAGATGTCTTCTAAGTCTGGTAGTTGTTGTTCTCTTTGCATACCCTCTCCTTCAGAGGGAGTGTAACCCCATCAAGAGCAGGCAACATCCCAGCTACCCGGTCTAGCAAACCACCCACTAATCGTGCTTTTAGCACTAGTCTTCAGTTTACATGTAGGCCGAACGTATCAGTAATCGCCATTGCTGTGCTTGAACTGAGAGTGCAGTGGAGGGAACGCCCAATGTCCTTCTACATGTTACAGAATGGTGGATGAGCTGCCTTCATCTCTCATTGCTGAAAATCTAATAGGGCAACTCGTGACAAGATTCTGTGGGTCTCCAGGGTTCACCACAACACAGTGACCCAAAGCGTTTGACCTATGTGTTCCTTCTCTTTATTAGATGGCCTATCATTAGATGCTACTCCTGTTGCAAACCCAAGGAAGTTGCAGCCAAAATGGCCAAGTACAAACTGATCCTCTTGAGGCACGGCGAAGGGGCCTGGAACAAAGAGAACCGCTTCTGCAGTTGGGTGGACCAGAAGCTGAGCAGCGACGGGATAAAAGAGGCTCAGAACTGCGGCAGGCACCTCAAAGCTCTTGGCATTGAGTTCGACCTTGTGTTTACATCCATCCTCAGCCGCTCTATTCAGACTGCCTGGCTTGTGCTGGAGCAGATGGGGCAGGAGTGGGTCACCACTGAATCTTCCTGGAGGCTGAACGAGCGGCACTACGGTGCCCTGATAGGCCTGAACAGGGCAGAGATGGCGCTGAACCACGGCGAGGAGCAGGTGAAAAGGTGGAGGAGGAGCTATGACGTCACCCCGCCTCCCATCACCGAGTCCCACCTTTACTACCACGAAATCTACAATGATCGCAGGTATAAGCACTGCGACGTACCGTTGGAGAAACTCCCGAGGGCAGAAAGCTTGAAAGAAGTGCTTGATAGACTCCTTCCCTATTGGAACGAGAGGATAGCTCCGGAGGTGAAGAGGGGCAAGACGGTTTTAATTTCTGCTCACGGGAACAGCACGCGCGCTTTGCTGAAACATTTGGAAGGTAATGTAGTGCCACTAATTTGTTCTAAATGTGGTATAAACATTGGGGACCATCCTGTCTTCTTTGGCTATTCGTTCAGGAATAAATTCTATCTCTCTGTCTCTCAAATTAAAAAGGGCACAGTTATACTATTAGTTTTATAGCAGTTTTAACTTTTGTGGCTTCTCTCGAAAAATCTTGAGACTCCTAGGTCAGCAAGCATCCTGAGAATTCTCTGTTGGAGACCTCTCGTCTTCCTTGGAGGACTGCCTTGCCCTGGTTCCATAGAGGGAAGGACTGCCTATTGCGTTTCTTTGTCTGTAGTGTGCATAAGTTCGTAGATCAGGGATGGGGAAATTTGTGGCCTTCAGAAGTTCCATTGGCTTTCGTCTGCATGGCCAACAATCAAGGGTGATTGGTTGTGGGAGTCCAACAGCCTTTGGAGGGCCACCGGTTCCTCATCCCTGCTTTAGAAAACAAAATACTGTATATGCTTCTTTAGCCTTGTGAGCTAGCTAGCCAGATGGCCGTTGCTGACAATCTCTGGAGCATTCTCGAGTTTGCAGAGTTATTTGCAGTGATTCTTGCCCTTGCCATCTTCCCAGGAAATCTGTGGACCTAAGTTATGCAGCGGGAGGTTGTGTTGTGTGTGTCTTTTGTGATGTTCTGACAGCAAAGCATTTTCCCTCTGCCCCACTCTCATGGCCTGTTCAGAGAGGAAGCGCCCATAGCCCTGGTTATGACACAAATATGTTCACCCCTGCTTACCTTACCAGCGTTGTGCTGTTGCCTACTCTCCAGCGCAGTAGATGAATGGCGAAAACAACCGCTGGAGCTGATGCCATGTTTTCCTTTTGCGTGCGATATTTCCCCGTGACCAACTGATGAAAATGAAACGTTCGTATTTAGAAATGGCTTATTCAAACAGACCTCACAGGAACAAGGTTTCCCAATATCAAGCCTTTCCCAATATCAAACCTACCCATTGATTGCCAACAAAACACGCAGGGCTCATTTCTGCAGGTGTCAGCCAGTTCCTCAGAAGGCTGAGGGGGTGGACGTTGGTTGTTAATGCATCTAGGCCATTGCCAGACTCAGACAAGGCCTTTTCAGCAGAGGTGGCTCCAAGTCTAGAGGCCTCTATAAATCAAAGCGACATGTCCTCATGTACTCCTTTGGTCCCTGCCCAAGCTATAGGCTGTAATACCTGATCTGATATTAGGTAATGCTGCAGAAATAGGAGGTTGTTGTAAAAGTTTCACAGTTCACTTTGCTTGCTTGCTTCTGAGGCAGCCTACACTACTCTCAAACGTGACCTGTTGTCAGGAAGTTCTCCCCGAAGCTTAGCCGGCACCCCCATTCTTCTAATTTGAACCTACTGGCTTCATAGAATCGCAGAGCGGGAAAGGACCTCATGGCTCACCTAGTCCAATCCCCTGCAATGCAGGAATCTCATCAAAGTCATCTTTATCACCCTATGCTTATTAGAAAATATGGTATAAAGCAGAGGCCTTTCTGGACCAGTTGTGGGAGCAATTTTTGATAGGCCAGTGTCAATAGGAGGAGATTTCAGTGAAAGAATTGGTATAGAAAGAGAAGAACAAACTAAGTGAGAAGGAAGTTAAACTTGCAGAGATTAACCAGTTAAACTTCGTTGCTTAATTTTTGAGCTAGTAACTTCTGTGAACTTACTTGCAAAGCTGATGCCTCTCCTTATTTTTGTGCTTTCCTTCCAAGAACCTTTTTCATCTGGAGCAGGTAGGGTGGAAAAGGCAGAATGTTCTAAAAAGACCAAACCCAGGGCCAGTAAATGGTGTGTAATGTAGATTTGCCATTACATAGACATATGCTTTTCAGGTAGCTCAGTCGGTAGAGCACAAGACTCTTCATCTCAGGGTTGTGTGTTCGAGCCCCATATTGGGCAAAAGATTCCTGCATTGCAGGGGGTTGGACCAGATGTGGTCTCTTCCAACTCTACAGTTCCATGATTCTATGATTTCCTGTTGCATCCAAGCAGGCAATGTGGACTTAATTGCTTTTGCTCAGCTTGGTGTGCTGAAAATTGCTGGGGCCGCAACCCAAAGAGAAATGGATGCACAAGTTGCACGAAAGGTCAACCGTCTTGTGTTACGAGTTGTGTAAAGTAACCAGACCCTGGCCTTAGTTGACATTCATGTTGTCCCTCCAGCGTGTCGACATAGAAATTGCCCAGTACTGACTTTCAGTGTTTGGCTCACACTTTTGAGGAGGCAAGGCAAGGCAGGAAAGAGTTCTAGGTTATCCAAGGTCCTTCAGTTTATTTATTTAAATATTTGTAAACTGCTATTCCATTAAAAAAGAAAACATAGCAAGGCAGTGTGCACCATAAAATAAAATGAAATACTACAGTAACATCCACAAAGGCTGGGTATTAAAAATGAGATCACGTTCAAAAGGCCTGTCAGAGCTGTCCAGGTTTCAAAAGATGTCTGAAGGAAGACAGGGAGGACTCCTGTCAGGCTTATTGTCGGGCAAAGTGTCCCGCAGGGTAAAGACCGACCGACCCTCAGGGACTGCCAAAGTGCCCCATCCTCTTTCCCCGTCTCTTGAAACAAATCTGAAGTTGTTATCCTAGCAAGAGAAACCTTTGGAAGTGCATCGCTCAGTGATGTAATACTCTACCGAAGGAAAGGAGTGCTGTTTTGGAAAGATGGGGATGCTTGTGTTTGGAAGGGCAGGATGACTACTCCCTATTCTAATTCCTGTCTGGAATGCTCTCCTCAGAAAGGCTCGCCTGGCGCCATCTTTACATGTCTTTAGGTGTCAGGCAAAAACATTTCCCTTTACCCAGGGCCTATGGGATAAATATTCTATGGTCTGTGAAAGTGTGGGGAAGTTTTGATGATTATTTTACTATTAGGCTGTCCGTCATTATTTTTAATATGTTTTTATTATGATGTTCTGTAATGTGTTTTTAATGGGATCTTCTGAAAAAGCATGGTATATTGAAGTAATGATGATGATGATAATGATAATAATAATGATCTACTGTTTTTTTAAAGAAAGCTCTGAATCTGGGGATTATGGTTCATCTGGAGGCAGGGACTGCCTCCCCCATCCCAGATGCCCATGATAGCTGCCCATTGTTCTGGGGAACAGTCAAGGGCAACCTATTACACATCTTTCTGCATGAAATGAAGTATTCTTCCAGGTTATCTGATCTTCACCACTTTTTGAAAGTTTGGTAAATAGGATGACACTTCATGGCAGCTTAGGCCCAAGAGCCTAAACAGAGCGCAAGAGGCACATATAAACATTCCATTGTTTCCTCCTCTGCAGGCATCTCTGATGAGGACATAGTCAATGTGACTCTGCCCACTGGCGTCCCAGTTCTCCTGGAGCTTGACGAGGATCTACGCTCGCTTGGCCCGCACCAGTTCATTGGTGACCAAGAGGCAATCCAAGCTGCCATCAAGAAAGTGGAAGATCAAGGCAAAGCCAAGCCCACGCTTGAGAAATGAAAGACTGCTTATGCAAAATGCTCTCCCTTTTACCTCTTACCGTGTGCAGGAAATGGATAGCGCTTTGTGCTTGCCCTCTGAGGACTTCCTTAAGTTCCCAGTAAGTGGTAGATTTTTAGCATTTTAGCACACCATTTTTGGTTATTCCTTATTTCCTTCTAGCAGCTGTGTTGGATCCTGGTACAAGTAACAGTGAATTTTGTTACTTGTACAGAAAGCTGTTGTTATAAACTTTCCATAGCCTTTGTATAAATCTTACACTATCGGAGAAGGCCAGAGCAAGAACCGGTACGCTGAATATATATATTCATCATTGTGATCAATGGAGAAAACGCTTTCTGATTTTAACCTAGGCCTCAAGTGATATTTACAAGTTCTCAGGTTCACAGATGCTAAACAGTCACATAATTATTTAATTTAGAATACCCGCTCCCCCCCCCCCAATTTTTCTCCCCACTGTTTGCAATTCGACAACTTCTGGTATAGCGTTTATCTCTGTTAAACGGATTGGTGTGATTTTTGTTGCATGGCTGACTGTGTTGTTTTGAATAAAGCCCTTATATTTTTACAGGCATCAAAATGCTCACATTGGCTGAATTTTCCCAAGTTTTACTTTTCATGTTGGAGAGGACCATTTAAAAAACAAATCCCAGTTAGACTTGACCCATATGCAGTAATGAAGGATGGATGTTGATGGTACCACTTCAAAATCTCATTATTATTTTTTAAAGATTTATATTCTAAATTTTGCTTTGGATGTCAGGATATAAGTTGTGCTCTAGGGAGAAGAGGCGGTTTCCAACGAAGCAATGCACAAGGTTCATTCATAAAGGAGCTTTCTCTTCCTGCACACTCCCCGTGCCATCCTCAAATCTGCTCCTGAGGGTTAAGGAAACTTGGATAATATTTTTTGGGGGGGAGCATTCAAGCAGGGAGAGGAGATAGAGGGAAAATTCCATTGCACAGTCAGAAGTTCTTTCTTTCCCGGGCTAGCAGCTCCTATACATTGTACCCTGTAGGAACAGTTGTTGGGTTGATGGCATGTTAGTCCAAAAGACCTGAAGACTTACCAGCTTTGTGAAAACTGAACTACTGGAACATATAAATGTAAACTCTGATGCTATACAGTAGAATGTTCTTGGGACAGCCAGGGCTGTCTTGAGTATTCAGTTTTTAAATAGTTCTGTATCACTTTTCCAGGTTCAAACAGAACATGGAATACTAATTGTTTTATTTTTTATTATTTTTCAATTTTTGTATTCATTTTATAACACAAATAGAATACTAATCTGTTTTAAGTACAGAACTATGTAAGACAATCACAGTCAATGAACAAATAGAAGGAAGCTCAGAAAGGGGAAGGATCTACAGTCCCACTGATCAGCGCGACCAGTTGTTTAATTCCAGTATTTTCCTCTCTTCCGGGGTCATGACCTTCCAACAGGAAGGAGTGATAAAATAGCCATCAATGTCCTACAACTTCCTCTCCAGAATCTAATAGACCCTTGCACTACACGAGACCCCCTGTCAGCATTTCTAAGCACAAATGCATTTATTTATATATTTTAGAAACTTTGAAGACATTGCAAAGTTGTATCCTTGACAGGGTAGGGTTTCAGGGGAGAACTTGGGGGGGGGAGAGATCTAAAATAATGTGCACTACTTGTTTGCTTATCCAAACTAAACTGCTTTTTTTGCACCTGTACAAGTGACAAATATAATTCAGTTTGCACATACAAAATGCTATCTCTGTGTGTACGTGTCTTTGTGAAACAAGCAAGCAGCTGTTGCTACGGTAACTTCTTTCATTTGTTCCTTCCTTTTCTTCCATCTTGGAATCTGAAGCCGAGTTTACAGGGTACCTCAGCGGTCTCCTATTCAAGCACTGATCAGACCCAGTCCTGGTTTGTTTTAGCAAGATTGTTGTATGATGTGCCTTCAGATCAAATCCTGGTAATGACAGATACATTCATACCTTGGGTTACAGACGCTTCAGGTTGTGCATTTTCAGATTACGGACACGCCAAAACCCGGAAGTACCGGAATGGGTTACGGCGCTTGCACATGTGCAGAAGCGCCGAATTGCAGCCCGCACATGTGCAGACGCGGCGCTGCAGGTTGCGAACGTGCCTCCCACACGGATTACATTCACAACCCGAGCATCCACTGTATATGTAAGGGATGAAGTGAGGAGCAACATTTTGTGAACAGCCCCACTTGTGGTGGTATTTTATTTATCGCCAGAGTTTATTGCCCACTTTACTAAGGTGGCTTACAAATTAAACCTGCAAAAGACAAATCACATCAGGCCTGGGAAAATGTAGTTTTCACCTAGCACCAAAAAGAAAGACCACACCAGGAGAGCTTCTCTGGTAAGAGAGTTCCAACATGTGGTGCCACCACTGAGAAGGCCTTGTCTGTGATCACGACTCATCTTAACAAGAGGTGGGACCTCTGAGGCTGATCTCAATAAGTGGGCATATTATATGGGAGCAGGCAGTTCTTTAGGTAACTCCTGAAACATAAACTGTTGGTCATTCTTGTGGAATTGCTGGGCCTAATCACACATGCTTACATGACATACTGGCTTTAATTCAGGAGTGGGTAACTGATGGCTTTCCAGCTGTTGATGGACTATAGCCCTGGTCAGCCCCAGCTAGCTTGGCCACAATGGTCAGGAATGATGGGACCTGTGCTCTGGCAATATCTGGGCGGGGCATAGGTTCCCTACTCCTACTTTAATTGCAAACACCCACACAAAATATTGCAATGGGAACTGTGGCCTGAGCATTGTTGAAACAGCGATTAGGAACAAATCTAGCGTGTGGCAGAGAATGCAGATTTGCTGGAAGGAGCACAAGAAGTCATAAAGCAGCCAGAGCCATTGCTCCGAAAGAGTGCTGTCCTATTTACAGCCATCACAATCTCTTAGTGAATTACAAAAATATAAAGGAACAGCAGAGGGAGCTGGAGTGTTGGGATCGCTCTTTCTCCCACCAGCGAAAGGGAAAATGTTGCAACAGCCCAGGTGTCGACACAGAAGGGAGTGCATGGATGAAAACCGACAATCGCAAGTTTGCGCTTTTATTTATCATCCTACCCTTCACATCCTATTTTCTCTCCTCTTTTTAGGAAGTGCGGGTGAGCTTACATAGAGATCTCAGGTAGTCTTCCATGCAGGCACTAATAAGGCCTGTTTGGTTGTAACAGCATGGTAGCACCAGAAGCCAGCAGACCACTGCCTGGGGTTATGTTTTAAGAATATGAGAAGAGCCCTGGTGAATTAAAACAAAGACTCTGCCGTCTGGCATCCTGTCCTCAAGCTGGCTAGCCAGATGCACTCTGGTCCTGCTTACGGGTTTCCCATAGGCAGCATCCTCCTCCCCACTTGGCAATTTCCAACAACTGACCTGTGCTGCCTCTGACAGGGCCGGTAGAACTCAGCCATCACAGCTAGTGGCCACTGACTGCCTCACCCACCACAAATTTGTCTAATCCTCTTAAAGCCATCCAAGTTTCTAGCCATCACTACATATTGTAGGAATCATATTGCTGGTTATTTGTATTTGCCTGGAAACCTAACCAAATATTTGTGCGGTAATCTTTTCCACCCAGAGTTACCAAAATAAACCAATGATGCAAACCAGGGGTGATTTTTAAAATTTCGCTTAAATGTCAACTAGATTTTTATCCCAGTCTTCCTCCGAGGAATACAGGGGGGTGTGTGTGTGTGTGTGCCTGAGTGCATGTATGGGTCTGCCTATTCTCACAATAACCCTATAAGGCAGGTTAGGCAGAGAGTGTGACTGGCTAGCCAAAGGGCCTGCAGAAAACTTTGGAACTGTGTGGGTCTCCCGGACCCCACGCTGTCCAATGTACCACACAACCATTCGCTTTGCAGGCCTAGATGAATGGGTCAGAACGAGTACTTTGGGAACTTGTTGTTTTGAATGGCTGGGTTAAAATTAGCATGGACCGATGTCCTCAGAGGAACTTTGGTAGCTGCTCTCCCAACTCTGCAAGTTCACCAAAGCCCAAGTAAAAGTGCGCCCCAAAGGCAGAGCAAGACATTTATTCAAGCAAAGGTTTCACCGCCAGGGATGAGCAGAGGGTTGTTCAGTAGCACATTGAGGCTGTTGTTATATTAAGAATTCCCTTAAAGAAACTGAGCACAGGAGGGAAAAGTTGCCAATACGTACTGAACTGTAGCTATTGCTCTCCCATCCCACCTCTGATTTGAGCAATATATTTGGATGTTTTTATTTATTACCAGCCCAATCCTATGCATGTCCACTTAGAAGCAAGTCCCACTGTGGTTGGTGGGGCTTACTCACTGGAAAGTGCGCAGTATTGCAGCCTACATTTATATCCCGCCTGGTTGACCATCACTGACTAGAATCCCACTGCATTGGGTATGTAATGTGGGTCTGTGTACATCCTCCAGGAGGCCTTCCTGTATATTTTGCTGGTCTATTATGTGGGGAACTTTCATTATACCTTAAAAAACAAAAACAAGACTTCAGTGTGGCCGGTTGACTTAATGTTCCAGTTGAAGATCTGCAGTCCCATTCCAGATTTCTATTTATGCTTCTCTGGTATTTATTGAGCGTATACTGTTTGTACAGTTGGCTTCCTTGTAAATTTCCATTTGTCTGGCAGAGATACAGGCAAAGAAAAAGGAAAACATCCAAGGGATATCCTACTGGTGTGCTGCTGCTGCTTCATGGAAATGTACAACCAGGGTGTAACAACCAGGTATGAGCAGGGCCTAATGTTATTGCAACCCACCCACTTAATTTATTCCACTGTTCTTGAGGATCCATCAATCACAATGAGATTTGTGCAGTTTACCTTCTTGAAAGACTGCTCCAACACTATATTTTTCAAAAGCCCTACAAGACTTTTTTAATATTAAAAAATAGTGCTGGTTTTCAGCTGTTAAGCAGGAAAGATAACTTGAGTAATTGCTGCATTGATTTTAATGTGGACCAGAGCTCTTGAGATTGTCTGGGCCAATCCAGTGAACAAACGAAGAAGTATTTGTGATGCCTACTGATAGTTTGGCTTATTTTGTTCTTCTCTGCCTCCTCCAAACTCCACTTAATTCCTAAAACCAAAATAAACACAAACTGAGAATAGAAGCACTGTAAAAGAAATATAAGGTACATACAGGATATAACCCTATCCTTCTGTATTTGGAAGTAAGTCCAATTCCGTTAAATGCAGCTTACTCCCAGGTAGGAGTGCATTGGCTTGCAGCCTTTGAAGAAAACCTAAGGGCCAGGGGTGCTGGGAGTTACATTCTAAGGAATACCTAACAGGTTTCCCTCCCCTACATTAGACCTTTGCCTTTTCCACAGCCTCTGGGTCTTAATGGTCAAAAGAACAGCAAACCTATCAGGTCTGAGGGCTGATGTCAACAGGCATCTGAATAAAATGACCTTCCTTTGGGGAAGGTTCTCAGGCAGGGTGGAAGGAGAAAGAACTTGCCCATGTGAAGACCACCTGGTGGAAACCCTTACACATATGGTTTTTAATTGTAAACTATATGCTGATCTCCGTCAGCAATTTCTAGATCAACTCTGTATCCCCAAATGGAAACCAGAGTTGGAGGTCATACATTTTCTATTACTGGGGAATGATCAGGAGCTCACCAAGTTAGTGGCTAAATATCTCTATTTGGTTTTTTGTCATCGAAATACACTGCAGACGTCTGATCTCCCTGGAGACCTAGAGATGTGACCATAGATTGCTCTGCCTCCTTTCTTTTAGCAAATGTTTTGTGCCACTGGGGAAGTGGTAATTCTGTATTGATTTGTTTTGGATGTTTGTATGTGATGCCAATAAAAGGTTTGATGACGATGATGATGAATAAAATGACTAAGTATATATCTTTTTAAGCCAGAGATGGAGAACCTGTAGATGTTGATGGACTACATCTCCCATCATTCCCTGACGACTTGCCATAGTGGATGGGGATGACAGAAGTTGGAGTCCAACCACTCCTGGAGGACCACAGGGTCCCCCAGAACCTGCTCTAAGCCTTGCTAGTGAGGGGTCCATCCATGATTGTGTGCAGGCACTTGCCTTACCCAACAACTCCAGCAAAGAAGGTTTCCCAGGTGCTGTTGCTCGCTTGAGCTTCGCCACATCCTTTCCTCCTGTCCTCTCTGGCAGCAGCTGTTTCTCCCCGAGTGACTCAGCCGATTCCTTTCATCTGACAGACAGTGGGAAACTGGCAGGAGAAGCATCTTGCATGTTGGTGGGAAGAGGAGAGCAAAGGAATGGGGCCCGGTGCTGAGTCGGCATCAGCAGGAACAGCTGGGAAGTCTATAACCAGAAAAGGGGTGCTGAATGGGCCCAGAAAGCAAGGGGAAACCAGCATAGAATAGCCAGAGCACGAGCCCTTCCTCTTGTTTCTCCTCCACATCCAACACCACCCCAGATCAGATCCTGCTAAGCCTGGTTTCTCTGTCCCTGATCCTGAAAATATTGCTCACTTGCAGCAGGCCTACATGTTTATCTATGACCAGGCAGCCTCGTGTTTATTGACATCACCTACCAGACTTGACCCTGCAAGCAGGACCTGGCTGTAACAGTACTCGCTTGTGATTCATGGCACAAGATTCCCAACTAGTGTTCAGATGCACAGTGGAGGAAGAACATAGGCATTGTGTCTTGTAGCTGTTAACAGACATTTCCTCCATGAATTTGTCTCTAATAACATAACAGATCTGGCACCAG